ACCATTGTGACCAGGATTTTTCAACCGGAAGTTATGTGACCGGTTGCTTGTGGTAACATAGCACTCAATCCGGTGATTCCACCGGTGGTCTGATCATGTAAAATGGTCAAGATTTGACAAAGTTATGAGTGCTACAAGAAAAAGTCACAAAGTCAGAGGATATATGATATCTAGACCATTGTGACCGAGATTTTTCAACCGGAAGTTATGTGACCGGTTGCTTGTGGTAACATAGCACTCAATCCGGTGATTCCACCGGTGGTCTGATCATGTAAAATAGGTCAAGATTTGACAAAGTCATGAGCCCTACAAGAGAAAGTCATGAATTTAGAGGATATATGATATCTAGACCATTGTGACCGTATTTTTTGACCGGTAGTTATGTGACCGGTTGCTTGTGGTAACATAGCACTCAATCCGGTGATTTTACCGGTGGTCTGATCATGTAAAATGGTCAAGATTTGACAAAGTTATGAGCCTTACAAGAGAAAGCCACACATTCAGAGGATATTATGATATATTGTATCTAGACCATTGTAACTGGTATTTTTTGACCGGTATTTATGTGGACCGGTTGCTTGTGGTAACATAGCACTCAATCTGGTGATTCCACCGGTGATCTGATCATGCAAAATCATTAAGATCTGACAAACTTATGAGCCTTACAAGATAAAGCCACAGATTTAGAGGATGTTATATCTAGACCATTGTGACCGGTATTTTTGTGAACAGTTGCTTGCAGTAATATAGTACTCAATCTGGTGATTCCACTGGTAGTACTGATCATGTAAAATGGTTAAGATTTGATAAAGTTCTGAGCCTTATAAGACCAAGTCATAAATTCAAAGGATACAGTGTTGTATCAGCTTATATCTGGACCATTGTAATCAGTATTTTTGCAACCGGTTGCTTGTGGTAATGTAGCACTCAATCAGGGGATTCCATTTTGCCCCTTTGATAGGAGAGTGTTCTAGCACTGTCAAAACATATTTAGGAGTATATATTAACATATTCCACCACTTAGTTGACCCCCTGAAGGGCTACATCAAACAATATAGCATATATACATGAAAACATAACTGATAAGAACCCTCCAACACTATCAAGGATGTTATTGGTAATCAGACACTTGGGATATGTCCCATGTATATCCCTAGTCATGGTCCTAAAATTCTGGAAAGATCCCTCAAGTATTGACGGTAAGATAAGTAAAACAACATAGGCTTGACATATGACAATTTACCCCTGTCACTGAAAGTCACTGACACATATCACACACACCAAAGATTTTATTAAAAATGCAGTAGTATGTATAGTAGACTACATAATGAACCTAAAATACACATTGCCCTGAAGGTAAAGTCTTTGTAGAAGAGTGTGGTGAGGAAATATTAGGATTGGTAAGTAAAAGTCCAACCACTACATATACACCAAACTGGTGAGTTTCGATGTTTTGGGCTTTTGGACTTTCCCACACTCTATTTCAGAGATATTTCACTGCCCTAGCTCTCAACTGTTAGTGGATCCTTTTATAAATCTGAGACCATGATATTGACCATGCTTAGAATATATTGCAAGCATCTGATTACTAGATTGTGTCCATTGGAGAATGTAGGCCCCTTATCAGTACACATACCCCCTTTCCCTTAGATAACAATATTATACCATATTTCTAACTGATCCTTGGGATGAGAAGTAGGTATATATGTAGTAAGGATAATATATGAGTAGTCTGGATCATTTATGCAATGGTAAAGTAGGGGAAAACACCAAAAATGTGACAACTGCAATCTTAGAAGTTTTAGCCTGTATAGAAGGATTCTGTAGGTATCCTGATGTACCAACCTGGTGTACATACTCTAAATCTGTCTAGGAATGGTCCCCATATCATTCTTCAGCTGTGTTCCTGTAGGAAAACCTTTCCCAGAGGATGGACCACCAGGAGAGGGTGAGTACACAGCATCACAAGGTTTTGTCTGTGGATGTTAAGGTCATGCTCAAAGGAAGGAGAACTCAAAGGGCTTGACTTCAGCTTGTGTGCTGCACCCCTTACCCAAGTATGTGCCCTTAATTTATGAGAGGCAGGAGGGAAGTCCAACAAAGTCCAGAGGTTTCCGGAAGTCAGACACTAGGGGAGTTCGGCGGAACTCCAGAGGTTCAAGGAAACCCAGAGTAAGACTGCTGTGGACAAGTCTGGAGTAGAAATGGAACAGAGGTAAACTACCCTAAGGTAGAGCTGGAGACACACTGGTCTAGATATAACATATCCTCTGAATGTGTGGCTTTCTCTTGTAAGGCTCATAACTTTGTCAAATCTTGACCATTTTACATGATCAGACCACCGGTAAAATCACCGGATTGAGTGCTATGTTACCACAAGCAACCGGTCACATAACTACCGGTCAAAAAATACCGGTCACAATGGTCTAGATATCATATATCCTCTAAATTCATGACTTTCTCTTGTAGGGCTCATGACTTTGTCAAATCTTGACCATTTTACATGATCAGACCACCGGTGGAATCACCAGATTGAGTGCCATGCTACCACAAGCAACCGGTCACATAACTACCGGTTGAAAAATCCCGGTCACAATACTGTAGATATCATATATCCTCTAAATTCATGACTTTCTCTTGTAGGGCTCATGACTTTGTCAAATCTTGACTATTTTACATGATCAGACCACCGGTGGAATCACCGGATTGAGTGCTATGTTACCACAAGCAACCGGTCACATAACTTCCGGTTGAAAAATCTCGGTCACAATGGTCTAGATATCATATATCCTCTGACTTTGTGACTTTTTCTTGTAGCACTCATAACTTTGTCAAATCTTGACCATTTTACATGATCAGACCACCGGTGGAATCACCGGATTGAGTGCTATGTTACCACAAGCAACCGGTCACATAACTTCCGGTTGAAAAATCCTGGTCACAATGGTCTAGATATCATATATCCTCTGCCAGTGAATTTGTGACTTTTTCTTGTAGCACTCATAACTTTGTCAAATCTTGACCATTTTACATGATCAGACCACCGGTGGAATCACCGGATTGAGTACTGTTACTAGAAACAACCGGTCACATAAATACCGGTCACAATGGTCTAGACATGATATATCCTCTGAAATTGTCACTTTCTCTTGTTGTAAGGCTCATAACTTTGTCAAATCTTAACCATTTTACATGGTCAGACCACCGGTGGAATCACCGGATTGAGTGCTACATTACCACAAGCAACCGGTCACGTAAATACCGGTCAAAAAATACCGGTTGCAATGGTCTAGATACAATACATCATGATATCCTCTAAATTTATGGCTTTCCCTTGTAGGGCTCATAACTTTGTCAAATCTTAACCATTTTACATGGTCAGACCACCAGTGGAATCACCAGATTGAGTGCTATGTTTTACTTTAAACAACCGGTCACATAAATACCGGACACAATGGTCTAGACATGATATATCCTCTGAAATTGTCACTTTCTCTTGTTGTAAGACTCATAACTTTGTCAAATCTTAACCATTTTACATGGTCAGGCCACCGGTGGAATCACCGGACTGAGTGCTATGTCACCACAAGCAACTGGTCACATAACTACTGGTTGAAAAATCCCGGTCACAATGGTCTAGATATCATATATCCTCTGACTTTGTGACTTTCTCTTGTAAGGCTCCTAACTTTGTCAAATCTTAACTATGTTACATGGTCAGACCACCGGTGGAATCACCGGATTGAGTGCTATGTTACCACAAGCAACCGGTCATGTAAATACCGGTCAAAAAATACCGGTTGCAATGGTCTAGATACAATATATCATAATATCCTCTAAATTTATGGCTTTCCCTTGTAGGGCTCATAACTTTGTCAAATCTTAACCATTTTACATGATCAGACCACCGGTGGAATCGCCAGATTGAGTGCTATGTTACCACAAGCAACCGGTTACATAAATACCGGTCGTTGTTGCACCCCATAATACCGGCCCACCCGTCTCCATTGCACCCTATCATGCCGGCCCACCCGTCTTCATTGCACCCCATATCACCGGCCCACTCGTCTTCATTGCACCCTATATCACCGGCCCACCCATCTCCATTGCGCCCTATAATGCCGGCCCACCCGTCTTCATTGCACCCCATATCACCGGCCCACTTGTCTTCATTGCACCCCATATCACCGGCCAGCTCGTCTTCATTGCACCCCATATCACCGGCCGACTCGTCTTCATTGCACCCAATAACACCGGCCGACTCGTCCTCATTGCACCTCCTTTACCGGCCCACCCGTCTCCATTGCACCTGCTATACCGGCCCACTCGTCTTAATTGCACCATATTTACCGGCCCACCCATCTCCATTGCACCTGCTATACCGGCCCACCCGTCTCCATTGCACCTGCTATACCGGCCCACTCGTCTTAATTGCACCATATTTACCGGCCCACCCATCTCCATTGCACCTGCTATACCGGCCCACCCGTCTCCATTGCACCTGCTATACCGGCCCACTCGTCTCAATTGCACCCTATTCTCCGGCCCCCTCGTCTTCATTGCACCTTATGTACCGGCCCACTCGTCTCCATTGCACCTCATTTACCGGCCCACTCGTCTCCATCACACCCCAGTTCCCCGGCCCACTCGTCTATATTGCACTCCATTCCTCCGGCCCACTCATCTATCACACACTGGATTCACTACTACTATTCATAATTTCCTATATAGTACATTGCTATACTACCATCTATACTATATACACCCGGCCCATCCGTTTGCCTTGGACACTCCACCCCCTCGGCCCACTCGTCTAACATGGTACAATTATTGCCATGGGCCGGCACCGGGTGGCCCGTCTCTATTGGTACATTGTCACGCCCGGCTGCCCGTCTCAGACGGGTGAATTCACTGAAGGGGCTCTGATTCACTCGTTACTACTTTGCGGACACTCATTGGATGCAGATGTGTTGTCACTTAGGCTCACCGAGCGCTGGTTCACCAAAGTCGAAATCATCAAGGCTGAGCTTGAGGAAAAGCAGTTCAAGGTCAAACTTACTGTCATAGACACCCCCGCGTTTGGTGACTATGTCAACAACTGCGATTCACCAAAGTCGAAATCATCAAGGGCTGAGCTTGAGGAAAAGCAGTTCAAGGTCAAACTTACTGTCATAGACACCCCCGCGTTTGGTGACTATGTCGACAACTGCGATTCACCGAAGTCGAAATCATCAAGGCTGAGCTTGAGGAAAAGCAGTTCAAGGTCAAACTTACTGTCATAGACACCCCCGGGTTTGCGATTGACCTCATCTCGATGACGAAGGAGTTGCACTACAAGAACTACAGGCAGCAACAGATGGAGATGAGGAATGCTCGCTACTTATCTCTATGCACATGCTCGACCTCATCTCGACAACGAAGGAGTTGCACTATGAGAACTACAGGCAGCAACAGATGGAGACGAGGAATGCTCGCTACTTATCTCTATGCACATGCTCGACCTCATCTCGATGACGAAGGAGTTGCACTACGAGAACTACAGGCAGCAACAGATGGAGACGAGGAACACTCTCTACCTATCTCTATGCACATGCTCGACCTCATCTCGATGACGAAGGAGTTGCACTACGAGAACTACAGGCAGCAACAAATGGAGACGAGGAAGTTTGGGGAGCCCACTCACATCAGCATCTTTGGGCGAGATGGCGGGAAACGGACTTACTCGTCTGTATTGTGCTGGTAGATATCATTCCTAAGCGTGATATAGTGGCTTGGCCTGCTAGCTGTAGAAAAAATCAGCTGATACAAAGACAACGCGCAGATTTGATTAAGAAAATTGGGAGTGGGAAACGGACTTACTCGTCTGTGTTGTGCTTGTAGATATCATCGCTAAGCGTGATATAGTGGCTTGGCCTGCTAGCTGTAGAAACAATCAGCTGATAAAAAGACAACGCGCAATTTTTGACGAAAACGCGCACCGCGCAAGGTGCGGAACGCGCAAATAATAAATGTGCAGGTGTTACACCATAAAGTAGCACATTCTTACCAATCTAGCTACCATGAAGCTCGCTTTGTCTTTTGTCTTTTTTGCCATCGCTTTGGTACAGATGACGGCAGCAGCGCCCGTCGTCGACAACAGTGTGGAGCAGGACCTCGAATGTATGTTTCGACGTATCTTCTAGTATTCGCACTTTCTGACTAGATATACATCCAGCTCGTGGCGGCGTATGGTGTAGGTTAACGTGCCCGCAGTAGTATCCGAGTGACATGTCTAATCAGATACCCTTGACTGGCACATTGAATACGAGTCCCCTAAGGCTGAAGGTAATTCTCCAGTGCTAACTTTGATACCAAGCGTTACGATATTCACTTGGTTGACCGTGAAAACGCAGTCGTCGAGAAGCGCACGGAGCAGAACCTCGAATGTGCGTTTCAACGTGCCTTGTAGTATTCGCACCCTCTAACTTAGATATGCATCCAGCTCGTATCAAAGTCCCATGTAGGTTGAATTCTAACGTGCCCACAGTAGTATCTGAATGACATTGTCTGATTAGATGACCTTGCTTAGGACTCCTTTGATGTCGAAGGTAAGTAATTCCCTAGTCCTGGCCTTGTTTTCGAACGTTCTATTTACCCCGTTCAATCACAGATGATTCAATCTCGACTACAGCAAGTCTTTAGTTCGGCTCTGGAGTCTCGGCCCTTTTTAAATAATTATCGCCGTTAGCATAAGATTAGAAGCTCGGGGTTGTGGATCCCGGCAGCGAGTAGAGTTGACTTTCCATAGTGCGAATTAGTCTAGCAACTATCGACATTTACCATCACTATAACCCACAGTTTGTCTTGTAATAAATTATAGTGGAACGAAATGCTTGGATGCCGTGAGCCTGTCCGGTAACTCGGTCGGTTGCTGGAATAATGCCTCTCGAGTGCGACTATGGATAGGTTTCGTGTACTTATGTCGGGTACTTCAGCATGTCGACTATGTACAATCTACTTATCATTTGAGTATTAATGGAGCGTGAGCTAAATACACAGCGCAAATATAGGGTGTGATATATAATGCATCCAGAAAGAAATTCTGATCGTCGTCTAGAGCACTATCTTCTCCTGTAAAGACACAGAAGGCGCCAAGGACGCTGAGCCTGCAAAGGCCTGCGTCTGTGTCTGCGTCCCAGCCATAACACCGACAGGAATGATATATGTACAGTGCAACCGCGCTGCAATGGCGCTGCTACTGTCGCCCACGTTTGCATCGGTCGTTTCCGCCGTTCCATTTGCTTCATTTTTTTTCTGCAGCGGTCGCATACGGCCCACAGTGCCGGGTTCCTCTGGCCGAGGCCCCCATCTTTCGACGCACTTCTTGTCTTTGTAGCGCCTTGGTGGATCACATTGGCGACAAATGCGCTGGCCGAGGGCATTATTGGCGTGGAAAGAGGTTGTGCAGGGTACTGGTGCGAAGGTAGGGATGATGGCATTGTGAGCTGGCACTACGTCATCAGCTTAAGATGTCCGGTCATTAAAAAAAGGCACGCACCGATATTTGTGCTGGACCCTGGGTTGCCCTTTCTTTGGGGGCACCGGTAACAGGAGGGGCAAAAATACAGGGCTGATCGGTCCTGAGCTGACCAGGCTGATCCAATGGACCAACAAGGATACCCCTGGACTGGTGGGCCGCCAAGACAGCGGGGGGAGACTGTGACGGTTGGTCGTCTGCATTGAGATGGCTTCTTTCATTGCCAGCAGCGTCAAGGAGGAGGTCTTCCATGTCCTTGGAAGTAGCACGGATACTAGAGCGGCTGTTAGAGCGGGATTGAGAATTGTGAGTAGGCTGGATGGTGAGGTGGTGGTTGAGGTGTTATATTTGGGAAGTTGTTGGTGATGGGGGTCTAGGTCAGTAACGCGACCACTGGACATGGAGGTGACTTGGAGAATGTGAGAAGATAGAAAGGTGGTATGAGATGGGACTTACAAAAAGAGGGGGCTTGTGGTCATATTCCCTATTGCGAAGTCGTTTGGAAGGGGGTGGTGCAATGAGATAGGAAGGGTATCAAAACTGCCTGAGCGAGGACGGCCAACAGAGATGAAGGGAGGAAGAGGAGGGAGGGCAGCTGCGATTCTGGGATTTGCGGAGTAGAGTCTACAGTCGTCAAGCCGCCAGTTAATATTCGGGATGTGACCACCTGTCAGTCCGTCTCTGAGAATACGGTGTAAGACAGCACGTGCGTGGGCAGTGGGGGATTCGATGGCAGCGAGACACTTGTTGAGTTCTTCGTAATATTCGAGCGTAACACGTCTGCTTGCTTCTGATTTTTCGAGTCGTTTCTTTGTGTCGCTAAGTTCTTCTGTTAGTCTGTCATTTTGGCAGTAGCTGTTACGGAGTAGATTAGCAAGCCGAGCGTCACGGTTGGAATGATTTTTATTTGGAAGTGGGGATGTCATAGTATGGAGTTGTGCTGGAGGTTCAGACATGGTGCGCTGATGGGGGAAGAGCCCAGTGCTTGAGGAGGGACTTGAGAGTCGATGATCGCTCGATCACGATGGCGTTTACGTCACCGTGCATGCGACAAGTAATTTGGAAGTGCCACTTAGGTCGGCGAAAACCTCGATATTTTGCTGGTAACGAGATATGTAGATTGCAGAGCAACCTAGAGTAACGTTCCTTCAATAAAGACTCAATTACCTCCCAAATCCAATATTTGCATGGTCTCATGAGCGTGCGTGGTTTCGTCTCTTGTTGCCAGTTGGGGACCGAAACCTCTGTCCGACACCGTCGCGGGTCATATACGGCTAACGAAAGGTAGCACATCCAATACAAACAAAAGCCGGGCCGTCAAGGGTATACTAATCGAAGTTGATTTAGCTTCGTATTGATCTTCATATGGCTATTCACCGTACCGTATACGGTATACGACCGTCGACCGCACGACATCCACACATTACAGTAGAAAACATACCCGTACACTCAAAATTGCCTCAAAGTCAGATTCTGAATGCACCGCGGGTCTCTGCCGAAAACAGCTGGTGTTGCACTGATAGACATAGATGCTGTGAAAACAGCCACGACGGCGAGGAAGATGTAACGCATTGGTTGTACAAGGTGATGTATGGTAGAAAGACGGTTGGAGTTTATGTCCTAAAAACCTCGTTAACCATTCTGGCCGAATAAACAGTGTGTATTAGTGATTGTTAGTCGGCTCTATGACTGGTAGGAGAAAAGGAGGGCAACAGCAAATCATTATATTTAAAAATTTAAACCTGTTATTAAGGCGCGAGCTCACTATCATAAAGACAGCTCGGGTTCGATTAGGCAGCATGCTCGCATCGTCCGGCAGCGTCACGGCGACGCTGACCACAGCTCTCAAGAGCGTCGTCAATCTTCTTCGGCGAACGGCTCATCCGTCGGATAACAAACGCTCGGGCAGACTTGTTGTACTGAGCATAAGCATAAGTGAAGGACGCTCCACCTCAGTCTTGAGACCACCTAGATCTACGTGAAGCCAAAGTTGGCATAGGCAGCGATAATCGAGAACACGGGCTACGCGAGGCAGAAGGAGCCGTGCAAACGCCGGGTGATGAAGATCGGCGCCTGCGAGAGAAGTCAAACTTGTGAGCAATTTGTCAGTGTTAACCGTCAACCAACCACCGAAATATTTGCGTTATGGTTGTGCAACATACATTGATTATTTTCGACCTTCATTGAGCAGCATCGAGCCCTCGGCCCGTCGGAAATTGGAATTCCTTCACTTGGGCTTGGCTTGGGCCTGTGCCGCGGTTGCAAGGACATATCGGATGGATCGGGTGGTGCGCTCAGTTGAAGTTGATTCCCAGGTGACCAAGTGATGGAAAGAAAGTCAGGAAGCGGGTGGAAACAAAACAGATAAGCAGTCAGATGTTTTGTTCAGTGAAAAGAATTAGGTTAAGGGAAGAAGGACGATGAAAGACATGGAAAAAAGACAGCTAAACCGAGCGTTGAGGGGTGGTTAGGACATGAGGGGAGTGGACTTGGGATGGGTAGACCAGAGGACAGACAACGACAGATATCAAGGACGCGAGCACTGACCGACCAGTGTTTTTCAACAAGGACCTGCAAACGAGTCAGAAGCGGAAGCACCAGGGCTGTTACAAATGAGCCCAGCAGAAAGGCGGACTCACGTCACATCAAATACTTGAGGAAAATTCTTTCCTGATATACTTTGTTCCGAACTAAGTTCTCAAGATCTCAGGTGGCAATATTAATCTGCTGGCATTGCAGATGTTCGAAAGGGTGGTCGTGTTAAGTTCTTCCTACACTGCCACGAATAACAATATTCAGCACAGAAAAGCAAGCCCCCATATTACATCCTCACAAACAATGCGATTCTTCTTTGTCCTCGCCGTTGCTGCTGCTTCGACAGCATCAATATCTGCAGCATCAATACCTGCCAGTAACCCTGTCAGTGAAAAATGTCCTGAATTTTGCAACGCATCAAACTGCTGCTCTGGGCAGCTATGCTTGCCGTTGGGATTAGCTTGGGTGAGTATGAGTAGTTTGCGTCTTGGATTCAACCGCATGACTCACCGGCATGGTAGTTATGTGTGGATAGTCACTGAGTGGCATTTCACGATATTGAACTACAGTGAGTCGTGTTTCTGCTTTCGCATCGATGCAGTATGGTTGATGGCACGACGCGTGATTTACTCGTAGCGAGTTATTCAGATCTGCTAGCTTCGACGTCCTCGTGAGGATCCAGGCGTGAAAGAAGTGGATACATATAGCAGAGAGAGAATGACTGTTAACACAGACAATATTAATGTCAACTTTGAAGCTATAGTGAAGATGTCATGGACGTCGAAACAAATTTATGACGTTGTACTTACGACTCGGACGATAGGAAGTTTGAGAACGTTCTACTTTCAGCACGAACGAGGATGTAAAGGTGACTGATATTACCACTCGAAACTAGTGCCCGCACCTCAGAAGCAACAGTTGCTATTCATTCCTACTTAATCCAAGTCAAGAAAAAATTGAGAGGTATTGCAATAAATCAGAACTCGACCGGTTGAGGTTTAAGGCAGTGAGGCTGTTGCATATTGGTATCGGTACCTGGGGCTTGACGCTCAGCGCAAATATTTTGTTGTGATTTGTTTTGGCTCAAAGTCAATGAAAGTCTACTAGGGCTGCTTAATTTTTGCTTTGGACATAAAATGCTTGGACGTAGTAGTCGATTAGTTTCTAGGCAGCGACTTCCTCGACCAGCTCGACTTTACTCAAATCCTTCAAAGAAAGTAAATGCGCCGGCTACCGCTTTCGCCCAAGTCCCCCTACCCCATTCAGAGTATCCCCCCTTCTTGGCACAGAGGGAGGAGGACTCGACCCATCTCCTCGCAATGCACGGCTTTCTAAAGCGCAGAACACCATACACAATCCTGCCAACACCCCTTCCAGATGACCGTGCTTCAGCTCTGAACAGCTTCTACTTTACCGATTCTCCAACTCAGGACCAGCTGGCCGTTATGGATGCATGTCTCCACAATCTATACGACGTTCCACGCGCAAAACAGGTCTTTGAACAACTCAGGACCAGCAAGTCTGGCGAGCCCTTACTCGAATCTCGCATACACAACTCCTTCTTAGAAGCTTATATCGACATGGCATTTATCAAGGAGCCAGAGGACAGAGCTTTGTGGGTCGAGGACGCGTCTCAGCTCTACAACCTCATGGAAAAGGGTACTGAAAAAGTACACCCGACCGCGTCCACTTATGCTATCATGCTGCTAGCATGGAGACGGTACCCTTCATTCACCACTCTACTTTTTCTTACTCTGACCATCCTTTCTAGTTTCAATCCCGAGTCTGACACACCTGTCCACCTCTCCAACATGCCAAACCCAACAACACTCCTTAGTAACCTCATAGAGCGTGACATCTCACCCACAACAGTCGTCGCCGATCGCGTTTTATCATCATCCGAAGAAGCTTCTGACATCATAAAATTCCTTTCCAAAGCCGCGGTAGAGCTTAATCTCCCTCGTGTGTTGGCTGAACTCGGTCAGGCAGAATCGCTCGGAAGTCACGTCCCAGACCCATTGGAGGATGTCCCAGAGGTCAAGCCTGTCACGCGACTCGCCGTACGTGCTGCATTCTTTCACTTGAATTCCATTCACATCCCCTCAGACGCCCTCTGAGGAAATTCTGGACGAGGACGGCAACGTAATGCCAGCGGAGGCAAAGGAAGAAGTTCCCTTCAACCTCAACAACCTCCGCAACCACTTGGCTCAGGTCACTCTTGCACGACGCGTCCTCCCAGAAGACCTAGCTTCCCGACAAAAACTCCTGGAAGAATCCGTCTACGACGTTGCGGTGGAACGCCTCCGACATGAAGCCAAACTTTTCGACGACCTAGGTCTAGGCAACCGCGAACTCCATCGCGCAGATTTGCAAAAATGGATGTGGGACTGGCACCAAAAACTCAAGACGCGTCTCGAGGCCGAAATAAAGGGGATCATAGCTGCAGAGGCCAAAATTGGTAAGCATATATGCGCCTATCAGACATCCATATTGACCACCAGCTAGCTTCAACCAAGAAAGTACCCCGAATGGGCCCCTTCCTCTCCCTCGTCAAGCCCGAGAAGCTCTCCCTAATCACTATCCTCGAGATCATGCGCCTCCAAGGCAGTGGTGGCGTCTCAGATGGCATGAAAACTGCCCGTGCGCTGCTCACTGTCGGGCGCGCCGTCGAAAATGAGTACAAAGCTGAGATGTGCAAACGCAACAATATCGCCATCCCCTCGCACGCGCGGCCGAACGAGTTCACAGGTTATTTCACGGGCCTTGGGTACCGGGACTTGCATGCGCGCCGGGTGACGGCTGCAAAGTACATGGAGGACAGCGAGGACTGGACATCAGAGTGGACTCAGCTGCTTAGGGTACGCGTCGGGAGTATCCTCGTAGACTGTCTCATGGACTCGGCGACGATCGAGCGGACTGCTGTGGATAAGCGCACCAACGAGGAGCTGTAAGTTTACTTGTTTCCTGCGTGTCACATGGGTTGAAACTCTCTGCAGAAAAGAGAATCAACCCGCGTTCTACCATGCATACGAATATGTGCGCGGGCAGAAGCTTGGTGTCATCCGGTTGAACCCCGTGGTCTCAGAACGCATCGCAAAAGATGGCCTGCGCGAAACGCTTCACCCGCGTCATCTGCCCATGCTTGTCAAGCCCAAGCCGTGGCTCAACCACGACCAAGGCGGATATCTCTACAATCGATGTGAGTACAACATCCAACTCTATTAATCCTCGCTAACAAAGTTGAAATTACTAGCTGCCGCCATGCGCTTCAAAGACTGCCAAGAACAACAAACCTACCTCGAGCATGCATCCGCACTCGGTAACGTCGAGCTCGTGTTCGCAGGACTCGACGTTCTCGGTAGTACACCCTGGAAAGTCAACCGCAACATCTTCGATGTCGTGCTCAAAGTCTGGAATTCTGGTGAACGGCTGTGCAAGATCCCCCCTGCAGTATTCGACCAGCCAGAGCCTGAAAAGCCCCCGAACATGAACGCGGATATCAAAGCCAAGAGCGTGTACGGAACTCGTCTGAAGGCTTTTATGCAGGAGAGAGCGAATAACCATTCTGATCGGTGTAGCGTCAACTATAAGATCGAGATCGCGCGCGCTGTAGGTTTTTCATCTTGTTCTTATGCTAGCGATCTGACCAAAAGCGAAAGTTTCTGGGCGATACGATGTATCTCCCTCACAACCTCGATTTTCGAGGACGCGCGTACCCCATTCCTCCCCATTTCAACCATATCGGGGATGACCTCAGTCGTGGGCTGCTCATGTTCGGTGATGCGCAGCCCCTCGGTGAACAAGGCTTGCGGTGGCTTAAAATCCACCTTGCAAACCTGTACGGGTTCGACAAGGGGAACTTTGACGAGCGGGTCAAGTTTGTGATGGATCATCTTGAGGATGTGTATGATAGCGCTGAAAAGCCTCTCGATGTGTGTCTTTTCCCTTCTTATTACGATGCCTTTGTGTTGACGCTCGAATAGGGTAGCAGGTGGTGGACAAAAGCTGATGATCCATGGCAATGTCTCGCGACGTGCATGGAGCTACGCGCAGCGCTCGAATCAGGCGATCCGCATGCATACATGTCGTCCCTCCCGGTACATCAGGACGGGACGTGTAACGGGCTCCAGCATTACGCCGCTCTTGGTGGTGATGTCAAAGGCGCTGCGCAAGTCAATCTCAGTGTGACGGACCGCCCGTCGGACGTGTACACCTACGTTGCAAACATGGTGGAGCGGCTGCTTGAGGAAGATGTGAAAAGGGGCGACAAGTATGCGATCATGCTTGCTGGCCGGGTTTCGAGGAAGGTGGTTAAACAGACTGTGAGTGTTCGTTTTGTTGATTGAGAGGCGTGGGCTGACATGATGTGGTGACAGGTGATGACTACTGTTTATGGTGTGACTTATATTGGCGCTCGTGAGCAGATCGAGAGACAGCTTAAGGATAGGAAGGATATTCCTGAGGAGGAGTGTTGGGGTGCTAGCGCTTATCTTGCCAAGAAGGTATGCATTCTCTCTCTTCCAAGAACTCCATCAAAGACTTACTCCTCCATTCACAGGTGCTCTCTTGCATCGGTGATCTATTCTCAGGAGCCAAAGCCATTCAAGTCTGGCTGAACCTCTGTGCCCGCCTCATCTCCAAATCCATCCCAGCCGAGCGCGTTCCAGACGCATTACAATCTCCCAAAGGACGTAAGAAGAACGGTTCTTCCCTCCCCAAGAACCGTATCAGGAAAGAACAAATGTCGTCCGTCGTGTGGACGACGCCTCTAGGTCTCCCTATCGTACAGCCCTACCGCAAGACGAAGCGAAAGCAGGTCATGACAGCCATTCAGAGCGTGTTCATCTCCGACCCTAACGCGCCTGCTGAAGTGAATGCTGTGAAGCAAGCGTCGGCGTTCCCGCCCAATTTTATTCATAGTCTTGATGCTACGCATATGATGTTGACTGCTCTCGAATGTCGCGTAGGTCCCTTCGGCTTGGATTTTTTTTTCGATATTGATGAGTGTGGTTATAGACCCAAGGCTTAACTTTTGCGTCCGTGCATGATTCTTATTGGACGCATGCTAGCAGCATCGACAAGATGTCTGAAATTATCCGAGACACTTTCATCGCCTTGCATTCCTCGGACGTCCTTGAGAAATTGGCTACGGAGGTACGTATCGTATTGCACGTGCTACTCAACCACAATACTGAAATTCTTGTTGCAGTTCCGCACCCGATACGCATCCCACAAGGTTCCTTTGGCATCGCTCCGCAGTGGTAAGCTGTTGAAGAACCTCCAAGGCGCAGGCGTGCGTATCGTAGCTTCGTCCGAACAGGCAGCTGCGCTCCGTGAAGGCGGGTTCACGTCGTTTGACAGCATTATGGATGTCTCAGACGAAGAAGCTGGGTCCATCGCCCAGATGTCCCAGGCATCGGAGCCTCAGTCGCAGACTGAGACTCCAGTGACTGAGGTTCCGAGTCCCAAGCCCACGTCAAGCAAACGCGGACGGCCCGTCAAAAACGTGATCATCATCGAAGGGAAGAACGATTTTTCAACTGTTACGGAGCATGAGGAAGGAGACGAGGACAGCGCAGGCGAGGACGACGCTGATTCGCTTCTGGTGGATAAATTCGTTGATTTGAGCGCTGTGCTTCCACCTCTTCCGAAGAAGGGCGATTTTGATGTGGAGACAATCAAGAAGTCGCAGTACTTTTTTTCATGAGTCTGCGTGTGCGCTTTTGTCATCCGTCTTTTGTCTTTTTCATGCGATGTTTCGCTGTCCTTGTTTTCGCCCCTGCATGCTTCATCACGCCGCATACGTACGCCTTGCATTTGCATATCTATCACTAACGTAATCTTACATTACTCACGTTGTCACATAGACCTACTTAGATGGAATAAGAGTTTACTCGCCTCTCATGATGCATATATTTGTCTACATAAACATCAAGAAATTTGGTAAACTCGGATTGCTTAAAAACTTGAAGTAAAGGGACAAACTCACTACTATCATTGAACACAGTATCGACACGTACAGTATTACATTTTATTTCGCTCATTTTGTTTTTTTCGCAAATGAACGTATCCCCATGCCCCACGACAACAAAGCTATGAAAGGAAACAGTGGTTTGTTCCCGACAGCGGATTCGAGCTGGCACTGACCTTGCTTCCCAAGGTGATATTGTGTTCCACGCCAAATTGCCAATAGATCTTGCTTCACAAGTCAACTAAGTTCTCAATTTAGGTGGAAATCTGCTGGCATTGCAGATATCATCTATTCGAAAGGGTGTTCCGACATCGCCATGAAGGACAATATCCAGCACATAAAATCAAGCCGTCTTCCTACTATCCCCTTCAGATTTATCATTCTCACAAACAATGCATTTCTCCCGTGTCCTCGCCGTTGTTGCTGTTTTGACAGCATCAACAACCGCAGCATCAATACCTGTCAGTGGAGAATGTCCTATAGGTTGCGCCATATTATTCTGCTGCCCTGGGCAGTTATGCCTGGGGTATAGCATACTTTCGGTGAATATGAGTAGTTTGCATCTTGGATTTAACCATGACTCACCGGCGTGGTAGGTATGTGTGTAGACAAGTAGAGGTCGAGGTTTAGGACAGACGAGGTTTAGAAATGGTAGGACGAGGATTAGAAATGGGAGGACGAGGATTAAGAGTCATCACGAAGGTTTTCGGCGCTGTGAATAGTACCAAAGTGGATGTTGAGAATACACGCAAAGGGATCGTAAGGCTCCGCGGCACTGATGCTGGCGTCTTGTCATCAAACCCTCCAATCCCGTGTGGGAATAGAGTAAGAAATATACCCGGCAGCAAGTCAGGGTTATTGTATTACGGTTAGACTCTCTGTACAGCCTGTACAGCCAAAGGTCCGGCACCTCAGATGACAGTAAAGGCACGACCCGAAAAATGAGTGCAATCAGGATCTGAGACGCCCATGGATTCGTTTACAAACGACGGGTCAGTGTCCGAGTCCGCGGGTGACGTGAAGGACTGAGCGGGGTGATCATCAAAGCCTCCCGTTTCCTCCGAGAAGATTGTTGTGACATCAGGATCATGATCATACATAACGCGCTTAGCAAGACCAGGAATGGGACATTCTGAGGAAACGTCAAATATTATCCAGCCGTCTGGTTTTCCAAAGTAGCGACCCGCACATCTTGAATGGTTCGAGACGCCGCGTTCCAAGTCGTGCTTCATGACCGCATGGAATAGAACAAGGATAAAAGACTCTAGGTCATGATGTACACCGCGCTCGATTTTTGCGAGACGAACTGTGCCCTTCAAGTTCTTATCTGAGCGCAACATCTTCTCCAGAAGCCCTCCGGCCATGAACAAGGCAGTGCCCTAATGGTGATGTTTGGTGGAAATCAGCAAGCGTTAAAGCGTAGATGTACTGTGATCTCTGCCCCTGGAGCTCTGGAACTTGATAGAATGGTTTCCTCGCCTCTGGTGTTTGGCTGGTCGACCGAGAGAGGAAGCTGATCCAGTGAAATCATTGTTTCAGTCTTGGGTAGCACCACCGAGGCAAGCTCGAGATCCGTAATGAATCCTTCTCGACTTCCAGCGTAGCCTGGCTGGTCGAGAAAGATATTGCCCGGGTTGATGTCGCTATGAAGGGTACCCTTATCTTCCCGGAGTACTTCATGTCCTAGAAACATAACGATTAGGACAGTCAGTGCCGGCTACTTAAATGATGTTTTACCTTTGAGTGCAGCGATAGACCCTAACCTCATTCATCTTTACTGATAACCTCAACCTGAATGTACGTATCCAAGGCCTAGGAGTCTTCATCTCTTCGAGGGTATATGACTTCAGGTTCCAAATGGAGAGGTCTCGGAGCGTTTGGCCGGAGGTGTAGATTTAGCTGTGTTTTCTCTGTTGTTGTATAGTGACTGGCCCACGAGCTACCTTCATCCCTTGTTGTAATTCAATGGTAATTGTAGACTGCACCTTGAAAACAGTGATATGAGGAGGCCCTTGAACTCGTACCACTACCATGGTCAGTTTTCCCACGCATTTTCGTGGACAAGGTAGAGCGACGCCCGCTCACAGTGAACAACTGGCTTCGAATAAACATCATAAACATCATAAATCAAACACCTAAAGCACACACACGAACATGCAGCCAACCCACATCAAAACCATACCGAAACTGAACCACACACGTAAAATACCATCCCGCACCACGAGAAACACGCATCGCAGACAAGATTAAGAAACAAGCCTACGCCCGACGTAAAAGAAAACACTAACTAACGACCTTACACTAACGTCGCACCACAGCTAACCGTCCTCCTGAGAACAGATCCCTGAATATAGGTACCCTAAAACACGTCCCCACATCGCTAACAAAATGAACCCGGCCACACAGTGTCCCCCGACCCCAATGTTTGACACCCAGACAAAATCTGCGACTCAATACGAAACTATAAAACCCCCCTACAATTCTCCAAACTCCCCCGTCCACCCCAAGATGAGGGATAAGGAACCGACATCCCTTAAAGCTATCTCCCAAACGACTCGCCCATACCCCTCCACTCCCCGCCCCTCATCCCAGACCCCTCGCGCTGGTCCGAGGTACTTCCCACAGAACGTCCTACCAGACGACGACAGCATGGAACAACCCCCAAACCTCTTGCCTGATTCTCCCCCCTCCCCAACATCTCCCCCAAACACACCCACACCCATCTACCGCGAGATCAGCGGGCCCACACAACCACCTGACCTTCTCGTCTTCCGTGAATTCAACGTCACAACCACTACCCCCCAAGAGACCACGGCAACCGAAGTTAAGAACAGCGACCTTCATAATTCCATGCACGCCCCTGGTAACGCCATGGTAGACCAAATCATGGGCGCACCCCACAGCCCCCCTACCATACGTGAGCAAACCGAGGAAGAGGATGCCATCCTTGCTCACCTCGCACTAGCGGAAGCAAACCGATCCGTACTAAGCCAAAACGGAATTAACCACTGCACAATCCTACCCCAGTTCACTCCCACGCCCATCGGTGGCTTCCCCAAGATACATATGGCGCACTCTGCCCAAATATTCGATCACCTCAACAATAAGGTGCTCCTTGCTTGGTTCCAGGTGGAGCACCCGAAGTTTATGGTGCAAGTCTTTGACCAATCCGGCAAAGATGTAGCGGAGAAAACGGCAATCATAGCAGAACACATCCGAGCCAGTATATCAATCATTTCTGACTTTGTTCACCAAGAAGCTCCACCAATTCGTGTCTCCCCGCCCCATCCCCAAGGCGGACGAGGAGCTAAAGAACTCCCCATTGGCTTCTTAGTACACAAGATCTCCGAAGAAGCGAAAAACCTAATCATAGACCAACGTATATGGTCCTCTACGGACATCACATTTGAGGCGCTACCATTCAACTGTGCAACCCCCCCAGAATTACTATTCTGTCTATCCGGTTTCACCACACCAGATGCAGACATTGTCCGCAAAACTGTCATCGACATCTGGGCATACGACGACAACAGATGCCACATTGATGACACCTTCTCTATGTGCGGGTTCCCAGATGACGAGCTTGTGTACAAAGCCACGCATGACCTCATTCACTCCGTTCGCGTCGAAATCTTAGACTTCAAGGTGACAGGAGGTCTATCTGTACCTCGATTCAATATATTCACAACAAGTCCAACGAATAACGCGAAAACGTGGACAGAACTATGAAGCTTCCTTCACATCCTCGAATACCCCACTGGATTAGACGGCTGTGGAATAGCTGCGGCGCTATACCCCTACCAAATCTGCCACTCTCTCATGCACCCACGCGGCCTATGTCCATTCCCACAAATCCCACAATGGAATGGCCCAAAACTGAGTAACAGGAACGCGACAAACCCATCCCGTCAGACAGGGAGACCCAGAGGTGGCAGACCAGGCCGAAACACCTAGACCCATCATATATCACTATATATCACCTCTCCATATGCCAAGTATATACAAAAGTGTACCTCACTCCTACTACGTGCTAACCTCCAAACCCCCCTCAGCCACTTTACCCCCCAACCACCCAACCTCTTATGTACCACCTCGTATCCCCATCCTGTGAATAAACTCCCGTCGCCACCTGTCAGCTACCCGTCCCTCAATAATTACACTCGCCACAATAAACCCAACTTAGGCCCAGTACCTGTGTGAATTGGAAAATTGTCATGGCAAAAACGGATCATCGAGACGCGATCCGTTCACCACTGATTCCCTGCCCAAATATACTGATCGCATTAGCGAGACAGGAAAGTGGGAATTGTCTCACCAAAGCATGGTGCATGCCAGACCACGGAAACCTATTTAGGTTTGGACGAGTCGTGCCGAGAGGCTGAAGTTTTTACTAGTAGAAAATTGGAGCGTACTGGGCATCCCTATTCACCAAAAATGCTAACATAGTCCACTGAAAGGCGGCCAGGATATGCCGACTCTAAGCTACATAACGATCGTAATGTAGCCTTAGTATAACGATCACACCCACTTCTCAACATCCCCCCCCTCAAACTGGTCTCTCTGCTGGCCTTGGCTCTCGCCCTCATGGATGTGGAGGAGAGCCACCTCATACCACTGGGTGGCCCTCCGATGACCGTCCCCGAGGATCTGGAAGTGGATCTGCCCTACCCAGGCAAGAACTAAATCAACCGCAACACGCAATCGAAAACAACCAACACCTACCACACAACCTGTGCAACAACCCCAACCAAAATCTCCAACGCCCCCTAAGAACCCCCACCACAAATGACCCACACAACAAAACACCCGCCCGCCACCCTGCACCAAACACCAACACCACACAACATACCCCGAACGCGAACCCAATCACTAACCATACCACCGACAACTGGAAAACAAGAGCCAATATCAAACTAGCAACACTAAATATCAGAGGACGCACCTCTGCAAACCTAGGTCAAAACCAAATCTCCAAATGGAATGAGAGACCAAAGGATAGGTGTACTATGCATACAAGAAACACACCTATGCCCAGAACACCAGTCACAGATCGACTCCCTCTACACATGCAGACTCCTAGTACTAAACTCGAGCGACCCGGCGAGACCCGGTAGCTCAGCTGGAGTGGCATTCATCCTAAACAAAGAAATAACAAACGCTTCGAGCGCCAGACTACATGTCATCATCCCTGGGCGAGCAATTATACTATCCATCAGCTGGCATGATAATAAAATAATTAATATACTAAACGTGTACGCACCAAATAACCTGAATGAACACAGAGACTTCTGGAATACGATCCAAACCGAACTACATAGACATAGCCTCGAATCAATAGACTTCCTGATGGGAGACTTTAACCTCACCGAAGACCCTATTGACCGCGCTCCTGCAAGACTAGACAATGAAAGCGCGATAGATGCATTGAGGGACCTAAGAAACACACTAAACCTGCAAGATACATGGAGAATAGAGAACCTGCACTGAAGACTATTCACACTCAGTAGCAACCATCAAACACTATCACGCCTAGATAGAATATATACATTGAGTAGACATACCGAAAGTCTAATGGAATGGAACTCACTAATAAGCCAGATCCTGTTATGACCAACGTCCCTTAACCTAACTAGTAGGTGTCTGGAGATCGGATCACACCACAGGACTCGTCTGAGAGAGGATAAAGCAGGGATAGTATTGAGAGGGAAACATCTAGGCCTACGATGACGTAAGAACGAAGAGGTTAAGTCTAAGGAGTACTACTGACTACTACCTAGACTATATACTATACTTGGGTCGGAGATATCTGAGTATGAAAGGTTGTGATATATCTATATACGGTCATAACATTGCACCTAGGGTATAGGGCATCTTTATCAACCAATCAACTACAAGAAGGGGAAAAGGGTTCATAGGGGTATTGGTGATTAAGCAGGGTTCTTAGGGTACTGCTTCTATTCAGGGTGAACGGAGATTAAGAAGGGTGAGAGAGTTCTGTGACAAGAAGTCTCGAGCGGTGATTAAAGGATCTCGATAGGAGATAGGATCTGGAGATGTATCGGGTACGATTGGATCTAGGGGTTTCTCCAGGGTCTTCGGTAATGAGCATGCTTCTCTATGAGTGGCGCTTCTGTGATAGGGTTCAGGGGTGTAGCTGTGACTGTGCAACAGGTTCTAATGTAAGGGGTTCGGTGAATGACAGAGGTAAGGTAACTCTTAATGTGTCATGTGTGGGAAGTGAAGGTCTGCGATGTGAAGGGATGATGATTCTTCGAGAGGTGGCTCGTAAAGGACTCTCGGTTATGGTTCGATCATAGAGGCATGTAGATGCTTATGATGTAACCCGTTGCCTAATCGTAGGACTTCTAAGGATGTGATGACTTCGTATGTCTAGGGTTATGGATATAGATGGATGACGTCGATGTAGTATAGATGTGATGTAAAGATAGTGATCGTTAATCGGTTATCCATCTTATCTTATCAGGGATCTTATCTAATCTAATCTTATCGGATAGGGTCTCTTAGGTTTGATAATCGAAATTTAGATGCAGTTGGTAACATTCATGACAGATCCCCACTGACCACCAGATGGTCTCCGTCAGATTTGCGCCTCCAGACCTACCCCACATAGGGAAGGGAAGATGGTCCTGGCCACCAAGCCTGATATCGGACACATCCCTAATGAACAGAATAATTGAAATGGGAAGAAAAACCCAGTCTATAATAGAAAACAATGCACAACGCACCAAAGAATCGAACCCTCAAACCATATGGCAAGACTTTAAAACCGATATAAATAAAATCGCTAAAGATACAGCAAAAACCCACCTACATAAGATACATCAACAAATACGCACCCTATCGAAAGACCTTCGCAAGCTAGCAAACGCGAACGACATCGACATGTCCGAAAACACAAGACTGAACGAAATTATCCTAGAAAAGGAAATCCAACACCTGCAAAAGAAAAACTTCAAAAAAACGACACTGAAAGCACAAGCGCAATGGGCAACTCACGGCGAAACAATCAGCAAATATTGGTCCAGAATGAACAAACAAAAATCCCCGCGAGACATCATATACAGACTAAACATCCCTAACACTAACAGGTACACAACTAAATCAGAGGAAATGGCAACAATCGCAAAGACGTACCATGAAGATCTGCAATCCAATGACACACTACACCACACAGACAGAGAAAGATGCGAAGCAAGAAAGCGAACATTAGCCGAAATACCGATTGAACAGAAACTCACTAACCCCCCGGACCGCATGAACGAGACGTTAAAAGAAGAACACATCCTTGAAGCCCTTCTCTCGTCAAAATCGGGAAGCGCTGCAGGCCTCGATGGCGTGCCTTACGATGTATGGAAACTATTACACAAAAAACACCAAGAAGCGACACAAAATGAGAAACCAAGTTTCGACATCATAAAGACAATGACCTACAGTGGCTCAAAAAACTGTCCACATGTTTGTGCTATTTTCACTATCTACATTATTGTATATGAATGGACAGGTAGACCAAGGTTATGCTAGTGGGGTACTCTGTAGTACTCCCTTGGGGCATGAATGTGAGCCCTTGACCGTGGGAATCCATGGTAATGTGGTGGCGCTATAGGCCTTAAAAAATGATGACTCATGTGGACAGTTTTTTGACCCAAGTATTTTACACAGATAATTAGCTGTTCTAGTATTTTGTGTGACCTCCCTTGCCCTTAATTCCTGCCTCTATCCTTCTAGGCATACTTTCAATCAATTTCTGACAATCCTCTGCTGTAATATTTCCCCACTCCACTGTAACTCTCTCCTATAACTCCCACACTCCTTTAGGAGGGTGTTCATAGGCTAAAAGCTTCTTCTTGAGTACTCCCCAGAGGTGTTCAATGACATTGACATCAGGGGATTGTGCTGGCCAGTCAAGGAGGTGAATATTTTGCTCTTCAAACCATTCTCTGGCTCTTCTGCATGTATACTTGGGATCATTATCCTGTTGTAAAATAATGTCTTCTTCATCAATTCCTGATTCTGCCATGGTAGGCAGCAAGTGGTGGTTGAGGATGTCCACATACTGCTCAGCATCCATCCTCCCCTCAACTTCTGCAAGCATTCCCACACTATTCCACCCCATAGTTCCCCATACCATTAGAGAACCTCCTCCAAACTTGAGAGTTCCATTAATCTCTCTGTCTATAAGAGGGCCCCCCTTCTTTTTCCACACATATACCTTCCCATCTGACCCAATTCTATTGATTTTAGTCTCATCAGACCATATGACCCGCTTCCAGTCCTCTACAGTCCAGTTTTGATGGGCTAGGGCAAAGGCTAGTCTTCTCTTCCTATGAGTGATGGAAAGAAGAGGCTTTTTCTTCTTTGTTACAGCCCTAAGATTGGCTTCCTTAAGGACATTCCTCACTGTTTGTGAAGAAACTGGAGTAGGGATGATGGAATTGATATGATGAGTGACTTGGACAGCATTATCAGCCTTTCCTGTGGTGATATGTTGGATAATGACCCTCCTATCAGTAGAGGTGAGTTTGGATGGACAACCTCCACTGGAGTTTTCCTTGTCTGGGTGACATTCTTTGATGAGCTTAGCTACAGTAGACTTGCATACACTAGTTCTAGAGGCTATTTGATGAGTGGAGAGGCCAGTAGTAGACAGAGAAAGGATATTATCCCTTTGAGCAGAGGAGATGGTTTTCATGGTGATTGTGACTATGATATATGGGACACACTTCATTATATACTTAGCAATAGGTTTAATAATGTCATAATGACACCACTTCATAATTTATTTAATAGTGGCATGACTTTATGGTGTCATAACTAATGATTTATATAATTTTAATCTAGGGTCAAAAAACTGTCCGCATGAGTTATCATTTTGTAAGGCCTATAGCACCACCACATTACCATGGATTCCCACGGGCAAGGGCTCAAATTTACGCCCCAAGGGAGTACTACAGAGTACCCCACTAGCATAACCTTGGTCTACCTGTCCATTCATATACAATAATGTAAATAGTGAAAATAGCACAAACATGTGGACAGTTTTTTGAGCCACTGTATGTGATGACAGATATCCAGCTACATGAAGTAACCACAAACTCCTCCTTCATGACAGGCTGGATGTGCCCTCTGTATAAGAAAAAGGAGCGCTATAAAATAGAGAACTATAGACCAATCACCCTACTAAACACTGACTATAAAGTACTTACCAAAGCACTTGCGATACAAGCTGCAAATGTCATACACAAATTGATTCACCCCAACCAGAGCGGGTTCATCCCCAAGAGATCCATCTTTGACCTGATCCATCTGGCACAAACTATGACCGCATACACAGACATAATGGAAGAAGACGGAGCGATCGTAGCATTAGACCAAGAAAAAGCCTATGACAAAATACAACACACATACCTGTTCGACACACTAGACGCCTTCCAGCTACCCCCAATGTTCGTAAAAACAGTAAAAAGCCTATATAAATCAGCATACACACATGTAGCTATCAATGGCTGTATGAGCGCACCCTTCCGAGTTACCAGAGGTGTGCGCCAAGGAGATCCGTTATCATGTCTACTATTCAATTTAGCGATTGAACCACTAGCATGCACACTGAGAAACTCACAAAAAATACAAGGCTTCAACATCCCTGGCCTGAACCATCAAATCATCGTCAACATGTACGCTGACGACACCACCATATACCTATCCAAAGACGATAGATACTCGGACCTAGAAGACATACTAAAAGATTGGTGTTTAGCATCAGGAGCGAAATTTAACTTAGAAAAAACAGAAATATTACCTATTGGTACTAAAGCCCACCAAGACCAAGTAGTACAACAAAGAAAACTACACCCCCAAGACGAACCATGGAATGACCTAATCCACGTTGCAAAAGACGGGAACCCAATTAGAACACTGGGAGCCTGGATCGGTAATGAAATAGACCACGCAACATCATGGGAACCAATACTTGTAAAAATCGAAACAAACCTTACTAGATGGAACACGTGCCATCCCTCCCTAGACGGGAAGCGTCTAATAACACAGATGATCATTGGCGGAATGACACAATTCCTAACTAAAGCACAAGGAATGCCTAAGTCGATTGAAACAGCAATCACAAAAAAGATACGTACCTTCATCTGGGATGACCGCAAATCCCCCCCAATAAGCCTCGCTCGCTTGGAAAGACCTGTATCAGAAGGAGGTCTAGGTCTACTAAATATCAACACCAGAAACGAAGCAAAAGAAATCACCTGGGTACAAGCATTCATGGACCTATCTAACTCCAGACCGGCCTGGGCCTTTGTAATGGACAGAATAATAAATAGCCTGAAGCCAAATGACATCAAAGACCAACCTGAAATAAACAACCTACTAACCTCCTGAGACCCACCAACCCGAGGAATAAGAGCCAACTGCCTCCCCAAACAAATAACAAACCTAATAAAAACAGCAAGAAAACATAACGTAAGCTTCGCTCCACTGAAACTATCGGAAAGAATCAAAAACCAAATGCCTGCATGGTACCACCTTGGCGCCCCCCAAAAAATGTATCACAGAACCAAAGACAAGTGCCTGAAAGACACCCACAAAGCGAAGTCAGTAAAAGACCTTAGAGAAATAGCCGAATGACTAACAAATACCATCACCCACCAAAACATGGCAAAATGCATATGTTATGCATGCATCGAAAACATATTGGCAGGATGCAAAGACCCCGACAAGTGCGCACGCACCGCAAAAAAAATCCTCGACAACCTAAATCCAACATTCAACCCTAACACATCCCCAAGAAAAGACAACTTAACCCTAACACACAGAAGAATAGAGAAAAATGCATGCATGAGAAAACAACAAAACAGCGAGATCATCTTCGACCCCACCATCACAAACAAGAGCCACATATCAGAGAGCTTCTGTATCTTCACTAACCCAGACCGCATAATACAACTCCCAGCCTACCACCTTCGCACACCAATAGCGGACTGCGGACGATAAAGACCCCAACTAACAATATATACCGATGGATCTTGCACCAACAACGGCAAACTAAATGCGTCATGCGGAGGAGGAATCTGGGTAGGAGATAACCATCAACTCAACAAAGCCATCAAAGTACCAGGAAATACTCACTCAAACCAGATAGGTGAGCTGACAGCTGTACTAGTAGCCCTACATTCAGCTGACCCACTAACACCCCTGAAGATCATAACAGACTCAAGATATGTCATAGATGGACTAACTACGCACCTGACAAACTGGGAGGATACCGGTTGGATAGGAATCGCCAATGCGACCCTCTTCAAATCCGCAGCCTACCACCTAAGAAGACGCCCAGCTCCCACCACATTCCAGTGGGTTAAAGGACATAACGGGCATATAGGAAATGAAAGAGCGGATCAACTCGCGCTCGTTGGAGCCCTCCGAACTGAACCTGACCAAATCGACACATACATCCCATGAAATTTTGACACCCAGGGAGCGAGACTAACAAAAATATCACAGAAATTAGCGTATATGGAGATCATGAACAAAACTAACCTCACCTACAAAAGGGCGACACTAGCCCTCCTCAATATAACAAGATTTGCCATTGAATCACTATCGTCCAACCTAGAAACGGACAAAACCATATGGCGCAGCTGCAGGAACAAAGACATCTCGAAAAATATCCAGATGTTCCTATATAAATCGCTAAATAACGCTTATCGAGTAGGAGAATTCTGGGAATCCATACCTAACTACACACACAGAGCATTCTGTAATCAATGCCCGGGCGAAATCGAATCAATGGATCACATACTAACACAATGCAGCAACCCCATCAGTAAAACAATCTGGCAACTAGCAAAAAACACCTGGCCAATAAAACATGGCCCCTGCCCTGAACCACACATCGGTCTAGTCCTCAGCTGCGGCACCATTTCCCTCCCAAACACGATGCGAGCCAAGACACCAAACAACATGAAAAATGCTCGGATAAAGAGAGGAGCATCACGTCTCCTTAGGATATTGATCTCCGAATCGGCGTACTTAATATGGACAATAAGATGCGAAAGAGTAATCCGCGAGTCCACCCACAATGAAGACACTATAAGAAGATGATGGACGAATGCCATCGACAAACAACTACAACTAGATCGAGCACTTGCAAGCAAAACTAGGCGAGACACCAAGATGGAAACAAAAGTAAGACTAACGTGGTCAGACATATTACTTAATCAACAACACCCCCCTAATGACGACTGGGTAACAAACCTTGAGGTTTTAGTGGGTATCAAGCTACCCAGGCCCCTGCAGAACAAGGCAACCAGGTAGTTCTTAGAGTCCCACACTATTTCATGACCATGAAATGTGAGTAAGTAGCATTTTCCCTCGGACGACTTTACTAGTGAGAGTCGCTATAAGCGTTTACATAGAGCTCGATGGCGTCAGTTGCTACGTAATAAACCTGCTTTTCCAAAAAAAAAAAAAAAAAAAAACAGTGATATTCAACAGCTGAAGCCGAAACAAGTAACACATTCTATATTCTGACAACAAGTTTCCCGAGTATCATACCTCCCGACACTTTCAGTCCAAGCGTGTCCCTCTTATCATAGACAATGGCTCCTCAAACCTACATTTTGAATTCGCCTCCCCCCACTCCTCTCCTAATGTCATCGCCAAGTACAAGGAGCGCAGGTTCGCTGTTACTTTTGGTAACGCAATCGACGCGGAGAGCAGTGCGAAGAGCCAGGTCAAGACACCTCAGGAAGGGGATGTGTTGTTGAATTTCAATGCAATAGTACATTTCCTGAATTGCTGTCTGCCTCACTGAACGAAGTGCATAGCGACATCCTAGCTCATGTTTGAGCAATATTTGGTTCCTTCACTCACTTTCTGTATCGATTCTGTGATGTCGTTCTATCAGAATAGCAAGCACACATCCAGCAGCCCATTTGATGCTGACAGCCTTCTTGTCTCATTCAACACGGCGTCCACTTGTCTCCTGCGTGTTACATCGGTTGGAAGCTCTCCACAGTAAAGAAAACCAACCCACATTCTACCATGCGTACGCAGAAGCTCAGTATCATCTAGTTAAACCCAGTGATCGCAAAACACACTGTAAAAGATGTCCTGCACAAAGCACTTCACCTGCATCATGGTCGTCAGACCCAAGCCATGGCTCAATCATGACCAAGGCGGATATCTCTACAATCGATGTGAGCATGCACATGCACCTCAACCAACGGCTCACTAACAAAGTTTAATTTACCAGCTGCCATCATGCACATCAAAGACTGCCAAGAACAACAAACCTACCTTGAGCATGCATCCGTGCTCAGTAACGTCGAGCTCGTGTTTGCAGGACTCGACATTCTCGGTAACACACCCTGGAAAGTCAACCGCAACATCTTTGATGTCATACTCAAAGTCTGGAACTCCAGTGAGCTGCTGTGCAAGATCCCCCATGTAGTATTTGACCAGCCAGAGCCTGAAAAGCCCCCGAACATGAACATGAACATCAAAGCTAAGAGCGTGTACTGGACCCGTTTGAAGGCTTTTATGCAGGAGAGAGCAAATAACCATTCTGATTGGTATAGCGTCAATTATAAGATTGAGATCGCATGCATTGTAGGTTTTTCGGCTTGTTCTGTAATGTCAGCGATCATGTACACCTATGTTGTGAACATGGTGGAGCGGCTGCTTGAAGAAGATGTCAAAAGGGGTGACAAGTATGCTATCATGCTTGCTGGTCGGGTTTTGGGGAAGGTGGTTGAGCAGACTGTGAGTGCTCGTTTTGTTGTTTGGGGAGAGTTGGAAGCTGACATGATGTGGTGGGGCAGGTGATGACTATTGTGTATGGCGTAACTTATATTGGTGCTCATGAGCAGATTGAGAGGCAGTTTAAGGATACGAAAGATATTCCTGAGGAAGATTGTTGGGGTGCTAGTGCTTATCTTGCCAAGAAGGCATACATTCTCTCTCATCCGAGACCCTCGAACTTACACTTATATTCTCAGGAGCCAAAACCATTCAAATCTGGCCTAACATCTGTGCCCACCTCATCTCCAAATCCATCCCAGCCGAGCGCATTCCAGATGCATTACAATCTCCCAAAGGGCGTAAGAAGAACAGTTCTTCCCTCCCCAAGAACCGTATCAGGAAAGAACAAATGTTGTCCATCGTGTGGACGACGCCTCTAGGTCTCCCTATCATACAGCCCTACCGTAAGACGAAGTGTAAACAGGTCATGACAGCCATGGAGAGCGCATTCATCTCCGACCCTACTGCGACTGCTGAAGTGAATGCTGTAAAGTAGGCGTCGGCGTTCCCGCCCAATTATATACATTGTCTTGATGCTACGCATATAATGTTGACTGCTCTCAAGGGTCGCGTAAGTCCCTTCGGCTTTGATTTTTTTTGGTATTGATGAGCGTGTTTTACAAACCCAGGGTTTAACTTTTGCATGCGTCCGTGCATGATTCTTATTGGACGCATGTGAGCAGCAGATAAGATGTCTGAAATCAACTGAGACACTTTCATGGCGCTTCATTCGTCCAACGTCCTCGAAAAATTGGCTACGGAGGTATGTATCGTATCGTATCACCCATGTTGCTCGACCATAATACTGAAATTTTTGTCATAGTTCCGAACCCGATCCGCATCCCACAAGATTCTTCTCGCGTCGCCTCGCAGCGGCAAGTTGTTGAAGAACCTCCAAGACGCAGGGATACGTGTATTGTAGCTTCATTCGAACAGGCAGCTACAGGACCCCGGCTGCTCCCTATACCGCATGTCTGCAAATTTTCAAAATTTTCCTTGCGGGGCACAACACTTTTGAGCCTTGTGGGGCGCACTTCGGACATGCATGGTAGCCAAAACATACCAAAAAAGGAAATTTTCCGAAACATATTACCGTGCTACTGAAGTACCTAGGCAAACCTGTGGTTCTGCCTCTTGCAAGACCGTACCACGAACTGCAACGCAAGAATCTCGCACACTGCCACCATCCCAGCTGCTTCCCACCTGTAGACAGTAATAAATTTGTGTTTTACAGTGTTTCATAGACTTCAAACTTACCATTCAAAGGCCCATGGTTTCATAGCGTGATACCGGCCCTCTGAGACACTGAGCGCGGATGTTCCAAGATTGTAGACAAGCTCCTTGATACTGGCAAGTGTCCATAAGTGTCCTGTAGACTTACTGTTGTGCCAAAAAGAGTTTGGGCAAAGGTATTCAGAAAGTCGTGTATAAGGAGAAAGTCTGCCTGACTCGATTTCGAAGATAGTAGACCCCCTTCTTGTCCCCAACCGAAGATAGCATGAACGGGAGCATGAAGCTCCTCCCAGTGGTCTGCAGAATGCTGGAGTGTCAGGTACTTAACTCCGAGGATACTGTCAGATGCTGGTCCTTGATTGCTGACTGTCAGAGCGGCTTTTTTCAGCTCGTCTAGGATGTTTTGCCAGGTCATAGCACAAACTTCACAAGGCAGGGGTTGGATGATACAAAAAACGGTTTGATTCTGGTTTGACTACCACAACTATTGCTACCAAATGTTCCGCATAAGTGTACCATATGTCAGTAAACATAGCTACATGGTGAATCCCTTCATCAGTTCGTAGTCAACCAGTGCCTGTTTAGGGAAACCGGACATCTGTTTGAGCTTTGTCGTTGGTTAGTGTACCATTCGCATGACCTTCAACCCGGGATCCACGGCCTCTCGGGGTGCTACCAACGGACATGGGGTATGTGCTACAGGCTTCTGGGGCACAACTTTTAGGACCATAGGATGGGTGATTTCAAGGACTTGTGAGGCGCTACCAGTGGACATACAGTATAGGGAGCAGCCGGGGTCCTGCAGCTACGCTCTGCGAAGGCGGGTTCACGTCATTTGATGGCATCATGGATGTCTCAGATGAAGAAGCCAGGTCCATCGCCCAGATTTCCTAGGCATGGGAGCCTCAGCCGAAAATTGAGGCTCCTACAACTGAGGCTCCGAACCCAAACCTATGTCAAGCAAACGCGGACGGCCCATCAAAAACGTGATCATCGTCAAATGGAAGAACGATTCTTCATTTGTTACAGAGCACGAGGAAGGAGATAAGGACAGCGCGGGCGAGGACAACACTGATTGGCTTCTGGTGGATAAATTCGTTGATTTGAGCGCTGTGCTTCCGCCTCTTCCGAAGAAGGGTAATTTTGATGTGGAGATGATCGGGGGGTCGTGGTGCTTTTTTTCATGAATCTACGTCTGCATCTTTATCGGTCGCCCGTTTTTTGATTCACTACTACTAGATGTCCACTAGAGTTTGCACATTTTTGGGGTAACGTCTATTACTCCACAACACACAAACATAAAAATTTAATTCTTTGACAGTTCGATAGCCTGACATCGAAAGTACAACATCTGCTAGTTTTTCTTTTGAAACTCGACGTGTTGAGTCTGGCGGAGAGTTACCGCGCAGAAAAGTGCATTTTCCCTAGAGTTCGCGCACTTTGTCACATCATGTCACCCGTCTGCCGCAATGCCTTTTCACACTCCGCAGTGTCCGCAACCGTTCGTACGTACTAGTGTGTTGCAAGGACTTCAATTTGGCATTGCGGAGTTTCGATTTACACAGTCTCGATGTAACGCTTTGGATAGATTGTCACGTCTGAGGCATATTTCTTTTATTGCAGATGATCCTGACAAGCATGTGGCCCCAGAAAATTTTGTTTTAGTATTCTCTCATCGTGTATAACCATCATACCGCATTCCAGAATTTTATGTGGTGATCTGACCTTTAGAGCGAGCCTTCTATGCCAAAAACTAGCCTCCAGCACCAATAAGTTGGCCATGGAACGAGATCTACTTCGATTTTCTTCAAACAAAAAACATGGCACTGTGTATTATGTTGGGGAGCACCTAAATGCAACATACATAAGGATTCCGTGCAGAATTGCGTGTGCTAGAGTCAATGCGCGAACTCTTGGGACACACGGACTGGTGGGACTATCTAGTATCAGTAATCATCGAGCACAATATCGACACGTGCAGTAGCTCCATTTTATTTTGCTCTTTTTTTTCGCAAATGAGCGTATCCCTCTGATTCCCGTGCCCTACGACAACAAATTAGCTATGAAAGGAAACATTAGTTTATTCTCGACAGAGGATCCGAGCCGGCATTGACCTTGCCTCGCAAGGTGATGTTTTGTTTCACGCCAAATAGATCTTGCTTCACAAGGGCCGCCCAGGGCCCAGGCAATTAAGTCATGGTCGAACCTTCTGTATGAACGAAGTTCTCATAATCTTAGGTGGCAATCTGCTGGCATTGCAGATATGTATCATCTGTTCAAAAGGGTAGATAGGTTCTTCCTACATCGCCATGATAAACAATATAAAGCACATAAAAGCAAGCTGTCTTCCTACTGTCCCCTTCAGATTTATCGAGTCATCCTCGCAAACAATGCGTTTCTCCCGTGTCCTCGCTGTTGTTGCTGTTTTGACAACATCAATATCTGCAGCATCACTACCTGCCAGTGACCCTAACAGTGCGGACTGTCCTACATCTTGCGCAATATTTTTCTGCTGCACCGGGGAGTTATGCATAGGGTTTGGTTTCCTTGCGGTGAGTATGAGTAGTTTGTGTCCTGGATTTGATCACATGACTTACTGGCGTGGCAGGTATGTGTGTAAAGTTTAAACAAGTAGAGGTCGAGGTTTAGGACAGACGAGGTTTAGAAATGTTGAGGTTTAGGGAGGACGAGGTTTAGGACTTCAGGCCTGCAGGAGTCATCACAAAGGTTTTCGGCGCTGTGAATACTATACCAAAGTGGATGTTGAGAATACACGCACGCAAAGGGACCCCAAGGCTCCGCTACGCTGACGCTGGCGTCTTGTCATAAAACCCGTTTAGAAAATTAAAATAGAGTAGGAAATATGGCCGGCAGCAAATCAGCGCTAATGTATTCCGGTACTGCTTTAGATCTGTACAGCACAAGGTCTGGCACCTCGGATGACGAAGGCAGGAAATCGCGTAAAGCCGAGGCAGTAAAAGCACGATCCGAAAGACGAATGCACTCGGGATCTGAGACGCCCATGGATTCGATTAAAAACGACGGGTCAGCGCCCGAGTCCGAGTCTACAGCGGGTGACGCGAAGGGCTGAGCGGGGTGACTGGCAAAGCCTGCCGTTCAATCCTCCAAAAAGATTAATATTGTGACATTAGAATCATGATTATATAACGCGCTCAGCAAGACCAGGAATGGGGCCATCATGCGGGTTCGATTTCAGAGAACTGGCGTCTGGCTTCCACGAGCCCACGAAAACCACAGTCAGCATACTCAGCAGTAGTGCCGCGGCGAGGCAGGACTTTTGAAGTGTGCAGTGGACACGATACACTAGCTATGATATTCGTTTTGTGTGAACATAAGTTCGAGGCACCAAAGATGGCTATCCTCTTGTCTTGTAAATCGAATTCTAGGGGAACCCAGTGGCAGGAATGGAGCTCTTTCTATTTGTATGTTCACTAGTACATCAATACATCGTTACCCCAGAGTTCGCCAGACTCTGGCCCCAGACATTCACCGTCACTCTTCCGAGTCACGCCTTCGAACTCTTGTTGCTTGGAATCTACCCGCGTAAGATCATTTTCCAGTGTCATATCTTTTATTTGATGTGGTGGGTGTCGTTCTTGCGCGTTTCAGTCCATTCTTTCTTCTGGTTATCGAAATCTCGTGCACAGGTATACCATTACTTATAATCGTAACCTACTGTATATCGTGGTATTGGACACACATCAGTTATCGATCACATAGTTTCCGTATCTAGAATTAGTCAATGTTCTCACAGAAGAGCAACAAAAGCACGGACCTTAGCACTGAGCACGGTGGTCTGGATGCGTGCTGTTCATCGCAATCTTTCGTACATCTTGAATTCCGATGACTTCCAAGGGAAAGGATCGCCATCAGTAGCATCTTCTCTGTATCTCGCGTCAGCACAACACCCAGCAGATAGGATCGAGGCGTATACTCCTGAGGACCAAGGACACGCAGCCCTCGTATATGGGTATCTTTTCCACTCATGTGGTTTTGTACCACGATAACTTGTAGCACGTACGCGTGTACAGGTTTGCTACAAGGGGGTTAACGAGAGGTAAGCAACGTTGCAAAATAATTCACAATGAGGTTCCGTCTTCGTCAGGTTCTGAGGAAACGTCAAATGTTATCCAGCCGTCTGGTTTTTCTAGTGTAGCGACCCGCACATCTTGAAGGTCACTTGGACCAGTTCCTGCACGGATAGCGAGAGTCGATGGGGTGTATGAGTCATCCTGTGGCCAACTGAGGAAGATACTAATTTTCTGAGTTGCGTTCGGTTAGTGCTGAAGTCGCGCACAAAATCGTCCCTTTACCTGAATTGCCACCTTGCGAGGGAACTCCACCGTGATAAAGTGAGGCTGTGGGCCATCGGAACTGGACATCACCTGAGTCATGCCGTGCACATCAAAAAAGAGATCATGCTCACTGCCAGAACGTATCAGGATCCCCGTCTCTAAGACACTCTGCACCAAACCCAAATTTGTATGAAGAAACTGACCACTTGGCAAGGTGTCCGATATCCGGCCATGGTAGTACAGGGGGCGTGCGAGCTGCAGGAAGCTGGATGAGCATCACTAACTCCAAAGCTGTTTCAAGCACGACCAAGGAACTAAAGCGAACCTGGGTGCATGAGAGGGACGCCATCCCTTGGGATCGGTAAGGGGTGGACGTTGTGTACGGTTGCTGCTGCTGTGGATGGTCCTGCGGTCGTGTTAATATTGTTAGTGGCCATTATCTAGCGCTATAGTAGTCCAGAGTAAGTATTAAGTCGGCGTAACCTCGGCGCGCAGTGTCTAGCAGGAAATTAGGGTTAGGGTTGGGGTATTGTGTTCACATCGGATCCTACGTGACTTCGTTGAACTACTTAACTCCATCATTCCTTGACGAAATTCTTTCGTTCAACCTCGTAATCAAATGTGCATGTAGAGACATCGATTCCAATCGTAAATTGTATGTAGAAGTAAGAATTGAGTGAGACATCCAGGTGGTGACGACAAGCTTGTGGGGGTGACGACTCAGCCGGGATGGACGTAAAATAAATATAACCTTCGTGAAGACTCTTAAACCTCGTCCTCCCTAAACCTCAACATTTCTAAACCTCGTCCATCCTAAACCTGGACCTCAACTTGTTTAGTAACATACCCAGAAGAACTACCACGCCGGTGAGTCATGTGGTTAAATCCGGGACGTGGACTACTCGTACTCACCACAAATATGCCAAACGGCAAGCATGAATATCCAGGGCAGCAGGGTAATACTTGGCAAGTCAAAGGACATGCTTCACTGCCAGGATCACTGGCAGGTATTGACGCTGCAGATATTGATGCTGCCAAAGTAGCAGCAACGGCAAGGACACGGGAGAAACGCATTGTTTGTGAGGATGATAAATCTGAAGGGGACAGTAGGAAGACAGCTTGCTTTTATGTGCTGAATATTGTTCTTCCTGGCAATGTAGGAAGAACCTGTCCACCCTTTCGAACAGATGATATCTGCAATGCCAGCAGATTGCCACCTCAGATTTTGAGAACTTAGTTCATGCAGACGGTCCGACCGTAACTTCATAGTTATCTTGTGAAGCAAGATCTATTGCGTGGAACAAAATTTCACCTTGCGAAGGAAGGTCAATGCCAGCAGCTCGAATCTGATGTCGGGAACATTGAACAAACCAACGTTTCCTTTCATAGCTTTTTCACGTCATCTCTGACGCCTGGATTTTTCAGTTACAACTCACGCATCAACTTATCACAACGAATTGCTCAACTCGACCCGATATAGCTTGTTGGGCGCACAAATATCACTGCAGAGTTGTGTCGCCAACTTCCGAACGTGGTTTTTTTTATCGGAATACTCCCTAACATCTCGTATCGCCTCTCTGTACGCTGTCAAGTTCAAATTGTTGGGGCCATGTAAAGTTGAGGTCAAGGTTTTCCCCACCTCCTTAACGTTCAACTCAGGCTCAGGCTCTCCTCTATTTCTCTTCCCACCATCACTATCTCGCTCGCCACTCCAAGTGTTCCCTTCCGCTACAAGTTACAATAGCTCATGAGTTCTGTTGCTTTGTAGTTTTTCACCTGCGTATCTATCTTACCAATCCCCACCAGTGTCGCCTTTTTTGTCTTGCCAGTCAAGATAACCGCTCGGCGAGTCTTTCTCATCAACTGCTATATCTCTGTAGAGAGTGCAAACACGTTTACGTGTGCTCGCGCATATCTCATTCGTTTCGAAGACTAGTTAATCTTGAGTTAATCTGATCACACCCATTTACTTATTTGACTTTGATCATAGTCATTTTCCAGAATTTTGGTTTTTGTCCTGTACCGCGGACTCTGCCTAACGCTCCAGTTGTCATCGGCGACCGTCAAAAAGTGACATAATGAACTCGCTTGTATGCGCAGAAGGTGACTATATGCGCACTGCTTCCACTCGTGCTGAGTATCCATCGGCTCTTTCAGTGAAGATTCCACCTTCCTACGGTTGGTTGTCTTTCTTATGTCACCTGTGATCGTATGCAATAACTTGTAAACAGACCAGTGAGCCACAGCATAAGTAAGGCAAAATAAACACACCATCTATTTCCTGCGTGTCAGACGCCTCGAGCGAGCGGCTGGCTTGGCCGGTTCGGTGTGCTACAACGGGACATATTAGAAAGCGAAGCTAGCGGCGCAGTGAAAGATGAAAACGTCGACGTTGCAGAGAATTCTGCGAAACAGTGGGGAGGGCCCGAGGGCTGGCGGTGCGGTGCAATGAGGCAATGAGGTGTGATGCTGGGGGCAGTCCTAGAAATGAGCACAGTACAAATGCGAAGTGGTTGGAGTGCGGGCAGAGTAAACCGCTTGGATTCGTCCTTGGCGCCAGATAAATTTGCTCAAATGCGGTTGACGGCTGCAGCATCAGCTACCGGTCTAACATCGGGGTTCGGTGCTGACAGAGTCTATGGTGATTTGACGGTGATGTTACTTATGACCAGAGAGTTGCCAGCCTAGTATAGACGTCGTTGTCTCGACAGGAGCTAGCAGGGAGACTAAGATTGCCTAGTCAACAGTTGTAGCACTTCAGTTTTGCCATTTGGCTCCATGGCCAGTCCGAGTCAACGCTTCAGCCGCTGGTACAAGTGGTACCACGAGTCAACCATGAGTAGCACTAGTAAGTACGAAGGACCGGACGACCGAAACACAAACTGAGGAGAGAATGGGCAAAAACCACAATACTTAGAATAAGATATGCGTTGGACAGGTAATGCCATCTGATGCATCTTGCTCAGAATCACAGTCCGCATCCTGCAGACACAAGAAATAATACAACACTAGCATGCGTAGATGCCGCAGGTGAAAGTAAAATACTATCGTCATCGCTCCTTCCGCTGAAGCGTCCCTGGTATCTTGCGTGGTGTCGCACCAACTCCGGACGGCAGCCCTGTCAGCCGCCGCTCGCCTGAAAATCCGCCACCTTCCTTTGCCCGCTGCACTTCTCGGACAGCCCGCCATGCAGCATCCCCAACTTTCGTTCCATATCTACTCGTGATAGCGCGCGGAAAAGATCTTGTTGGTCGACAGGTGGCGGTTGGTTTCAGCCCTTCTGTATCAGCGGTAGATGTGACGAAAGAGAAGAACTGAAGACCATATGAGGGCGCCCACAGTCTTCCACTGATGCGTATCGTCACCTGCACCCATGCTGACCACGAAGGAGGGATAGTTCCCCTGGTAGTATGTATGTCCTTTAAACAAGGTTGCCGTCTCGTCGTGTCCGAGCTGATAATAAGTCATGTGTGGTGAGCTGGAGGACTACCTTGACGAGGATGTCAAGATTGGTGTCGATATGGTAGTCGTCTACCAACCGAGGCAGAAGTTATGGCCGTAAATGAAGATATGCACAACATAAAGCTGGAACGGTCGTGCGGCCAAGATTAGCCTTCCATGATTCGCTCCCTGCGACAATGGGTCTGACTGTAGTGGTCGAAGTCGTATTGGGACCTCTACTGGATGTGGGTTTGACTTCAATAAACCCACAAATCTGCCTCCATTTAACCCCATCATTCCCTACATCAATCTCGGGAGTCAGGGTCTCCAACGTTGGAGGCACTTCCGCGAGGACGAAGACGGGATTATTGTCAGGCAATGTCAGCAAAAGGTGATATTTTCGGCATCGGGTACGCGTTCGCCCAGTACGACCACCTGTCGAAACTGCGATCGTGTCACCTCAGCCGCTGCACCCTCGATCGTATGAAATATGTTTCGCTGTGAAATTCTATAACATGAGCGATGTCCAGCTTGTCCAAATGCATGCTCACCAGTTGTGGGTATAGACATTTTTCATCAACTCTGTCCTGTACATTTTTCTGAAACTCACTCAAATCATCGCTTGCCCTGATGGACGCTTCGATCGTTTGGATGACGGCGTCGATACTGGTGATGGACCACTTTTCGTAAGCCTTGATAAGTTTCGGTGATTGGTATTCGACGTGACTGAGGAGATCCTGCTGATATACCACGCGGGAGCTGGCCATGAATGACGATGGCATTATAATTCGATCTTGCACCCTCTTGCGCTGGAGGACCAGAGACACATTCGGGTATCAAGTTCGTCAACTTCGATGTTGTGGTTGTGGTTAGTTCTCAATCGTGACCACGTACTCTGTGGGAAGCCCGGCACCGCTGGAAAGTCGATTGCTGGCTGATGGACGGAACACCCCGAAGTTTGGCCAACTTGAAAGGCCACAAGCTCAGAATTTGACTAAACAAGCTTCATTGACGAGATCTGACGAGGTTTAGGTGAGAGGTTTAGACTTGTTTTTTTTTCATCGGTAGAACTGCGATTCAGTGACTTCTGCCAATGGCCTGCGACCTGCTGCCGGCAATTGACATTGGCAGGATGGCAGGATTCTGCCAACAACACTTGTGGCCCATTGGTCGGAGCATTGAGACTCATCGTCGTATTTACGCCGGTTAGGACCGTTCATTTAGTTGTTTGTTAGTGTTAGCATCGGAAGGCATAGCCAAACAACACCAAAGACCTTCAACAACTCCATCACGTGCTGATGGACGGTGATGCGACTTCACACATCACATTAACGTTCGGTCATTTCTTTGAACATGTGGACAATTCTGAATTCATCGCGGACCGGTGCTTGCTTTCTTCCCGCCCATATAAAAATCCCACAAAATGTGGTAAAAATGAGATTTTTTGAACCCACCTGTTTCTTTCTGCGTGATGTGGCTACTGTCTACAGTTCTCCCTTGCGTTGCGTTGGCATCTGCAAAACATGCATTTGTGGCCCGTGGTGATAACGCTCCGTCTATATTGACGTTGTTTGGCCCAGCTTCACTCCCAACAGATGCGACTCCACCGTTAAACCCCGCACTGGCAAGCTTCAGTATTGAAACTGCCTTCTTTGAAGAATATATGGGAAATCGATCATATCCGAACAAACTCTCTCAGAATCTTTTTGAGAACCTAAAGGAGAGGACTGGCGTTCCAGCCGAAGTTCGCATTGGTGGCATCACCGCTGACTCGACATTCTGGGACCCTAATCAGGAGGCTGCTCTGTACAATTTCGTTGACGACACGGGTGCACTCATAAACACTACTCTTGGACCCCAATTTTGGAACTCTGTGAAGCTTTTGCCTGCAGGGACGAAGATCGTCATGACGCTCGTGGGTGTTTTTTTTTTTACTTAATCAAATGTTTGGGCGTCGGCATCTACTTAGCTGGTCTATGTAGGATCTAGAGAGCTTGACTTATACCGGAGCTCTTGATATGGCTGAGGCGGCATGGAAGGGCCTTGGCTCACGCCAAATCTCTCGCTTCGAAAGTAAGTATCCAGATTTTTTCACTGACGCCCCCCGGTCCGACCTTTCCTCCTCGTCTTCAGTAGGAAATGAACCAGATCAATATTACCTCGATCTTGACGCTCAGAATTATACCGCTATCTGGGAGGTAATCTTGTACTATTTTCGTACATTGATGGTGGGGTCTTACACGTTCTGTAATTAGCCGTGGACTGTCAATATCTCGAAGGCGCTAGGAATCAACTATCCCGAGTTCCAAGTCGGGGCGACCGTTATAGACCCTTTGTGGCCGTATAACACGCCACAAGCGAATGCGCAGTTTGACTGCGTCAGTGCTCTGGCTGCCGGGGCTAATGACGGACACACTGTCAAGACCTGCAGCGAGCACACATACCAGTACAGCGTGAGGGAACCTCCCGATTGATACACGTGCAGCCTAAAATAGCTTTCTTTACAGGTTTGTGACCCCACAAGGGCTGCTGTAGCTACGTTGAGCAACCTGGTAAGCTGTTGACCATCATTGCAACTATTAAATACAATCAGGATTTAGGTGAATCACACACGCTTGGCCGAGTAAGTTATACCTGCTGCTTTAACCACGCCACATTAACTCCAGCAGATATTTGGATCTTTGGCAGCCACGTATTCACAACGTTCGCGCCCAACTCGGACCCGATGCCTTTGTTATCGGTGAGTCAAGTTTAAGGTCGAACATTGAATGTATGTTCACTCAGAACGAAGGAGAATTCAATTCTGTCTCTTGCTCTGGACGGAACAATGTTAGCAACACGTTTGGTCAAGCCATGTGGCTGGTACGTTGATCAATGGAATACATATCGTGATATCCGAGCATTCTTGCAGCTAGACACGACCCTCTACGCGGCTTCGATCAACGTTTCACGGTACGTGACCAGGGTGCTTCGATGAACCTGCAGCTTAATCTTATCTCCAGGGTGTATGTGCATCAAGGTGGCCCCCTTGCATTGCAGAGCTCTACGCAGCTCAATCACGGCGGCTTCTCACTCTACAACCTCTGGTATGTTATCTCAGAATATGCGACTTCACGACATGGTTGAACTGACTTTGTGCATAGGTATCCCGTTGACAATCAGAACGGTCCTATCCAAGTGTTCCCGGCATATTCGGCTTACCTTTTTGTGACCGAGGCCATTGGTCATTCGAGATCACTGCGCCTTTCAAACATCTTCCCAGGACGACAGGCCAATGGATCATCGATTACAACCGCAGGCGGTGATCCCTCTGCTGGTCAGATCTCGGTGTACGGTTTCTGGGATGAAAAGTCGGCCAACAGCGATGGTTACCCATCTAAGCTCGCACTCCTAAACCTTGAGATGTACAACCAGACAGATTCATATCCTCGCCCCAACATCACAATCGATATATCTGCGTATTTGCCGAAGAAGATCCAGGATGTAATGGTCAAACGGCTAACAGCCCCAGGAGCTGATGTCATGTCATCCAACGTGACAACTTGGGCAGGGCAATCTTTTGCTTCTGGCGTCGCAGAAGGCGGTATTGTGGAGGAACAAATATACGATGCACAAGTGATGGTCGAAGCTTCCTCTGCTGCTTTGGTGTATTGGTAAATTGGTAAATGCAGTGTAGCATGTAAATTGCGCTCGTCATAGGTTTTGCTACAGAAGCGATCTGGTTATCATTAAGTATCTCCTGCCAGTGGGCGTCCAAGTACAACAAGGGATCCCTCGGGAGCGTACAGCATGACTCCATGACTTTCTATCACCGAATGGGCGCAGATGAGCGCCAGAGCGTGCACAAGGACTGAGAGCACACTGTGAGGACTGCTAGAGGCTGGCGCTGTTGTGACTTTAATAAAGTTGCATCTGGTGACATTTCCTGCGGCACTATCGAAGGCGCCTACGAATGAGTTGATATCATTCATCATTGGAGGTTGAATGCAGCCTTGCCAGACTCACTGAAGGAGAGGAATAGTTAAACTTGCCATATGTTTAGGTTTGTCGAGTTGGCATAGCTGTGAGCGGAGGACAGAGGAGGAGCCAGACAAGCCTTCCTAGGATTGGGTGACTTCGGGGTCTGTACAGACCTGGAGACTGGCAATGTGTGTACGTCTGGCAAATGAACTGATGCGGACATCACAAATGAGACTAATCGATCCAGGAAACGCTATGAAAGAGGCCTGCAACCACTCTTCCTTGTTCCACGTATTTCGCACTCAGAGCTGCGGTAACTCTCGCTCGGTTGAAGTCTGTAGCCAGTCTTTCACTCCTTGTGTCTGCAGCCAGGCATGTTCATCGAGGATTGTAAATCTGAACTACATATGATCTCCCCGGACCCATTTAAGCTCTGGGGATCGTGGAGTTGTATGACTTAGCTCTGCCTGTATGGTGAGCTGAAGGACTACTTTGACGAGGATGTCAAGATCTGCATCGTTGTGACGACCCCTCGGTGGTCGTACCAACCGAGGCAGAAGTTGGGGTCGTAAATAAGGATACACAGAACATACAGCTGGAACGGTCGTGCGGTCAAGATTAGCCTTGCATACTTGGCTCCCTGCGACACGATTGGTCTGACTGTCGTGGTCGAGGTCGCATTAAGACCTTGGTTTGACTTCAATGAACCCACAAATCTGCCTCTATTTGACCCTATTACTCCCTGAATCAATTTCGGGAGTCAGAGGCGGCGACCTTGCAGCCTCTGACTCTAGTGAGTACTTCGGCGTGAATAAAGTTTATTGCCAAGAAATGTTTTCAGCATCGGGGACGCATTCGCCCAGTGCGACCACCTGTCGAAACTGCGATTCTTTATATCCTGTCACCTCTGCCGCTGCACCCTCTATATGCTCACCAGTTGTGGATATAGATGGTTTTCATCCGTATATTTTGCTGAAACTCGCTCGAACCATCGCTTGCCCTGATGGACGCTTCGATTGTTTGGATGACGACGTCAATATTGGTGATATACCACTTTTCGTAAGCCCTCATAAGTTCCGGTGATTGGTATTCGACGCGTCCGATGAGATCCTGTTGATATGCCGCGCCACAGGTGTCTCCTGAGCTGGCTATGAATGATAACGATATTTCTGTGTGGATTCACAATGACGCTTAAGAGACCTTGGGCTGGAGGGCGAGAGAGATATTTGAGCATCAAGTCCGTCAGCTTGAATGTTGTAGTTGTGGTTAGTTCTCATAATCGTGACCACGTACTCTGTAGTAAGCCCGGTACCCTGTCGCTGAATAGGTGATTGCTGGCCTGGGTATGTATGGAATCACCCCGATTTTTGGCCAACGAAGGAGCCTGAAATTCAAATTCAAAGTCGACTTTGACACAATTGCACAATTACAAGCCACCCTTGAATTTGAATTAGGTTTATATAAACGAGTTACCTGCAAGACCACGTCCATAGTACAGGTTACCGAACGCAAAGTACAATGACAACGATAGAGCGGTGCAGACCAAACCTCTGATGATCGCTGACTAAGCTATACAAACACCAGCAAACACCTGCCTCTTTGCAGCTCTATCAAACCGTTGAATTCCAGTTCCCTCCCCACCACCTCTTAATCCTCTCCCCGCCCCATTCCTGATACTCCTCCGCTGTTACACCCACGTGATGGAACTCATCCGTGTTCGCAAAAGATGCCATACCCTTCCAAGCATCGAGCGATGGGTCCGCCGCCCGTACAATATCCCCCAAGTGCATATCGGGTGGCAGAATCGGACGAAGCGTTCCATAAAGTCTTTCTGGGAGCCCAGGGAACTGCGATGGACCTCCTGTAACGAATACGTTCTACAGTTTGCATGAGTAGGAGTCGGAAGGACGGAAAGACAAGAAACGAACCCTCACAAGCCTGGCTTTCTCGGATTCTGAGAATCTTGACAGGATACTTTGAAGAACTTCACCGAGGCCAGCAGAATCAACACCCGCCATTCCCGGCGAGAAGTATGTTTCGCACACGCGCCATCGTTCTGTGTTCAGATGTATTCGCGCGTTTCCTGTCATTGGTTCCTGTAAGTAGCTGTTTGTCGAATAGATAGAAGTTAATACAACCTTCAATGTCGCCCTCCTCATACTGTGGTCTCAGCGCAGATATAAGCGCAGACCGCTGGGATGTTATCGACGCGTGCGTGTGCTGCGTCGTGAATGTCGGGTCATGCATGAGGAGCTTGCTCTCGATCATCCGGAGTTGGTTGAATTCTTCCTCCTCATCTGAGGATACAGCCGCAGTGTTCTGTTGCAGGAAGCAATGTCAGATAATATCGCGCCTAGGAACAAAGTACGACATACCAGTTTACGATAAATCTGCCAGTCCTCGTCATCCGCTCCAAACATGTCCTCTTAACGCTATATTAATAAAGACCATCAGAGGAATTGCAAACACTTGCCTGCACCCGCTTTCCGTTTCTTCTTGGAAACGCGTTCGTCGGCAGCTAGAGAAGCGATATTCTTCATTCTAGCTTGTGCAGCTGCGCTCTTCCGATCTGACAAGGCAGCTTTCCGACGTCCTCGCTCCTTCATCTTGTTCATGATGGTCTATCATTCCAAATGCTCAGCAAGAGCATCAAAGCAGACAGGCAGCAAGCAACACACCTCTTGTTCACGGCGCAGTCTAGTTGCCCACTCATCAAAGTTATTCTCCCGTTCATCCTCCTCTCGTTTCTCCTCAGCTTCTTTCTCCTCTCGTTCTTTCTCCTTCTCTCGTCTCGCACGCGCTCTTGCGTCAAAACCAGCCTTCATAAGTTTCTGCTTCTTCTTTTCTTTTATCCCTTCTTCGTCGAGCTGTGGAATGGTAAACCCAATGTCGCGTCGCCTTCAATCATTGCGAGACTTACGTCGGCATCAGGAACATCAATGAGAGGAAATGAAGGTTCTTCCTAAAATCACGAGTTAAAGAGAAGAAATATCAATGACGATACTCCATGCTTACAATGACATCGTCTTGCCCATCAGGATCCTTCTTGCGAGCGCGCTTCACGTCAAGCTCGAGCTTCTTGATGGTTTCATCGAGGGCAGCATCATCATCAAAGCCCTCGGTTTGAAGTGTGTTCTGTAGGGGAAAATGAGCAGCATGCCCAGTCAGATGTTATTCTTGTCGCACCGTCCACTCGCGCTTATTCTCGCTCTTGCCTTCCTTCAAATTTGTAAGGTACTGTAAATCATTCTCCTTCTTCGCCAACTAAAAACCCAAAAACTTAATTGAAACCCTTATTTTTTGTCGCAGGAAGGGAGACGAACCTTCTCCATCCGGCTCTTCGCAGCCATCTCCTGAAGCTTCTTTCCCTGTTCTTTTCGTTTTTCCGATATCCTCGTCAGTTCCTCTTCGGTCTTTTCTTCAACAACAGGTATTGCAAAAGGGAACTGAATGATGCGCTCTGCAGCGCGCATGTTTGCAGGCATTTTGAGGGAACGGAGGACAGCAGGGTAGTCGGTGGCGAAGGAGCAGAAATTATGCAGCATCCACTACACGAGGTTAATAACTAGGAGGATCGTTTAGACAAACGGATGAACATACACTTGCTTGTGCAGAAGTCACACGAGTCGGGAAGCTGGAGTATTTGAGTTGGATGAGCTTCAGGAGATACTCCGTGGATTGCTGTGTGCCCCATGGTATTCTACAAAGTACGATCAACGCGCGATCCCGTAGCTCAAGGAATACTGACCGTTTGGCGTGACTGAGCACGCCCTTCCCGTTGAGAATGGGGATAACAGATGTGGAGGCCGTGTTGAATGAGATCACAAGGCCGTCAGCAGCGAACGGGCTGGCGGATGTGGGTTTGCTATTTTGATAAAATGACATCACGGAATCGATACAGTAAGTGAGTGAAGGAACTGAATATTGCTCAAACATGAGCTCAGAGGTCACTATGGACTTCGTTCAGTGAGGCAGATAAGATCGCATGGGCTTATGGACGTACATGCTCTTGAATGCAGTGGTGAGCAGAGTCTCTCTGTCATGAGTACGGGGTGGTCTATGCCCTCTGCATCGATTCCCAGCCTCACAAACGCGTAGTCCAATGCGTTTTCCTACCTCACCCATCCTCAGCGCCACCACGCGTACCAGTAATACAAGAAACGCACCATTGCATCAAAATTCAACAACACATCCCCTTCCCAAGGTGTCTTTGCCTGGCTCTTTGCACCACTCTCTGCATCGATTGCGTCGCCAAAAAGTAACAGCGACTGATTGAACTTGCGTTCCTTGTACTTGGCGATGACATTAGGAGAGGAGTGGGGGGAGGCGGAGGTACTGAATCCAAAACGCAGGTTTGAGGAGCCATTGTCTATGATAAGAGGGACACGTTCGGACTGAAAATGATCGTAGGAATCGGGAGGTGTGATGCTCGGGAGATTTGTTGTCGGGACATAGAATGTGTTACTCGTTTCAGCTTCAGTCATCGAATCACTGTTTTCAAGGTGCAGTCTACAGTTAACAATTACACAGCGGATGAAGGTAGCTCGTGGGCCAGTCGTGTTCGAAAGCGCAAAACTGAACAATTGCAACTTACGATTACAAGCTGTCGCGCCAAGCAAGTGCCAAGTTGGTGTTGGCGCTTGCGGGCGTCTACTCTTTTAATGTGCAACACGATTCGTATATCTCTCGATTTTTAGTTCGCCTTTGCTTCGCCAACGATTTCTTCTGGCCAATATTGATGACAGTACTCCCCGCAGTCAGGCTTGTTATCCTCCAGGCTGCAGCTAGAACAACTAGTTTGACGAGAGCCCACTCGTCCACCAGCTCAAGTCTAACTGACTTGGTCTCAAAACGTCACACCTTAGCCTTTGATATTTCGATCGTCGGTTAATGTATTCGTACGTCGTCTCTCGCTCTCAAGATAACCGTCGCTCATATTATTTATCACAGCACCATTGAACCCAACTAGTAATAGTATGTACTTGCTCGAGTTGCTCCATTCCTTCACACAGTTCAGGTCGCAATTCATCATCAGTTTTTGCCAAGTAGTCCCGGAAACATTGCATCAGTATTTCTATCCCATTCTCTTCTCGCTCTCTGCCCTCATTCGTGATCGTCGATCATTTGACTTGAAAGGAACTTGGGAGAGATCTCATGTCCCTGTCAAGGATGCTGAGCATGACTCCCCTGCACGCCAGCCGATCGAAATGCTTAGAAGGCATCCGGGCGGACCTTCTCAACTGCATCCAAGGATTATTCAACGGCCGCAAGAAGTCAACTCACTTGGCTGCATGGCATGGCAGGCCTCGCAGTCTGCTGTTGTGTTCATTGTAGCTGAAAGGACGAGAGGTCTGCAAATGAGAGAGCAGGTGACGGGATCGTTCTTTTTTTTCTTATGCAAGCAGGTTTTTATTTCCGTCTAGACTCTATCAGCAGGGTTTTTACGAGAGCGATATCATTAAATAATCAACACTCCATCGACGGAGTGGTGAAGTTGAAGAGTGGAGATAAAAACTCATTGTACGACAGCCTGAAAATCAAGGTGTCTTCCTAGGGCTTTCACCAGATGGCTGGCCTCGATCAATCCAATCAGTGTTCGGTGAGTGACATGTCAACATACTCATGTCAGCAGGGACGACTAATCTGGGTCGCGGCCTATCTGGCCTATCTAAGCAGATCTAAGTCGCCGGTCACGTCGTTCACCGATATTCGGATTGCCCTCAAAAGCTCAACGCTTAGCTTTTTATTCCGAGGAGCCCCGCGGCAGTTATGAACTCTGTACAATGTGACCTGTCGGACCAAACGAGGGCAGGAAGAGCATTCAAGTTTCCGTCTTCGCCACGACGTAACGTTTGCCAGTTCGGATGACGGCCAGGGCGACGCTGGCGTTTGCTTCCCCCCACGAAGTTATCCCGATGCGGATGCCGCAGTTTCATGGCGCCAGGAGTGGGTCACTAAGTTAGTTTGGTATCAAAGCTCCGGTAAAATGATCAACCACACTGCCAGGAACAGCGTCACATCGCACATCATAAGTACTTAGTGGAAGGGATGAATTCATAATCAAGGGTTGCCCATCCCAACGACAAGGATGGCTTCATCCGGAATTCCACAAATAATGTGAGCGAGATGCTAGATTGAATAAACGTGCTTCATTAGAAGGAACAACTATCTTCCGTCTTCTATAGGTCTGATTAGCGGAGGATAAGCCTTGATCATCAAAAGTAGAAGGTATCGATATGATATCTCTACGTCTTGCGTTCTGGACCTGGTTGACGCCCGGAAGTTGGCAGGTACTTCTTTCTTCGTCTTGCTTTCGAAGGTCGAATAGTTCAATCGTTCCGGAAGTTCCGAACAGTTCCCAGCCTACTTCGCTCATGATGCAGCTGCCCATTGATGAGTTTTAACGATAACGGTTGGTGTTTATTGACCTTGATACTACAATGGGATTAACCGTATCATATCGTGGATCTGGCTCACCCCCAACATCCGACTTTTTGACAGATATCTACAAAGAAGCGGTTGGTTCCGCAGGAGCAATTCACGTAAGCGCCATATCTCGTCATGCGATGGTATTGACTTCCTGGACTACTACGTAGAGCATCACCGAGGCCTTCGTTTATTCCCTCAAGCACGTTGATTTTAGCTCTATGACCGGATGCCGCGCACAGGGTTCAGCACTTTGATGCCAGAAGCTCGTCCTGCGTTCTATCAGCAACATACGTCATACCTGTCCCCACCGCCAGCACAGTAAAATACTGTCTCTTGGCAATGAGAAGCCAGTGGCTAATACCATTTGGCGAAGACCGCGATGGCAACCCGTCCAAGCTTCATTACGTTGTTGATTTGGAGGTAAGGTTTATTACCCGGCCCGCGGGAACTGCAGACTGATGGGGGTGCGCACTACATCAGTGCATTTGGAGTCGGGACGGGAACACGATGCTCCAGACTAACTACTATTGTCCTACTCACTTTTGGCAATGGTCATAAATTGGATACAAAAAAGGTCTTGCTGGTATGTATCACATTTATTAAAATTTATGGCTCAACCATGTCCTTAATCCAAGGGCACGCCAACGGGAGCGAGATCCGGCCAGCTCGTTGATATGTACTTGCCACTTAATGAGCACTTCAACTCAACTTATGACCTGATTTCTATCATTGTCGCCGCCCGAGCCGGCGGAGCCTCCAGTCACCTTAAAAGGCAGTAGGTTCCTCTCGATAATTTCAAGTTGCCGGGGTGCGGTTCAGGGTAAAACAACCCGAACCCGAACTCACCCGTTCGCAACATATCAGTATCATCGAACCAGAACCATAGGCAACGGTTCGGTAGAGAACTGGTTCTATACAGTATTGTTCAGGTTCAAACCGGTTCAAAACATTTTTACTACTAAAAAGGTATTACACGGTGAAATACAAGTGTACTACTTCATCTGCAGCATCATCAAGCCACTGTGTTGTGAGTTGTTCATCCATGAGATACCCGCCCTCCTGAATATACTTCAGAAGCAAGTTGAGCTGTATCATGATGATACTGCCGCGAGAATCACAAATATTCGAGGACGTCGAAGACATTGTACCCAGCCCTGTGATGCAGTACTTAGCACTTGCCTTGGTCTAGAAAGGAAGGTCAATTCACTGAGATGTCGCTCTGGAATGCGGTATTGCCACGACCCACACTGCGGATGTCGCATAACTCGCTATAATGGGGAAGGTTATCAAGCAAGCCCACAGTCAACAAACGCATGCCCGCTGGTCGCGATTATGGACCAAATCGCCCCGCTATGCCTACATGCAACGCCTCGACCCGCAGGTCATTCGGAGATCATTCACCAAACTCAACGCATCACTTCCCAAGCGACCCACCGGCCTCCTTATGAACCTCCGCTCACGACACATCCCCCTCAACAAACACCTTCACCGCATTCGCAAGGTCGCTAGCCCCTTATGCCCTCACTGCCCGGAAACGGAGGAGACGGTACACCACTTCCTACTGGAATGCATGCAATACCGCAGAGAGCGCCACATCCTGCAATGCGACCTAGGAAGGGATGCATCTTCCATTCCTCATCTCCTGACCGACTCAGAAGCCGTTGAACACCTGGCTCGGTTCGTCAACTCCACGAAACGTCTGAAAGCAATCTTCGGTGAGGTACCCACGTCTGGAAAACGCAAGAACTGACGCTCGTACACGCAGATCGACACATTATCAACGCGCCCCCACCCTACACTATACTCAGTACCCCTAATCCAAATATAATCACCTCGTCCTCTCCTCACCTCGTCTACACGGAATCATTCAAACCAACAAGGCATCAGTCAGACCCGGGCACAAACCATGGTTCCCTCAATTTACTGACCTATTACTGCCCCATCTGCCCCCTTCCAGCTTCCTGTACCACTCTGCATTTGCAGACGAGAATGCGTTCAGTTACTCACCGCTTACCATACCTACTATCGCATAGAAACAAGTCACCTCATCTACGACGTAGTGCGCGTCTAAAACGGCCGACGGGAACGGCGGACCGATGGGGCACGTCTCACATCGGGGCATTCGCGACTACAGAGATGCGATGGGACAAGGGTGTCCCTAGACTAGCATGTATTGTCCTACATAGAGTTATCTCTCAACGGACACAAACGGAATCAAAAAAAAAATGGGGAAGGTTATCCATTTCTTCGAAAGAGTAACTTTACAAGCTTGACTGTCATCTTCGGTCTTCGTGGATGGTGTGCAGTCTGTAAACTGTAGTAATCAGTATAAAAGCACTGCCCAAAGAGCGGTGAATGCTGCTGAAAATATGTGATCATGATGAATGGCGAGTGATGCATCATGGCAGAGAAGCCATAAACATGCCTGGTACACGGCGAGGAGAGCACAAGAGATGCGTGTGTAGGTCATCCATCACTGAATACACCACAGAGATGCAGCACATTGATGACAATGGTGTTGGCCAGTACAGATAGGACACATGCAATGCATAGAATACCTGAGACATAGTAGTTACAGAATAAAATCTGACATACCATCATGATATGGTGCGTTATGGTGCGGTTATAGTTCGAACAGGTTCGCGACGGTTCACATAACTTGCTCGACCCCCGAACCATGAACCTATCCGATGTTTGACTGGCTGAACCGAACCTAGACTGCACTGCACTGCACCAACGGTGCGGTTCAGGGTTCGGGATCGGTTCAGGCAGTTCAGAACTGCACCACAGCAATTTTAATTTCAATTCGGGCCCGTGTCTCGTTCATGATTTCTCTTGCACACTTTCACTTACGACTCCCCAGGAGATCGTCGATGCCGTTGCCTTCGACCCTGCCAATGGCCGCCAATGCCACTATGTACCCTACACCACCCGGGCAATTGACGGACAATTTTCATTTTCGCAAGGTATAGTTGAGGCTGCTGTCAGGCATCTACATATTTCTCATTCGCTTCGTAGCTGTAGTTCTAGCATAGCAAGATTGTACTATCGTTGATCGTCGTTCGCTGGTAAGTCACGTTGGACTAATCCGGAGAGCGTTGAAATCCCGTGTGTTCCTCGCATTTGATGTTCGGGGGACTTCCTAGCACTTCTACTTGATCTACGAAACGCTTGAAGCTTTTTTTTTTTTTTTTTTTTTGAATCCAATTTACTGTAGAGTTACGACCGTAGCTTCGCGCCCTTTCGGGTGTGACCATGTCACACTTAGCTTCGCAGCTTCGTAGGCCCTTGTGACGTGTGACCTATCCAAGTTAGCTTCGCCCCGACTGACTCGGGTTTGCAACCCGACTCGGTGCAACAATCTTCTCTCTTCCTTTTGGTGGTGATATGGACCAAAAGATCCTCACATCGTTGCCTTGGGCCCTCCGCTATGGGCACATTTAGAATGGATAAAAGGATGGTCAGCTGCATTCCATGTGAGTCAGAGGTTGCAGGAAATACTCAGGCCGCTGAGGCCTCGAACACAGGTGAGGGAGAGGCCAGCGCAGATGCATAGCCAATACCCTATATAACGATTTTTGGTCGCACTGCTAAGTTAGTGCTAACTTGTCTGTAGCGATTTTGTTGGCGATTTTTCCTGTTTTACCGCTTGTCACAAAATAGCTTCGCTCCCCAAAATTTAGTGTGACCGTCACATCAAATAGGTTCGATTCGCTGTGGGGTGGGACGCGTGACGAAGTTACGGTCGTAACTCTACAGTATGTCCATTGGGGTAATCTACCCTATGTCGGACACTACTAGCTAGTCTAAGGGGCCCCTGCCCCTACGATATCTCAAGATTCGCGAATGCCCCTACGTGGGTGTTACCCCCGTAGGTCCGCCGTTCCCGCCGGCCGTTTTAGACGCGCAGTCTTTCGAAGACAGGTGACTGTTCTCTCTGGTACGTAGTCATGTGAGTGTCTGTCATAGGTGATAATCTGAAGCGCGTACTCGACCGCCGAGGCGGTCAGTACATGAAGCTATAAAGGAAAAGCGGTAAAGGGGTGAGACGGGCATGTTGACGCGGAGAGTTGAGGCTCCGTTCCTGTCTTCATCTTCCGGCTGATATTCTAGTGGCCTGCTGGGATCCTGGCCGAGTGTCTTTATATGAGGAGTTGAGGTCTTGAGGGGCGTTGGGATTGGGGTCGTTGTGGTCTTCGTGAGTTCTATGCTACGAGCGGGGCGTCATTACTTATCGGGTGTGGGAGGTAGCAGTACGTCACCGAATGTTTTCTTGAGTCTACTGGTGCTGTTTACATATCGTAGGAAGTGCTCCGTGGCCATGGGGTTCGTGAGTAGGAACGGAAGGGAGGCGCGCTTGAAGCTTGAACTTAAGGCTCTGCTCATTCTAATTTTTTGCTGCCAGTATGTGACCATAAAATCAGGCTTACTGGGACATGGTGAAATTTGTGTAAACAGCAAAGCTCACTCGACAATGGCTCTCGTCAGAGATCGACGACGCGCGTTGTTGACATGTTGCTGTGATGATTGCCCCACTGAATTTACTTGTCGGGGATGTCGCCCACGAGTTGCTATATCTTGAATCAAAGTTGAGACAAGCTGAAACTTGAAATTGCGCGTTACCACACTGGTCAACAGGCCGCTTTTGGAGCTGCACAATAAGATCTCGCAAGCATATGCACGACAGCCATGGGAGATTAATTTTCAGGGGAATTTGGGCAGTTCGAGGAGGATGCAGCTCCGGCTGCAGCAGAGAGAATCGCGCCACTGGAATTGAGTTTCAACACGCGGTAGGGTAGCGAAGGGGAAGGGTACTGGTGGGAATTCGGAGATTCTATGTAGCTCGGATATATCTATTATCCATAACGTTTCGACTGAGTCCCTCCAGAAGTGATTCGATGGGATTAGGTAGGATTGAATTTTTTAGCTTAGTGAAATGTTGGGCTGGAACACGATGCGGCGATCTGGGGGTGATCTTGAAATGGAAGTTTCTCTTATGAAATATCCAGCCCATCGGCGATCCGCAGTAGCGTCAACAGTGCGAGACTGTGCAAACTGACAAACTCTAGATCTCGGAACCAGTTGCAAATTGAATGATTGTTCTCCCAGCGCTCGACAGATACCGGGAGGAGCTTAGTTTTATGACTAGTGCCAAATATAGCTGAAATGCAAACGAAGGGATTGTCGTGACGTAATCATGAACGGTCAGGCGCGGAGTTTAAATTTGTAGTGTCTTTTAATAATTATTAATGTTCAGAACGTTCAACATCCAGCATGACGATGGGCAGGGGGCCAGGGGCTTATATTTTTCTTGTTCAGATGTTAACTATTGAGCGCTGAACTCGGATCTCGGTGTGGATCAAGCTTATCTGATCGAGGACTCTTGCGGACTCACGCGGTCAGTGATCGGGATTTGTCTGTTGGTCGTTCTATAACTTTACTTGAAGCGCCCTTCGGAGCCCCCTTCTCCGCAACCCCTCCGCCTTTGATTTGGACACCTTTTAAAGCGTATGTACAGCAATTTCATATGCTGTGCTACCACATTCGTTCGCCGTGGTGTGCCATTTGTTCTACTTGGCTAAAGCTAAAGTTCAAACGTTCATGCATCATGTTTCCCCTTCGACGGACATATAAGGACCGTTGGGTACCTATCATCTCCCAGATGAATTTACTCAATACCTGGCATCTGTAGGCCCCGGTATCCTATCCATCATTGCTTGTTCTCATTTATCTTCTACAGTACAACTACGCCAAACCGACCCGTGTTCAACCAGGAAGTTCTCGACGACAATATTTATTGTCTTCGTCAACCCATCCATTCGCGCCAACGACGTCGTAAGGTTTTTCAAGCGATCTTCTCTGTCGCACTGATCATTCCGAAGATGCCACCTTCTAACCTACGGAGCTCAACAACATATCCCAATCATGGGTTCGCAGCGTCCCATCGGACTATGTCTGCCCCCTCCTCCTTCTTGCAAACGTATAACACCGTGACTAGTCATCCTGCTCAAACCAATTTTTCTGAACCGGGGATGCTAGCCGGTCCATCGGTGAGCCCTGGTTACAGCTGCTACAACTTCACCTGTGGGCAACACTCAACAATGTCTGTTTCCGCGTCCCCCTAGGCCTTGGCCATACTGCAACCACAAAGTATTTACTTGGCCTACCCTACCACCCCGAATATCCTTACATCGGACTCAAATCATGGCACCTGGCATAACTCACCATCCCTCCACAGTGCCCAGTACTACGGTCCTGTGGTGGGAGGCAACATCATCAGGCACCCTAGTTATCCTGCAATGGAAAGTAGTTTCTCGTCTTCACACACATCCCAAATGTACGTCCTTCATCGCCATCTATTTTCCCATTATGACGCTCGTGCACAGGCAGTATCCACATGTGCACCATTCGCATCCTACCTTTTCTTCGCAATACACCAATCAAGACATGCCTTTCGTCGTTTACCCTGAAATATCCACCTCTCGCTTCTCACCGTATAATGAGTTATCGCAGCAGTCGCATAATTCTGCAATCCCTCAGCCAGGCTTTCCGAGCGAACTACCCCAGCCCATGATATCTTTGCCTTTGACTGCAGAATCTTCGCAAATTAAACCTGCATTGCATATATCAGATCAGCCACATTCGATCCCACTTCATAGCCCTCCCTCATCCCCCTCCCTACTGTCCTGCCGATGGCTGCGTGATGACACACCCTGCGGGTTTACAGGGACGCTGGAGGCGTTAAAGGTGCACTGTAAAATCAGTCATTTTGCGGGGCCCCCCAATGCGCAAATTGAATGCCGCTGGGAAGCTTGCTATTATCATAAGCGTGGTGACCCCACAGTTCGTGGTATACGGCGCGACTGTATGTGGCGTCATACTTCTGAAGTTCATTTGGGGATGAGGAGGCGTACCTAGGCGAGCCCTTCTCTTCTTACACTTTTACATTCATTGTATTGCGCCACCGCTAGCGACGCCATAGTATTTGTGTTGTTTTCAAAGATCTACTAACGTCACTCTTTATTCTTGTCGATGGTTCGTCCCGGATCCAATTTGTCGCTCATTGCATACCTTCTTGCATTCGTTATTATCACTATAAAGGCTGACGATGGACGGCATTAGAACCCATTGCATTGCACACGAGTGATCAGCAGTGGCCCTCATCCAAGAACGTAGGATATGAAGAAATACCGGAACGACCAAACGATCGACCGCCAGAAAGTTAATAAGGTCGGTTGGTACATGACACAATCATTCTAGCCTCTTGGTTATGAGGCAGGCTTCAATAATATTAGTGAGGAACCCGACATTAAAAAAGCCCGATGCGACCCAGCTGAAAGCCGTGTACGCTGCTGTGTTGCCTTGAAGTTCCACTGAAGATTCAAGAATATTGGAATGGATCGGGACACCCTGCTAGGTACATTGACCATCACTCTCATTGGAAATATACAAGAAAGAAAATCTTACGCGGACATCCCTGTTAGCGAACTACAGTCATTCTGCGAGGCTTATATGTTGCCGTGTCGCTGAAGGAATAGTGTCTGTATATGCTTGTCAGAATCGCGCTTCATTGGAGAGTGATCAGCTTCTGCATGTACGTACAAACTTGAACTGGGCTGGTCATAAACCCAAGGGCTTGTGGTCATTTAGTTCCTAGTACATGTAAGTACTGCAGCGCGATCAAAGCAGTGTACACTATAGCCATGTCCCTGAAACACGCTGCAGTGTCTGCGTAGGGCAATGTTTTTCAAGGAGAAACTGGTAGTGGAAAAAGCAGGAAATACAGTACGACGGTGGAGTGCAGGAAGATCATGAGAAATGGATGAAACGACCAGAGTGTGAACCGAGTCCACCATCTAGCCTGACTTATAGTGAGATCTTGAAGGTGCAACGATGTTCTAGTGAATCCAGTCGCCACTGCAGTGGTAGTAGCGACTGCGGGAATGGTCTCAGATGTCGTGGCATGACGGGTGGTTGCTGCGATGATAGCGGCGTGCTCTGTGTGGCCCCACTGGGTTGACATGTGTATTGGGGGTCGAGAGGAACTTGCAGCTTGCTTGTTTCGTGATAGTTTCTCTGCGTGAAAATGAGTCAGTGAGAAAGAAGAACCGAGATAACCCTGGGGGTATTGAACGAGCTCTAGCAATCTGTGGGGCTTTCTGCCGTATAGCATTAATCTGGGATGTAGTTCCGTAAAAGCGATGAAACACATCGCATACATCTAACACTACTCGTCGATAATATTCTGCGATGAACCCGCGAGGTTTTGAAGAGACAGACCCTTGCAAATTACCGCCTGGAAGAATGAGTGGACTCGTCAGTGTGATGAAGTTGGAGAACAAAATTCAACTTTGCATATTCTGACAGGTGACCCAGGCAAGCTTTGCTAACGATAGCAGAGACATCCCATGTATAGGGCCGTTCCGCAGAAAAGGCCGCGCATGCCACCTACTTTTCATGATGGAGGGGTGGCCCGATGCGCTGATCGTTGTAGTAGGGTGATCTGGCATAGGGTGTCGAAGGTCCTGGCGCAGTGGCTGGAGTCCTGGCTCGTAGTAGGTAGCCCACATGTCTGTAGTCCGTCCTGGATAGATAGAGCCGCCGCCTCTCGCCTTAGAGGTTTGGCCTGGGTTTCCCCTAGCAGTCCATGCCCGGTCCATCGTGTTCGAGGTTTTATGTTATAATTCGCGCTGTGTCGTCCGATACGCTTGGAACTTCGGATGCGCTCATTTGGAGATAATGAAATCGCTGAAAGGCTTGAACTGCGCTGAGTTGGCGCTGAACGTATGTGGCGGTGTCGAATTTCCTTACATAGCTCCCATCAAGTTCATCCCGGCTATCGCTGCCTTCAAAATTCTCTTTCCCATTCCACTTCCAGCGCCTCCGCCACCGGCAGTCATAGCCAGGGCCCATCCATATGCCGCAATGCCGGCGCGACATACAGCTAAGTGGCCCGGGATAAGCAGCAATAAAACTCTGTGAATGAGAGGACACAGTGGTCGTCACCTGGGAGGCGATTGTCGTGGACTGAATGTCACGCGTGACATTGTATGGCATCAGGGGGTCATACGTAGACCCAGGAAATACGGGTGGCACAGGGTAGAACTGCACGAGCTCCGTCTCAGGCGGCTCGCTGCTGTGTCGTAAATGTTGGGTCATGCATGAGGAGCTTGCTCTCGATCATCCGGAGTTGGCTGAATTTTTCCTCCTCATCTGAAGATACAGCCGCAGTGTTCTGTTACAAAAAGCAATGTCAGATTGAGTAATGCGCCTAGGAACAAAGGACGAAGTGACAGTTTACGATAAATCTACCAGCCCTCTTCATCCGCTCCGAACATGTCCTCTTAACGCCAAAAAAGATCATCAGAGGAATTGCAAACACTTGCCTGCACCCGCTTTCCGTTTCTTCTTCGAAACGCGTTCATCGGCAGCTACAGAAGCGACGTTCTTCATCCTAGCTTGTGCAACTGCGCCCTTCCAATTCGACAAGGCAGCCTTCCGATGTCCTCGCTCCTTCATCTTGTTCCTAATGCTCAGCAGGAGCATCAAAGCAGGCAAGCGGCGAGTAATATACCTCTTGCTCATGGCGTAGTCTAGCTGTCCATTCATCAAATTTATTTTCCCATTCTTCCTCATCTCCTGAAGTTTCTTTCCTGTTCTTTTGGTTTTTCCGATATCCTCGTGAGCCCCCCTTCGGTCTTTTCTTCAACGACAGGTATTGCAAACGGGAACTGGATGATGCGCTCTGCAGCGCGCATATTTGCAGGCATTTTGAGGGAACGGTCGATGGCGAAGGAGCAGAAATTGTGCAGCATCCGCTGTATGAGGTTCATAACTGGGGGAATCGTTGAGACAAACAGATGGACGTACACTTGCTTGTGCGGAAGTCACACGAGTCGGGAAGCTGGAGTATTTGAGTTGGATGAGCTTCAGGAGATACTCCGTGGATTGCTGTGTGCCCCATGGTATTCTACAAAGTACGATCAACGCACGATCCCCTCAGCTCAAGGAACATTGACCGTTTGGCATGACTGAGCACGCCCTTCCCGTTGAGAATGGGGATAACAGATGTGGAGGCCGTGTTGAATGACTCAACTCAACTCAACTCGATTTCAACCGTCTCAATTCCTTTTCGAATGTTTCGACTCAGCCGTATGACCGTATATACGGGCGTATTACTGTAAAGCAACTCGTACCGTACCGTCAGAGATACCGACAATACTCACACGGTTACGGTAGTAGTACTGTATGGTAAATTGGCACTTATCACTGTATACTTTTCGTCACTTTTCAACAATGGATCTACTTTTTTTTCCTTTAACTAGCCTCCACCTTCAATAGGGTACGGACGATAAGTCATCCGACTGTTATTAACCTATGTTAAAAATCAAGTAGGATACGTAGGGTTATTAACAAGCATGTTATTAACATGTTATTAACAGTCACGTGACCTAAAATTTGAAAATTTCGCTACAGCTACTACCAAAATTCGTCCCACTCGTTGTCCATGCCTTCTAGGTCAGCATCATCCTCCGTAGCATCACCTTGAGTGCTACACAGGCCATTGATAGGACTTTCCTCGTGTTCATCAGACAAGGCCTTGGTGACAATTAGTGCATGAAGGTTTGCATCTGCTTCAATGTCGAAGGCTGAATCCTCCGCCGGTTTAGCCGCTAGTGTCTCATCGAGCCAAGTGCCTTCTTCATCTTCAAGGATTTCTTCCTGCTCATCTGTGCCCACAGATAGATAGCTGCCAGTGGTTTCGTGGCTTTGACGAGCAGCTGATTGTTTGGGTGAGGAAATGATGGAGTCAAGATCGCAGAATGAAATGTCTGGATGCCGTCGTTCAACCATTTTCTAAGGGGCATGAGTTATCAATACAGGCCACTGAATAAGACACTGACCTTTGGATCATACATATGCCATTGTCGAATCTGAGTCATGTCCACCAACGTCCGGACATGTTGACGGTTCCTGGCTGGTGTATTCATCCTCATGAATACCGACATTGTTCGTTCCTCGGGCACAGATGAGGGCTTGATTGAATAAATTTTTTCTGCGATACACTGGAGATAAAGCTTGAGTTATGAGTAGTCAGGACTGGCTGAAACTCACAGCAAGTATGGAGCCTTCAGGTATCTTCGTCAAGTGAGTCCAGTATGAGAGGACGTCCTGACCAGCATCCATCATTGTGTCAAAAGGGTATTGTCCTTTCACATAGCGCTCAAACTGGCGAACGAAAGCTTCATGAACATCAGCAGCTGTTTGTCCTTTGAGTGTGGGGTTGTGCTGGGATTCATTAGGTTGATGTTTGGTGAGGAAGGCTTCCGCCTGTCACCAGTTGCTTTGGACGTCCAAGAGAGTATAGGCTTGGCGCCAAAACGTCAGAATCCAGAATGGAAAAGGTTGTTCCATGTCGGCATGGGCATAGATAATAGACCGGCTACCACCTGATATTGCATGTTGCACCCCTTCTAGGAGCTTGTGCAGAACCGCAAGCTGGGGAAGCAGCTGCGTGCGGAGATAATCGAGATATAAGCTGTCCTCAGGTGGGGAGTCAGTGCTAAAGTATTTGCGCAATGGCGGAGCAGTGGTAATTGAAGCTGACGGGAGTGAGAATTGAAGGAATGACGAGACAGACAGATTCTTGTCTGGGAGAATAATAGATTGCACTGATACAGGAATAATGAGAATATCATCTGAGGCTTTTGTGTCGACGATGTCAGCCATTTCGAGTGCTCGACTGGTGCAAGAGGGAGGGAAAACAAGTTGAAAACTTCGTTGCGAGACACTCGAGTCCCATGTCAGACAACAGCTTGCTTCTCTGCAAGATTTGCGTTGCAAACTTCTAAGTCAATGATCTGCGAGGAACAGCAGAAGGTCGGAAGGCGACTCACAAAGACTATGGGGGTCAATAGACTTATTAGCACCATGTCACCCCCCCACGGCCGTGTGCCTGTTATTAACATGTTAATAACACACCTTTCTTAGCAGTGTTATTAACAACCCACTTTTCGTCCGTACCCTAACCTTCAACCAAAATGTTTCTTATACATTAGAAATCTATCTGACAACATGACAATAAATATTAGCTGTTGTGGTCAAGCAGAAACACCACAACAGTTGTCGATAAGTTCTTGACATAAATGCGCTCTCTAGGCAGCTACACATGAGAAAACTGTATTCTATCACAATTAGATATGTATTTGTAGATCCATTGCTTGATAAGTGCCAAATAAGTAATAAGAGAATTTGCTGACGCCCCGTTAGGTGTCCGTAAATTGTACGGCCGTACCCGTATACGGTTACGGTGGTCAGCGCGTTAACGCTCGCGATCCGCTCGAAACGAACACTATGATTAATAAGGACGCGGTAGCTAACTTTCAACTTCTCGCTACATATATAACACATACTAACTAGTGCAAAACAAAAATTAAATGATGGAGTAGGCTGACTCTGACACTCGCTAAGGATTCTACGAGAGGGAAAGTTGCCGACTTCCTATTGCTTCCAAGACTCTAACCCTCTCCGCTACTATAAAACACCAATAAAGAGCCTCCTCCCTAGGGCTACCCCAATGCGACACCGCGGAAAACATTAAACCTGATAGGTAGCGGTCCAACCCATAGGGACAACAACGTGTCCTTCGGGTCTATGGACAATATCGGTAAATGCAAAATGGCACGGTTCTGAGGATTTAATATGTGCACGAAGGAGGTCGTGGCGGCACTTCACGACCCCACATACGGAGCAGCGAACCTTGACACCAAGGTGAGTAAGCATGTGTCTTGTCATGCATCCCCTCTTGAGTGTCTTGTAGCAGCCAACCCACGTGCAACTTGTGCTGGCGCTGTCCGGACCATGGATGCCGTGTCCTCGCAGGTGGGCAGACACTTCACTTGTCGTTCCTTCCACAAATATCCCGCACGGGACCCCCTGTAATTTACACTCATATACGACAACTGGTTGACCGCTTTGTTCCACTCGAAAAAATGTCTCTGGATCCACAGGAATAGTATCGAGAGGCATGTGGATTTTCGAGGGCAAACTGATAGACAAGGTTGTCAGAAGGACAGGGGATATGCTATATTATGGGTTAGCATGTTTCAGTGCGACAGGTGTCCGACGCACCAGAGTGTGATCAAAGAAGTTCCTAGAATGCAACAAGCAGAGGACAGCCTGGGTATTCGAGGGTCTTGATACTATGCTTTCCTTTGAATTGCAGACCGTTCTTTATATAAAATTCTGGGTGAGTTGGCTGACATTCTCCCCGCCACCGGAATATTGAAATGTTCCAAAAATTGAAACGTACCGAAACGTCCTTTGCAACTGTATCTGCAAGTTACACACATGTTGTGAATGCTACCGATAAGTGGCTAAATTCCAGGTCGGAATGCCAGCAGAACTTTGCGTCAAAACCATCTACAACGTTAACTGTTGACGCAAAGCTTCGGGTTTCAAATAACAACCGATCCACGACTCATGCCCTGAACGCCACCGCTGAGCACTGAGCACCAACTGGGATCTGTGCGGAAATTAGGATGGCGTCAAAATCGTTGATACGAAGCTTGAAATAATAACTGATCTGTGATATGCTCTGAATGCCACCGCTGTAGCGCTGAGCGGCTGAACTCTAAACTAGTATTCGAACGGAGATTAACGCCAAAAACCACCTTTAACAATAACATGCCCTACTGCCACCATCGATACGAAGCTTCAAATAACAACCGACCCACCCTGGATGCACTGCAGAGGGGTTGATTCAAAGCGGCTTTGAGCGGAAATTAGCGTCAAAAACCATCTACAAAGTTAACACAATCTTACTGCCACTGTTGATGCGAACCTTCAGGCGTCAAATAACAAGCAATCTGCAATAAGCCCCGAACACCACTGCTGGGGCGGTGTCAAGTGTCAGACAACGACTGATTTGCGAAACGAATATTGCTGATAAGTTTGTGTAAACATTAATATGTTGTGGTCGGGGTGGCAGCCAAATCAGTTGAACACTCTTCCTCTTCCCCGTTGCCTGTGTCCCATACTGTTGCGTGAGGTGACTGTAGAATAGCAGAGTCATTGTAGGTACGCACTGAAAAACTTGATTTTAACAAGTAGTGACCTTCTAGGTGATCATATATACATTCGGTGTTGCAGCCCGGTTTTCTCTCTGACTCAGAACCATTTGATTGCTACAAACCGAACGGAGTTCCTGTCCTAGATAATGAATAGAAACATGCGTGGTAGTGCAGCGGCAGACTGAGGTTACTTACTAAATCCACATACACGGTATACGGAAGTGGGGGCTGAAAGCGGGTTGCGTGAAGTTGGCGCGGTTGATCAGAACCCACGGTGGAACCGACTCGGGAGCAAGTGGAGTTGAAGAGGGCTCAAGTGGAGTTCGCACAATGTACAAGGGAGCTGACACGAATGGCTTGGAGTGCTTCGACAATAAGAATGACTTGAAAATATGTTCAGACTGCTAGCCAAATTTTAACGAGGACCTTGTCTGTTCTTTCTCCTCTTCATTTGGTGTCAGGATGAAAGCAGAGGAAAGCAAGCAAGTTGTTCCGTACCGAGATCTCAGATATCAACAAACACGGCGCCGAAATGAATCTCACGCGCCCGTCTCCCCGCACGCATTAACGCTGAGATCTAAAATTATATGAGTGGGCACTATATCTTCCTTGACCCAAGTACGCCCAATCACTGTTAATATGGTTTTAATATCGCCACCCAGTTTTGAATTACCATCCGTTACATAGTTCTCATGGGCATCAGGTCTCAGGTTCATCTCCGTTCCAGCTGATGAATACTTAGAAATCCAAGACTTCTGCTTTCGAATATTCTCAATCACGATGATCTGTTTGTTAGCGCAACCACGTGCACCAGATCACTCTTTGTCTTCAAATTACCTCCGTTCTTGCGCCTCGGCTGCCGACAGTAACAGCCCCCATCCACACGCTGCAATCACTGCGGAAATGAGATTTAAAACCAACCGGATCCGAATAGTATATGTTTAGAGGCCATAAACAGAATGTAAATGGACAAGGAAAAACAAGGATATTTCTACCCATCTAGATCGAAAAAGGTACTGAATAAGCATGTAATGTATCAGAAAACCGTCCTGCTAGCCCCCCACAGATGCTCCCTGGTCCTTGGTAGTAGTATCCTTCACCCCGCTCGGCCGTGTACAAGTTCCGAGGTCAGCCTCAGAGACGCCCTAGCGGTGCTCCTGCCCACGTTAATGCACGCAATTATCAATAACCAGCGGGAGAAACATACCCTCCACCATATAATACACCCCAGTCCCATATATCTCTGCTGAGCGTTGGGAACCAAGCGGTGTCACAGTTGCCTCGACGTGATGATTTCTTCAGCCCTGCACCTCCCGCAGTGAATGCCCACTCCTCTACGTCCAAAAAACATGTCGACGACAAAAAATAATATCCCTTGAACCGTTGAGCTTCAGCTTTAGACTTCCTGTGGAAGAGTCTCATGTTATCCCAGAGTGTGTTCACTCTCTTTACGAGGCGAGCCTTTCTCTGATCATAGTCCATTATATCGTCGTATTCCAACCTAACTTATCTTGACCGCTACCATCTGTCGCCCGCAAACTAACCCGCTCATTTTCTACAGGCATGTTTTACTGCTGTGTATAGCCCTCCGCCGGCCTAATCTCGTTCAGCAGTGTCTTGCTAATCTAATCTTGACGTCTGCGGTGTTTGCACACGACCCATGAAAATTGGCAACGGCGACAGTAGCAAATTAATAGTGAGACATCAACAGCCGTTCGCTGTTGCATTCTAGAGCATGTACGAGTCCTTAAGCTCGTACCTATCTTGTCTGCCTCACTGAACGAAGTGCGTAGTGTCTCCGAGCTCATGTCTGAGCAACTTTCACTCATTATACTGCTAATCAAAAGCCAACCCCCCTTCGTCGGAGTCTTCGGAGTCTTCGTCCAGAAGTCGACCGCCGTTTACTACGAATACCATTCTTTGGTCACCGACAACCTCCAGGCGAACCTTGTCATCTCCGTTTTTCAGCCCGTTGCCACCAAATCCTTTGGAAACGTCTGGTAGCGTCCCTACAGACGGTGCCATAATGAGGTCAAGAGAATCAGTAACATCGAAGTCTGCAGGTTGACCGAACCCGTTACGGATCATTTCCCCACTGACAGATCCTCGGGACTTCAAGCCAATCCAACACCAGCGTAACTGATACCAGTGCGATAACAGTTGTTGAACCCAAAGCTAGCAAGTATGTTGGCGACTGATAGGTCCATCCAACCATCCCGACTTGCACCGAGCCAGTGACTGGCACAGACACGTTGGCAGGCAGCTGATTGTCTGGGAAAGTGCCATTGGCCGAGAATGCGGATCTCAACACGTCGATTTAGTGTGCCAACAATCCTGTATGGGCAATACTCATAGTCCAGACGAACTCTATGGTACCACGCCAGAATCCATCCTAAATATTACTGTGTTAACCAGTGACGCTCTCGCGAACCAACAAACCAATCAAGATCTGATTTAGTAGAATCTCTCGTTCTGTAGCATTCGAGGTAGCCACTCGATTTAGATATACATCAAAAATAGTATCTCCAATCGATTTCCCCCAGATAGTTTGGTTTATGTAAAATTGTGCGTCTATTGTGGAGGCAAGAGAGGCAACCTTTTGTTACTGCCATTTGAGTCGAATGGTGTGCTGTGTATTGGCGCCAAGATATTAATGATGTTATTGCTATATTTTACTGGGATAGTTGTAAGGATAGGCGTCTTTTCGCACAAAGTGGAACGTCAGTGTTTTACAAGTCCTCACATCAAAAACACCCAGTTTTAGATGGATATCTGGAAGGAGGGTAGGCCCCCCCCTTCCAGATTCAAATCGCGTTCTAAACAGGCTCAATACCCCTTCTAAACTCCGCGATGATGTTGTATCCGACACTTGTCTGCCATTCTGACAGCTCACAGCTTGACATTAGAATCTAGACACAATTGGTTTGCGGTTTAGCAAGCGTTGTAAATCATGACGAAGTGCGAGGCGACACTTCGATTGTTAAGGTTTGGATCAAGATCTAGGATTTCTAAACGCTGCGGAAAGTCAACCAGTGTATTCGCAATGGTTAGATACGGGACCACTCTAGCTGGGATGCCTTTTACAAAAAGGCGAATCCTACTCCAGTTTAGACTGCATGCCATCAGCATCGAGGAGGACTGATCGAATCGCAAGAATCTTCCATACTAACAGCTGGTTCCAAGGTTCAGTACGAGCGGAGGCTAAAAATGTATGTTGTATATCGCAGTGAGACGATATATGATTCAAAAATTCTTGTTGACGAAGAGTTAGCTCCATGGAACAGAAAACGTTTGATCATCATACTATTTATCAGATGTGCACTGATCTGTGGGCGTTTGGTCGTGCATGAGAAGCCTAATGTGATCTCTGCAGAGGCGATGACAGCAACACCATCATGCTCAATCAATACAAGCTCGATTCAAGTAGGAGCAGGCCACTGCATGCATAAGGAATGACTACCTTCCTTCGCACACGGTTTGCCTAGAGAAACTAGAGCAGGCTGATTGGGCCGCACTGATGGGATGCTAGTATGTCGATACATACATGCTAATCTCCCAGCGCTGATTCGGAGATGATGCTATGCGTTGCCGCTTGCCTGCGAACCAAATCCATGACAGTTGTATTTGAGACAAATTTAAGGGTGTCAAACTACATACAGTGTCAAAAGTGCAAAGAAGACAGCGCAGGGCTACTGTATAGCGATTAGGTTGACCCGGCGAGGTCGTCGTGACGTTGAAGTTGTTTCCACTTCCTTACATAACTTGAGGTACGTAACAATTCTGCTTTCAAATTTATAAATTATCTATCGACTTATCAAGATTCAAGTGCTGTAGCCTAATCACACCGCTTTCCACCACCGATCGTTCTCTGGGTCTCTAAATGCATCCTATCGACACGGTCGACAACTTGAATGACCTTCCACGATTGTCGCAGTCAGATGACTACCTGAGATATGGCAGACAGATGATACTGGATGGCTTTGGCTTAGAAGGTGCGCCAAAAGGTATTTCTGCAATCACTCATGCAAACCACACAACAGGTCAAATAAAATTACAGAACTCATCTGTCGTGGTCATCGGAGCAGGGGGACTTGGTTGCCCCGCATTACAATATCTCGCTGCAGCCGGGGTAGGTACGTAGGCCCGCTTTCCAAACAAGTATGTATGTACCCGGAAGAACTCACGTTTGCTAGACAGGTCGCCTGGGCATAATCGACCATGACACGGTCGAATTATCCAATCTCCAACGCCAGATTCTTCACTCAGATAAAACGATCGGCAACCCGAAAGCTGTCTCTGCAGCCCAAGCCATCGCTGCTCTGAACCCACGCGTCAAGATTGACGTTCATCCCACTGCTCTCGATCCATCCAACGCGCTTTCTATTCTGGCCCCGTATGACGTGATCCTCGACTGCACGGATAATGCTCCGACACGCTACCTCCTTTCCGACAGTGCCGTCAGGCTAAAGAAACCTCTTGTCAGTGGTGCCGCACAGAAATATGACGGTCAGCTTTGCATATATAATTTGGGCGAGGATGGCCCGTGCTATCGCTGCATATTTCCAAAGCCACCTGCGCCAGAAATGACAGGGTCGTGCGAGGAGACAGGAATACTAGGCGCTGTGACAGGAATCATTGGAAATCTGCAGGCACTGGAAGCGATAAAGCTAATCACCGGGCTTCACGGTGAGTTGAACCAGCTATTTCAGGGCTTATAGTATCTGAAAGATCAGCAAGATGGCAAAGCTTCCCTACTTCTTTTCAACGCTCTTTCTATCCCTCCGTTTCGTACCGTGAAGCTGAGGTCAAGGAAACTCACCTGCGCTGCATGCGGGATCGAGGGCCAGAAAATTGGCACCGTCGAAGAAACAGACTATGTAGCATTTTGTGGTGGTGCACGGCCGAATTGGTTAGAGCGCGGTCTCGAGACTGGCGGACCTGGATCACGAATATACGTTCAAAGAACTAAAATCAGTCTTCGCATCAAACGAAAATCATGCCATCATCGATGTGCGACCGAGAACAGAGTTTGGTATATGTCGTCTTCCGAAGTCTACGAGTAAGTGCTTTCCAGTCCTAGAAGCGCGGTCTATCTCACAAGCGTATTCAGGTGTCCCGCTCAACATTCTCCTGGCTAACCCAGCTCTTCATCTTCCCTCAGACAAGTCCTGTCAGATATTTGTCGTGTGCAGATTAGGCAATGACTCTCAGATCGCTGCGGATGCCATCAGGGCAATTGACTCTAATCTGATTGTAAAAGACGTTGTCGGAGGCTTGCGCGCATGGTCAAATGAGATAGATCCAACCTTCCCTGTGTATTAAGGTAAAGTACACTTGTCCCTCTTGCATTCGATGATCTATGATATAGCAGAAGGTTACAACTATAGAGCAGAAACTCGAATTGAGATCCAAAATAATACATGTGTTAACGCTTCTTTTCACTTCCCTGAAAATAAATGTAAGCAAGGATGGATTAACAGAAGGCAATCCACATACTTAGACCTGCCTTCAACCACTTGGGTATCTTCTTCTCGGTATTCGTGCTCGACGTTGTTGCGGAAGGTATGGCTGACTTCCCCGCCTTGGGTGGTTCGGCATCAACAGCTGGGGGTTTGGGCAGCTCAATCGCTCGTGCTGCAATGGATGACAACAGCGGTGCGGGGACACTCGTGCCTGTGAGCCTCGTGAGGAGTAGCGCATGATTTTCCCGTAAATGGACCTACCATTCAGTGACTCATCTTCAAAACGCAGAAGGAGTATTGATGACGGTGCAAGTTGCAGTTCTACCAAGCTTAAATCACGGACAGTTGGGTCTGATACCTTCAGGTCGCGCTTGGGAGGAGATTGATCTACTAATGATGTCAAAACCTAAAACATCCAAAGCGACCAACACACGCACATAATATGAACTTGATAGACTTGACATCATCTCGGAGGGACGATCGCACAAACGCATACACAGAGCGAATTTTGTCTGTCGAAGGGAATGTCTTCTCAAGCTGTGTCCGATCAGAGAACCTCACACGTATCGTTGTCTGCGTATATTAATTAAGCCCACGCACAACTGGAGGGCAAATACACGCACATTCGGCCATCGATCTCTCTTCGATTTCTCTGCTGCCTCTCGCTGAGCTCGAAGTCGTAGTGGGGCATCGACCAATGCTCGTGTCCGAGCGCTTAGCGTTGCTTGCGCAGCCTTCAGATCGCCAGGGGACGGAGTGAAATAAGAGTCTGGTAGCTCTTCCACTGGAAGTTGACTATAAGGTACAAGACAAATGCCCGAAATGAAGGGACGCACGGCGACGGCTGGTTGTTGATGCAGATGGAGGCCTATACACCTTGAACTCGGCAGCAGGTGCTTCTCTCGCACTAGAACTCGGTGTGGATGTCCCACTGGCTTGCGTAGAGGATTGTAAATTATCAGCCATGGACTGTTGGATGTCGGGTTCAAAGTAGTGGATGACTGATCAAAGAAGATCTGTATTGGTACATTGTATACAACAAACAAACATTTCGCAGTGTCTTACAATCTACAGATACACCAGGAAGATTTACAATGATCGATCTGTGGATGAAAGGAAGGTCAGAATCCATGAATTTTTCAAGAAAGATAATGAGAAAATCATCAGCGGCTGCAGAATAGTTGTCTCAGCTCACTCGCCTCAGGGCCGCGGGCGAGCAGACCTTTTGGTACAAGACGAGTGATCGAACGCAAATTACAAACATCATATACAGAAAAATAAGAAGCAAACTTGACTTACCAGGTGCAAAACGTCTCCTTCAGTGGTCGTCGACGTGGAGGATGAAAGAAACAATGCGAAGCATAAAAGTAAGCTTTGGTTGGCATTGTTTGTGAGGCTTATGTAATCAGATATGTAGGTCACTCCAACTCGCTTGTCAAAGCATCCCTTATTGATCTCCTCATGTCACACAATCATCACGACGGGAACTGCAGCCACGAGAGCCACGACCACGACCACGACCATGACCACGACACCAGCGATCTCGGTCCAAATGACAATTTGTTCCCCTACATCGATCGCGCCAATGTCATCGCACTCAACGGTACCGGGGAGGGTTCTGTCGTGATCAAACCATGGGATCAGCGGAACAACGAGGAAGTTGTATGCCTGTTTATGTACATGCCCTTATTTCCAAGAATTGATAAAATTTTCTCTAGTTTTTGGAGTCGGATGCTGACGATCAGCTGTAAGGTCTCGCTGCATCGAGATCTCGACATTTGCAGCTTAAATAACATTCTCTTGAGAATTCTGCGTATCCCTTTCACCGGCTCCGTTAGACTTCGGTCCTTACTTCTGAAGACGGGCCCGGGTGACCAGACCCCAACGAAAGTCTCTTTGGTCAGTCTAAAGTCCTATTTACCGCCATCTTGTTCATCTCCCTGCATGTAGTTTTCCAACCAACCTAGCATGGATTTCAACGACGTTTCCGACAAGGTCCCTGTTCAAGAATTCAACATCCCTCAGGACAGGAACATTGCGGAGTACGCTGTCAAGTATGTTAATTTATTCTGCATTTTTGTCAAAATGACGCTTACATCGACTCTCCAGGACCGCAAAGTTTAACAAGGTTTCTTCCCTGACTCTATTTTTCCCCGCCTCGCAAGGAGCGGAAACGACAAGGATATACTATGTTGGTCTCCTTGGTCACTGGACAGAGGTATGTGAGCTACTGATTTTCCATGTACTCATATTCATTTTTGCAGCGTAAGAGCGATCCAGTCATCACCGTCTATGAAGCTCAGGCCAACCTTGCCGACCACGAAAAGATTCAGGGAACCGACGGTAAATTCAGTACAACACAATCCTAATAAAAAGCAGGTTCCTATACCATAATTACGATGCGATAAGACATGGGGCTGTTGGAGTGTACAAGATAGCATGCGAGTGCAGTGATATATAGTAGCGCATAACAATCGATTGTAAAATTCCGAAATCATGACTGTTGTCCCAGTAGATCCATCCATTTCGTTCTCCGGAGATGCTGCAGATCCCATAAAGTGGAACAGTTTTTATCGATCACGAGGGATTCATCCCCTGTCGATTGGATCCGTCTGCACTTCTTTGGATGAACGATTGCATCATCTCAAAATTCACCGTCCCGCCAGGATGCATGCCCCCATTGAATTGCCTCTGATGGACCCCGCCGCCGCCCTATGTGTCCAATCATGAACATCACCACACACACGTACTAGAGCACAACTCACAAACATATTCATCGGCTGATTCGCTGCGTTCGAAGAAAACGGGCTCATATTCTGCATTCCCACACCAGGCCCAGGCCCAGGCGCTGGTGCTGGTGCCTCCTGCTGTGGCGCTCCCGTCTGTTGTTGCTGCTGCCGTTGCCGCATCTGCTGCTGCCGCGCAAATTGTTGCAAGAAGCGTATTTGCTGCTGCGGATCAAGTCCCTGGAGCTGCGTTTGTACCTTATGATCAAGTCCCTGAAGTTGGTTATGACTGAAAGTGCCTGGCTGTGGTTGTAGTTGTGGTTGTGGTTGCGATTGCGGCTGCAGTTGCGGTTTTAGGACGTCGACTTTGCCAGAAGTTGGTAGATCCGGCAGTCCAGTGAGTGGGAATACTGCGCCTGCTAGCACATTACCCATCGGAAACACGATCATATTATTCGTGTTCCCAGAGTTCCCTGGAAGTTGCCACGCCGCTACGGCAAACTGAACATCATGAAATGTCAGTTGTAAGGATAGCAAGTAAGAAGGAGGGGTTGCTGACTGTTCGCCTTTCCGCCATCATCTTCAACAACACACCGTGAACCATGGCATTCATGTTCTGATCCATGCTCCGCGCTTGGGGCTTGAACTGGACCATCGCGACAGAGTGCTGATGTTTCCGAAGCCATGCTTGTAATTCTGTGTGGTCCTTCAGTGCTTCTTTCGAGACGCTGATGAATAATTTGTCAGGCCATGTGTCCGTGTGCCTACCAAATGAATTAGTAGTAGACCATAAAGACTGGCCGATGACGTACAGGTCACCCGTGGACTGCGTAACGGCTACTTGCGTTTCGAGCCCCTTCGGCTGTCCAGCATGAAGCGCAGTGAAGGTGATAGAACCTTCCCATTGCTTTGACCCTCCTGAGCTTGTGGAGGTCGAGGCCTGCGGCTGCGGCTGGAGCTGAGTGGTAGATCCGGATGCAGGGGGAAGAGCTGGTCGGGGTTTAGGTGAGCCACTGAAGGTCGGTGGCTGAATGCCAGTCTTGTTGATTAGCTTTTGCATTTGCGCGGCGACCTCTGGACTTGGGAATCCTCCTGGTCCCGAACGCGTCTGCATGAAGTGCATAAGCGCCTGCTGATCTGTAAGCAGTGGCTTCTGCTCCTCCGCAGGGGTAGATATGGGGGCAGGCACCGTTAGCGGTGCTGCATCTTCCGACATGCTGTTGTTCGCCGCCGGCTGAGGCTGAGGCTGGGGCTGAGGTGGAGGTGGAGGCTGAGACATTTCTCCAGACCCCCCTGCACCAGAATTCGAACCATTCATCGCAGCTCTGCTCGCTTTTGTCGCGTGCTGCATGACAACAGTCTTTAACTTTATCGCAGTGTTATACATCATAACGCGCTCCTTTTGAAGCAACTCGACATCTGCAGTATTCCCGGCGGATTGTGCCTCCTGTAATTTCGCGTCGAGAGTTTTCATGTCAACTTCAATACCTTTGAGACGATCTATAAATATGCTGATATTTGGGGGGAATGAGTATTGCGTGGGGGGAGCATTGGGGTTCGGAGCATTTGTAGGTGGATGTGTGGCGGGTGCCGCTGGGGGTTTTGCAGGGCTAGGTGTGGATGTGATGGTTGCGTGCGGTGGTATAGGCGAAGGCAGGAGCATTTGCGAATGTGTTTGAGAAGGTTGTGCAGAGTGTTGGATAGAAGGTGCGGGAACCTGCGTAGAAGGTGGTCTCTGGCCTACTGGACCAGCGCCTCCTCCCGGGAGACGCGGGCTAAGTGCCGGTGAGCTTTTCTCGCTGAGTTTTTGTCGTTTGGTATCTGGGGTTTGGGGGGACTCATTTGGACGCCTTGCAGCGTCTGGAATGGGTGAGCGCGGGAGAGGAAGGGAGGTTGTGCGCGGGAGCTCACTGAGTTTTGGAGTCTGAACATGTGCCTGAGGAGGAAATCCAGACAACCTTAGTATATGCGGCGTGTGGACAGTAAACCACGGAGCGGTTTGTGGGGCTGGTGCTGAGGTCTGAGGAAGAAGAGGTTTCAATAACAACAAGACAGACGCAAAACATGAACTGACGGCAGACTGGACATCTTGGAATTGTTGTATTTGCCGTAGTGTTATAAGACTCAGATTTATTTTCCTCTATGATGCAGGTCAAATCAATGTGAAAAGTCGCCCCGAGCGTGCTTACCTTCTTGAGTTCTAGTGGTAGTGTATCCCATGATACTGAATCAAGATGCGGGAGGGTATTCCAGAGGGGTCTTCGTGTAGAATCGGGTGGACTTGCAGCGATATGTAGTATATGCGAGACGGGTATTCGAGTATCCTTCGGACCAGCCGCGGCGAGCGAGTTGTGCAAAATGTCAAAGAACTTTCGTCGCAGGTTAGACTGAGTTGTAAGTCGAGAACGGTGGTACGCACCTCGATAGCAGCAACCATCCCCTCCAGTGCAGATAACCCCCGTACACCGATAGCGGAGCCAATTCCTAACTTGCTTGGATCCTCGCGCAATTCCTTCATCACAGACGTCGGCGGGAAAAAGAAACGCTTCGACAACAGCGGATTTGGGCGCGTATCCGGTGCGCCATATGTCACTAAAGCTAACCGGAACTAAGCATCACCCCCACTCAGCATGCCACTTGACAGAAGAATGATCCAAGTGAAACGCACTTGATGACCATTGTATACCTCGTTCAGACGCTTGAGAATCGGTAAGATGTACCCTGTGACTACGCGAGTCCATTCTGTAGCGAGCGATAGGGATGCATCGACGACACAGGCGACGGCGAGCACTTCCTGGCCTGCATCGAGCTGAGCTTGGACATGTGGTTGCTGCTGCTGCGACTGCGACTGCGACTGAGTGGACATGAGGACAAGTGGCAATCGCTGCTGCAGAGCCTTAGAACCGAGGCTTTTGAAGGATCCACAATTTGTCCACAAAGACACGAGAACAACGACGTCAAGTGGACTGCCGCGGAGTCAAATTATGAACGTGGTTGAACTCCGTAGTCCTATTAGTCTCCACTAGGCAGATACGACAGGATACAAGCCGCTCCAAGTTTGTGTCAGTTTACCACCGCTTAGATCTGGACTCGGACTCGAGTCAAGGTCTAGAATCCTTGGATTCCTCAGTGTTTGATTTGACTTTCAATGTGGTCATGCGTGTGGTCTCAACGTTGCAATTTTCACGCTAAATAGTGTTGTCGATAAATGAAGGAGACAACAGAGTAACTAGGGTAACTGAGAAGATATCATGTAACAACTGTCTATGTAGACGATACAGCCAGAAAGTTGGTATGTGCACCACCACAAATAAGAGTCCATATACTCGACTGTCCTATCGACTGTCCTTCGTAATCGGGCGGCAGACCCACATCATTATGAAATATGCGCTCTACAACATTAAGAACCATGCACCACCTCCGATGCCCAGCACCGTGCTTGCTACCAATCCATACCAACCGCTAGAGAGCAAGAACTGGCGGCTCGCACCAGACGTTGGTGCTGCACTCGTCCCGACCGAGGCTATATACGATGAGTAGTTGACGATTACGCCGGTAGTTGTGGTGGCTGGCAACACAGTGGCAGGCCCTGTAGGCGTAAATGTGGCTAATACGGCGACGGTGGAGCCAGCGGCATTGGTGGTAGTATAAGTGTACGGGGTAGGTCCTCCTGGTACTAGTACTGTTGTTGACGCGGGTTGTTCTACGGGGCCCTGCTGCCCTTTTGTAGTCGAAGTAGTTGCTATAGTTTGGAGTATCGGATTTGTGGTAGTAGTAGAGGTTGTACTGGTTGTTGAAAGGGTATTCGTGGTGAGAGCGGTGGTGAGAGCGGTGCCAATGATCGTTTGTCTTGTCGGCGACATGAACATGTAAAATTCAATAGTGATATGACCATGACTTCACTTACAAAATCTGTGTCGTAGGAAGACCAGCAGGGTTTAGTGTAACAACTTCCACGACGGTATTGCCAGCTCTATTCCAGCGATTGATCAGACAGAAACTTGTACAAGGGCTGATATACTTACGCATTGGTGATGGTTTCTGTCTGAGCGTATGCCCACGACGCGCACAAGGCGATCGCAGTGATAAAAGCGCTCTTCATTGAGTTTTTTGAGGATAGGTCGTTGTCTGGGAGCTAGCGACGAGCAGCGTGCTTGGTGAGCATCACTCGCAGTGCTCAGGTATCCACGCTAATAATATTCATTTGCTTCCGGCAGGCAACCTTCCATATCAAGATATCTCCTGCCGAAGACCACCTAGTTTTTACGGCCGTGAGAATTCCAAAAAGGGATAATTCGCCCGAATTTTTTCTCTTTCTTGTAGAGCTCGTGACTGATTTTTTTTTGGGAGATGATAGATCGATGGTGGCTCTGTCTGCATCATCTGCATCGTCCATCTCCTGCATCTTGTCTTCTTTTTCAGCGGTCATTCTCCGCGTCGCACTCTCTCCAAGCTAAGAAGAAGAAAATGCCTCCAAAGAAGGCTGCTGCCGCAGAAAAAAAAGTTTTGCTTGGGCGTCCAAGTAATAACTTGAAGATCGGTATCGTCGGTATGCGCCTATCATCCTCCAATCGAATCCAGACTTACAGACCACCCGTAAAGGTCTTCCGAATGTCGGAAAATCGTCTTTCTTTAATGTTCTATCCGACACCGGTGCGGACAGCCTTTATGTAGTCACATCCGAGTCTAAAATATCTTAGATTTGGGAAAGGCTGCCAACTTTCCATACGCCACGATTAACCCAGAAGAAGCGCGTATCCCTGTGCCGGATACACGTTTCGAGTGGCTTTGCGATTTGTACAAGCCCGCCTCGCGCGTACCCGCTTTCCTCACCTGCATTGATATTGCCGGTCTTACCGCGGTACGTCCATGACCTTATGCCCGTTGGTCGTGTCCACCGACATGTTTTTAGGGTGCATCAACAGGTGCAGGACTTGGAAATTCATTCTTGTCCCACGTCCGCGCTGTCGATGGTATTTTCCAAGTGGTCCGTGCTTTCGATGACGCGGAAGTCATCCATGTAGAGGGCGATGTTGACCCTCTGCGTGATATGGAGATCATCCAGACCGAGCTTCGCCTGAAAGATATTGAATGGGTTGAGAAGCACCTTGACGGTCTCAAGCGCACTGGTCGATCGCTTGGCAACAACAGCCTGGCAGATAAAGCTAAGAAGGAAGAAATCGTGCGTCTCGCTGGAAACACTGTTTGGTGTGCAGCTCGTGCAGACTCATGCTGTAGGGAACAGTTGAGAAAGTCCTTAAGACCCTTACTGTTGATAACAAGGATGTCAGGAAGGGCGAATGGACAAACAAAGAGGCGAGTCTTTTTCTTGACAAAATTTGATCCTCAACTTTCGATTGTATCTTGATGAAAAAGAGCCTTTGCTCGATAACCCAGCTCGTTGAGGAGGGAGTAACGCCCCAATATTCCTTTGAGATAACAGTTTTTTCTGATTCCTTTTGTGGCTTGTGGTCTTCGTCTAACATGCTGACCAACATCCTACAGGTAAATATCATGTTCTCAGTATTGCTTTTGAGCGATGAAAAAGAGCTTTCGCTCGATAACCCAGCTCGTTGAGGAGGGAGTAACGCCCCACTATTCCTTTGAGATAACATTTGTTTCTGACTTCTTCCTTGTCTGCTGTGATCATCTTCGTCTACCATGCTGACCGTCATCCTACAGGTAAATACCATATTCTTACCATCGCTTTTGAGCGATGAAAAAGAGCATCAGCTCGATTAACCCAGCTCTTTGAGGTGGGAGTAACGCCCCATTATTCAATGATGTTTTTTCGACCCTCTGACCTTCATGTCCTCGCTACTTTGTTGGCGCCCGCTAATACCCACTACCATCCATAGATCGAGGTCGTCAACAGCCTTACCCTACTCACCGCCAAGCCCATCACTTACCTGGTCAATCTCAGCGAGAAAGACTACATCCGCAAGAAGAACAAGTGGTATGGCTGTTACCAACCTCTTTTGATCACCACCGCTTACGCTCGCATACAGGTTAGCCAAGATCAAAGGATGGATTGACGCACACAATCCCGGTGACCCCCTCATACCATTCTCTGTGGCGCTGGAGGAGCGCCTTGCGCAGCTTCCAGAGGATGAGCGTGTCGAGGCTCAAAAGGAACCAGGAGCGCAGAGTGCCCTCGGCAAAATAACGCAAGCGGGGTACTCAAGTCTTGATGTGAGTCTCATCAACTGGTCACGGACTACATACTGATTAACGAAATGACAGCTAATCCGCTACTTCACGTGTGGACCTGATGAAGTGCGTGCTTGGACGATTCGCAAGGGGACAAAGGCACCTCAAGCGGCCGGTGTTATTCAGTATGTAGACCCATCCTCTTCTTTCTACACCCCTCAATCTTTCGCAGCTCGGACTTTGAGAACAAGTTCGTTTGCGGTGAAATCATGACATATGAAGACCTCAAGGAACACGGAAGCGACGCTGCAGTCAAGGCTGCAGGTAAACTGAGACAGCAAGGCAAGCCTTATGAGAGTGAGTTCTTCCTGTCGTTCTCCTGGGACCACCACTGACTGACGGACAACAGTGATAGACGGGGATATTGCTTACTGGAAATCTGGTTAATGCGGGGGGACGGGTTGTCAAGAAGTTGGGGCTGTTGTACGTTGCATACATACTTGTGCTAGATGAGGCAAGTGGAATAATCGCATTGATTGAGGATTAATGCTTGGTAGCAGGTCCTATTGTCACATCGGGATTGCATTTCTTTTGTGTATTCAGAGTACTCGAGCAATTCCTTATCGGGATGACACAAACGCGGTGCGACCTTGAAACATGCCTTGCTCAAGTTTGTGGATGTACTACAAGAATATCAGTCCAGTTCAGAAATAGGAGCCAAGGACCACGTGACTTAAACTCCCACTCGGAGATCGATCCCTTGTACGCCTATTATTCACCAGATGTGATTTGGTGCTTCATTGCTTGCTTGTCAGCGACGTCGCATTCATATCAGCTCTGTGGCACTATTTAAGAGACTGGCAACCAATTTGCCTTGCAGGGTGGTCCAAACTCTATTTTCCAGTGGAACTTTGAGGGAAAGGTAAGCCTCATTCAGGACTTTCAACTTACGCACTTAGCCGCGTCGGCTTTTTTTTATGAGAGTCGGACTAGAGTATTTTTTGGCATCCGACAGGGAAGGACGTTTTGCTTACGTGCGTGCAATCTAATTGGTCAAGCTGTGGAACATGTTCCGAAGACGAATGTCCGGAAAACGAAGGTGGTATATCCATCAACTTGAATAGTCTAAGGATGGTTCGAGACTACTGCGACATCGAGTACGCACTGAACAGGCGAGTAGTCTTTGAGACTAAAATTCATTCAATGTTCGAGGTCAGTGGTCAATGATATCCCATTGAGTATTCTTGGGTCTAAGGAGGCGGTGGAAAGAACATGCGATGGACGTCCTTTTGTCACAGTGGTGCCTTGTTGGATCTTTAGAATGGACGTTCTGCGCAGAACTTTCACTGGACACACAGCCTCGGCTGCTTACCATGGTGTCACGTACATTCATAATTGCCACTTCGAATCCTTAGTTGAAACTTTCCCCTCAGGGGCGACTCTTGATACAAATAGCCAGCACCAACTCCAACCAGCACCAGTCTTCAGACTACGACTGCTCTCCTGCGCATCATGAAGCGGGAGGTCGACGCGCAACCATGCTCTAGTCAGGGCATGTCTCTGGGTACTATACGGCATCGTCTCGGTTCTCCCCGTGCGGCGGCACATCGACGACGTCCGTACATGATACCTGGGAGGGAACCACCGGCCCGGGAGCCGCCTATCGTCCAAGAACTGATGCAGAGGATGGAACATTTGCGATCAGTCATGAATAACGTTATCCGAACCATACTCGTGCAAACAGGAGGCATCCCAGACGACGCATCGACGGTGAAGTTGGAAAACATGCGTGCGGAGCTCCGCCGCAGCGATAAGACTCTGCCTCAGAGCGCACCAGGCTGCGATCTCAAACCCCAATGACATACTTGGAGGTAATCTAGCACATCGGTGAGTCATGTCAGTGTATCGTTCAAGCTTCCTATTTATAAGTATTATAGTAATACAATGACCACCGCTGCTGGTCGACCAAGTGTTATGCAGGGTGGTGGAGCCTCATCCCAGCAACCCCGACCACAGTCGACCAGTCCCACTCCAAGTTTTGGAACACATCCTGCAGTTGGCGATCCTTCGTCGGAAGATCAGCGAAGATTTACTGGTCCTGTCGCACGTCAACTATCCCCATTTATTGTTCCCAATATCGCTCCCTCCACTCAACTGATCCCCCAATCCTCATCCCAGACTTAACTGGGCTCATTACCCGACTGCCGCCAAGACCCCGTTTCCGGCGGTACGTACGGAAACATTTACAAATGTATATACCACGGACCAGGACGGCGATGTAGAGGTTTGTGCATGCTGACAGTTCTTCCACGTTTACTGACGTATCACTCACTCGCAGGTTGCCGTCAAAGCCATTCGGCCACAATTCATCAATGATGAGGTGTCCACCAGATGATCTGGCGGTCATTAACCATTGCTTGCTTGTCAGCGACGTTGTATTGATCGTACATATGTATCAAACGCTGACAGTACGAAGTCCTCTGACACTATTCGAGAGAGCGACGACTAATCTGACTAGCAGGGTGTTCCAATCAATCCCATTCTTTAATGGAAAAATCGAGGGAAACGCAGTACAAGCGTATGCCTCGTTCTGTGGTCTCCATTGAAGTCCAAGGCATGGGCTTCGTGTAGGTTACATTTTAGTATTCAACATTTACATCCCAACAAGGGTATTCGTGGGCGCATCTGTGCATCGGATGCCGGTCAGTAGAAGCGCTTTTGCCTCACTGATCAGACCTGTCAGGGTCCAAATGGTTTGGGAAAGCTTGAAGGTCAGGGCATTGTAATACTATCCACTTATATTCACAGTATTCAGAACCGGCAGCCTCAGACCCACATTGGGCAGATCAATTGAGTCTCGAGTATGACAGAGCAACCAAGCGAGGACGATCAACAAGGTTATCAATGCAATTAAACCATCTCAAGGTAGCACAGGGCAGCCACTTCCTTCGGGTCATGTCCGCTTTCATCCGCGAATAGCTTGCCATGACGCCCGGGACATTCCACCACAAAACGGGGCGGAGGTGCTCACCTAGATCTTGGCCAGTACGACGAGAACATTACCCTTCCTGAGCCTTCACCAAGGGTGATTACTCCCTCGTTGGCTGCCTTGGAGATGGCGGTGTCCGCCCGGATCTACTTTGAGAACCTTTACTTGAGTCCCCCTTCTTTGGCGACTTCTTTCTCGAGATTAACGGAGAATTGCTATGGAAAAGGATATATTTAGCTATCAAGCGCTCGAGTGGATATCAGAAATGCTTAAGCTTACGTGCTTACTGGCGCCTAAATGAGACTGAGTACCTTTGTGAGCTCATTCAAACTTTCTTTCAACTGAGCCACGTCGGATTTATTTAATGACGGTTTAGCCTGCCTCTGGAGCCTCAAATAGTCGTTTTATTTTCTTCGGTATCGAAATAGATAAATTACCTTGTCCGTAAACAAAGCGGGTGCGCCGGACAATGGTTCTTTCTTTCCTTTTGAATCCCGTTCATTGTCAGTCTTCATAGGCTAGTAATGACAATAAATGTATGAAGCTATGAAATTAGAGACAACTGAGTGGATTCATAATGAACGATCTACAAGGAAAACGAGTGACACTAATAATAAGTAGTAGCCGATCTAAAACAGCACGAAAAGCATGGCGTGGCTAGTAATAGTGCAACACAAAGAATGCAAAAATACAAGAGGAGGTAGACGCGCCTAAGCACCCCTCTTCATCCCCAAATGAACTTCACGAGTATGACGCCACATGCAACCGCGTCGCATGACACGAACTGCAGGGTCATCACGTTTATGATATTCACAAGCTTCCCAGCGGCATTCAATTTGCGCGTTTGGAGGCCCCGAAAAATGAGCGGTTTTACAATGGACCTTTAACTCCTCTAATGTGCCTGCAAATTCGCAGGGTACGTCATCACGTAGCCATCGGCAAGACAGTAGGAGGGGGGATGAAGGATGGCTTTGAAAGGGAATCGAATGTGGGTGGCTGGTGGGTGGCTGATCGGAAGGGTAGCATATATTTCCACCGTGACTTGAAAATGGCTGTAATGCATCTCTAATCTGCGAAGATTCCGCAGCCAAAGGTGGAGGTACTATAGGTGGGAGTGGCACGTTCCGTGGTGGCTGAGAAATGACAGAATCGCACCACTGTTGCGGCAAATTGTTATACGGCGCAGTGGGCATTTCATAGTCAGAGGTGAAGTATATATCTTGGTTGGTCCGGGTGTATTGTGAGGGAAATGCCGGATGCGAATGGTGGACATTTGAATACTGCCTGCGTATGAGAGTGATTATTAATGTACGAGAAAAATAAACGGGTACGAAGAGCATACATTGGGAATGTGTATGAAGACGAGTGGTCTCTTCCCAACACAGGGACGTCGTTCTGGGAAGTGTGAAGGGTTGGTGGGTTATTCCAGGAGCCATAATGCGAGAAAGATGTAGGGATAGTAGGGGAGGAGACTGAGTAGATACTGTGTAGTTGTGGTATTGCCATGGCCCAAGGATTTGGTGTGGAAACAGATTGTATTGAGTATTTTACCTGGTTGAAATTGTGGCAGCTGTAACCAGTGCTGCTCGGTGAACCGTCCGTCATCCGCGGGCCAGGTAAGGCGGGCTGAGCAAGATGACTAGTCACGGAGTTATACGTGTGCAAGGCAGAGAAGGGAGCGGACTGACTTGGGGCTTGACACCATGGTCGGTCGGACCACCACTGCGAACCCAAGATTAGGATAAGTAGTCGAGTTCTGTAGCATTGAAGGAAACATCTTTGGAATGATTAGCGTGACAGAGAAGGATCTTTGAGAAATATTACCGTGTCAATATCAAGGGTAGGACTACTGGATAGGTTGGCGGAGGGGCAACCAGTATCGTCGTCGACTTCTTGGTTGATTATGTGTTGGTCTGGCATGGCTGTATTGTGTAAAAGAGCAGTGAGAGCAAGCGACGATGCTTGGTATACTAGGTCCTACAGATGCTAGTTGTGGGGAATTCGTCGGAGAGAGAATAGGTGCCCCACAGTTTTTATATGCGTCGAACATCATGCAGGGGAACACGAAGCTTGGGCGAACATGCCACACCATGGTGAACCGAGGGGCAGCATGGCATTGTTTACCCAAAAGTATAATTACCAGTAATTAACGTTCCGAACAAACAATGTGCATATGCTGCCGTAAAATTCATGGTTGGAGGGATCAATTGGGTGCGATAGTGCTTTGAGTTTTTAATTTAACCATCGATCCCTTTGATCGGAAAGTCGTTATATTGCCGAAGCCGCATCCTGCCGCCATCATAAGCCGCGCCAGGTTCGCGGGGATGTTTCTTCAGGTACATAGCATCAGTACTTAGGCTCTGTTTCTCCAGGTTTCTCCTTGTTTCTCCGGGGTTCAACGTAGCAGTTTTCGCAAAGTTGGAAAGAAGAAGGGCAACCAATATCACTCGTGCGCTTCAGGTTGGCTCTTGGCGTCAGCGGAATGTGCTCATCCGCAGTGGCGGTGGAAGTGAAGCCAAAATAATATAAGCGAGCATCGCCACTGTACACTCTGGTCAGCCAATCAAATTTGTTCCTCGTTCCACGTGACCCAAACTCAGCGAACACCGACTCAGCGAACGAAAGAACCTAATATTTTAAGTGGGTGGACAGCAGGAGAATATGAAAACAAAAATTTGTTCAAATCGAAACAAAACTTCCAGCGTCGGTGGGTCCATCCAGCCCTTGTGCGCTAATAGTCCAGAACATCATACTTATGGAGCCGTCAACGGCAGGCAACAGGGCCCATCAGTAGGATCGGAGCCTATAGGAGCCTATCAGACTATCCCTGGTGAGCAAACGACACGGCACCATATACAATACAGTCCTATTACTTACCATACCACATCCGTGCAGAACCTGCAACTAAGTTGGCGGCGCCGTTCCCACCGGGTGTGATAGGTAAGGCACTTACTTTCATGTTTCACGCGTGCCATCTTGAACCCCACTGTGTACGTTCCTCTTGGCAGGGGATATTCTCGGAGAAGGTTCTCCTTGAGTTCGCCGCCAACCCAGCCGACGACCGTGTCGACATGCCAGCCCTGGTCACTTTTGCTTTTGTTTATTCTCCAGGTTCTGGGGCCAGCACCAAGGCCAGTGAGAATGGGTATGAAAGCTCAATAACCCGAAGCCGCATAGGTGAAGGAGGTATCACAAACGCAGAGCGGACATGTCTGGGGTGCACAGCGGCCCAATAATTCGAGTGTGCAAAGCAGCTCCGGCCGTTACCCGATCTGAATCAAATTCAAATGGGGGCTAGTCGAACCAAAGTCAAACAAGCGTTGTAGCAGGGAGATCAGGCGCTCCTCCGTAGGAGGGCCAGAGGTCCTGGCAGAGTGGCTGGAGTCCTGGTCGTAGGTCCTGCAGGTCGTCTGTCCTCGCGATAGATAGAGTCGCCACATCCTGCCTTAGAGTTTTGGTTTGGGGTTTCCCTTGCAGTCCGAGCCCGGTCCATCGTCAGCACTTGGCACACTCACAGCATTACTCTTCAAAGTTGAGCAATGACGTCTAGTCCAAGATCTGGAATATACAGAGTCCAGACCAAGCGACCGTAGCTTTTGTAATGGCTTGCAGATGTCTTGGGGCGCTCTCTAGTCACAGGTGCGCTTTTTTTTCCAATTTATGTCTTGTGAGAGTAGTACTCTATGTAAGACAATACATTCTAGTCTAGGGACCCTGTGTCCCGCTGCGCCTCTAGATCCATGAATGTTCTGGTGTAAGGCGTGCCCCACCAGTCCGCAGTTCCCGCCTGCTGTTTCAGACATGCAATCTATCGGAGAAGTGACTTTATAGGTACGCGCGTGTGATGATATCTGAGCCAAATGGGATCGTCTGAACGCTTGAGATATATAAGTTTGTGGATGTACTACTTGAAGAACGTTAACTCAGTCTGTTTAGAAATGAAAGCCAATGACCCGCTCAGATGGCGATCAACGCCTTGTACACCTATTGTTAACTTGGAGATGATTTGGTGGACATTGCTTGTACTAATCAGTAATGTTGCATTCATCTTCATAGATGTAAACAAGACGCTAGTGTTACGAAGCCAAATTTGGGACACTCTTTGAGAGAGCGACAACTCAACTGCCTACCAAGGTGTTCCAACCGATTCCATATACTTTGAGGGAAACGCAATGAGACGCTCAACGTGCGACTGGTCGCTCGTACATCCTTTGAGCTCATGTCCTGGGATGAGAACACATACTAGGAAACATCTTCGCGTGCGATGGGCGGACGTCCTTTATTTTTTTATCCCGTTCACTATGACTTTTTTACAGGCTAGTAATGACAGCAAATGTGAGAAGCTATGAAATGAGAGACAAAGTGGATCCATCACGAACGATCGACGAGATCGAGTGACATAAGCGGCGGCGCAACACAAGGAACGCAAATGTGCAAGAGGAAGAAGGCTCGCCTACTAGGTACCTCTCTTCATCCCCAAGTGGACTTCAGAAGTATGACGCCACATGCAGTCACGTCGCATGGCATGAACTGTGGGGCAATCACGCTTATGATAACCACAGGCTTCCCAGCGGCATTCAATCTGCGCATTTGGGGGTCCCGCAAAATGACTAGTCTTACAATGTGCCTTTAACGCCTCCAGTGTCCCTGTAAATACGCAAAGTGTGTCATCCTGTAGCCATCGGCAGGAGAGAAGGAGGGGAGATGAGGGATGGCTATGAAGCGTGATGGGATATGGCTGGTTGATGGGTGGCTGATCTGAAGGGTAAGATGCATTTCTACCGTGACTTGCACAGGGCTGCGATGTAAAATTAATTTGCGAAAATTCCGCAGCCAAAGGCGGAAGTATCACAGGCGTGGATGGCCCACTCGGAGGGCGTGGCTGGGGGATGATAGAATTCTGCCATTGATACAACAACTCGTTGTACCCCGAGAAATGAGAGGTAGACATTTCAGGGTCAAAGACAAAAGGCGTATCATGGTTGGTGTATTCCGAGGGAAAAGTGGGACGAGAAAGGCAAACATCTGGATATGGCCTACGTGTGAGGGTCATTATGAGAAGAACAGATGTAGACGAAGGGCATACATTTGCAATGTGTATGAAGACGAGTAGTCACTTCCCATTGCAGAAGGACTAGAGCGCCTTACGATGGTGCCTCCTAACACAGGGTTGTAGTACTGGGTATTGTGAAAGGATGGCAGGTTTTGCGAGGCGCCATGATTGGAGACAGATGTAAACATATTGGTAGGATAGAAGACTGGGTAAACACTTTGTGGTTGTGGTATGGCCAAGGCCCGGGAGGGTGCGCCAGGAAAAGTGGGCTCAGCAGGATGGCTAGTAATCACAGTGTTATAGGTCTGCAAGGAAGAGAAACAATCAGACTAACTTGGGGTTTGACACTATAGTCAAATGGGGCGCTGTGAACCCATAGTTGGGACATATCGTTGAGCTCCGTACTAGCTTTGAAGGAGACATCTTCGGAGCGATCAGTGTGACAGAGAAGGACCACCTAAGAATTCTTACGATGTCGTTGGCGCAGGGAAGACTACTGGATGGGTTGACGAAGACACGATAAATATCGTTGTCGAGGACTCCTTGATCGACCACGCGCTGGTCTGGCGTGTGCTGTAGAAGAGCAATGAGAGCAAGTAATGACGATGATATACTAGGTCCTACAGATGCCATATATCAAGGAAATTCATCGGGGAGAGAATAAGTACTCTATGGTATTTATATGTGCAGGCAGGGGATACGTGAAGCTTCAGGCAAATAGAACCCATGATGGACCAAGTGGCAGCATTGCGTCATTCATGATTCGAGGACCGTCAATTTAGGTAAACGTGGCAGCTTGTGAGCATTCTGCGCTGTCTGAATGGCAAAACCGTACCTCATCTGTCCAATCCGAGACCCATGTCTTCCTTGCTGATGTCCGTATTTTAACTAGAAATGGTCATTTGGGTTGATTTCTGTCCGGATCGCCGACTGGGTTCCATAGGCATTATCAAGGGTCTAGTAGTTTGTTCTTGCTTAACGTTAACGTAACGTTATTATCCCGATCAGATCTCAGTAATACATCCGGGAACAGCCGGGCTCGTGTGTTTGATTAAACTCGGAAGATACGGTCTTGGCCTCCCCTAGTAATCAGACATTGAAAGCAGGAAGTCAGTCGTTCCTTCTTTTTCAAGGGTCGAAGACGCGGCGATGCGGAAGCGGGCGCTTAACGTTACTGTCAACTTCTGTGGCAGATACACTGGGTCTCGTATCCTACTATCCGCGCACCGATCTATGAACAGTTCAGCTGTGCGCGTTCACTTCCCAAAATATCTGGTCGAGGACGCTTACACTGGCAGTAGTTCTTGACTGGCTCTTGGGGTGACAGCGTCCGGCGCCTAGACTATGAACTATGTTTTGGGACAATAGTATGTTTGATTAAACTTCCTAAATGACTGGTCGAAGAAGCTTACACTGCCAGCAGTAGCTCTTGGTCGGCTCTTGGAGTAACAGCGTCCAGCGCCCGAGCCATGAACCGTATTCTGGGTAAATAATAGGTTTGATCAAACTTCCTAAACGACTGGCCTAAGACACACACTAATAGGATGTGGAAGATCTTGGTTGGCGCTTGGGATAGTAGCCTTTTGGATCGACCAAAATAATTCTGGTTCGCCCTGGCCGCCTGGTGTCCACATCCGAACTTGATTGGCAACGTGGCAGAGGTGGCAATACGCTTCCTGCCCTCGTCCGGTGATTGTTCACTAATCACAGTACTGCCATACAAAAAACCCATGCTGGGGATGACACAGTGGAAATTAATTCTACTCCCCAACGCGGTTGGGATTTACAAACAACCGTCTGCTGCAATCTAGTTTCGTCAACACCTTACTCACGATCAAAATTCACGGTGAAATCCAGGAACCCAGACAACACATTTGTATTACAGATCATGTAACCAAATTACAGAGCTAGTGAGTCGGTTCCATCTTCACAGTTCTTCCATCACTGATAAACCATCGGAACCGACTCCTCGGGGTAGAAGGCTAAGTGCTGTGCTTTTAAGAACAAGTCTGAATAATCGTCAACGAGTTGACCCTTGTATCTGCTTAGATGTGCCAGATTGAATCACCCCTGCTCACATGAGGATGTTTACATGTCACCCAGATGGGTGTGTTAACGTGTCCGAGTCACCCAGGTCGCACCCAGTGTATACGAGTATGTTTGTCCCCACTATCACCTAGCGAACGTTGATTGGATTAGCCAAGGTTGGCCGTCCAGTAATCCAAATGCGCTTCATTATGTTGCATAGAAAGACACCTTTGATTATCAGGCTGTCGCGTGATTATCTTGCACGAATTTTTGTCTCTACTGCATCTGAACCCGAAGGGGATGTTCTTTTGGAAGGTTCCGCTTGGGCTCACCACCAACCCAGCCTCAATCACCTTCGCTTCTGATTAATTCCGTCAGTTTCGCGTGCCATTCAACTCAAAGGGGAAGTTATTGGGGAAGGTTCTGCTTGAGCTCAGCGCCAACCCAGCCTCAGCCACCTTCGTGTTTGATCACTTCCATCTTTGTCGCGTGCCATTCAACTTAAAGGGGAAATTCTAGGGGAAGGCTCTGCTTGAGCTCACCGCCAACCCAGCCTCAGCCACCTTCGCGTCTGATTGCTTCCATCTTTTTCGCGTGACATCTAACTCAAAGGGGAAGTTCTCGGGGAAGGTTCTGCGTGAGCTTGCCGCCAACCTAGCCACTGGCCGTGTCGACAGACCAACTTCGACCACATTTACTTTGATTATTCTCCAAGTTCCGACGCCAGCAAGGGTGGGTACGGAAAGCTCAATAGCCCGAAGCCGCTTAGGTGAAGGAGGTATCACAACCGCCGGCCGTTCCCCGATCTAAATCAAATTCAAATGGAGGCTAGTCGAAATAAGCGTCAGCACCTACCACCTACACGGCCTTGCTCTTTGAAAATTGAGCGATGATGTCTAGTTCAGGATCAGCAATATATGGTAGACCAAGCGACGGCAGCTTTGGCTTTGGTAAAGGCTTGCGGATGCCAATGGGGGTCACAGGTGCGCCTGAAAGGTTGAGGTAGGTAAGTTCACCGGAAGAGCAGATAGAGTCTAGCTCTCAATAAGACATAACTTATTTTTTTTTATAAACACCACCGAATGTGAGACGCGGTGCAGAAGAAATTCGTTCATTCGTGATCGTCCGTGGTCACCAAACAGCGTGAGTTTTCAATTTGCGTTGCTGTCGGTGTACGAACGGGGAAATGCCCGATGCTGGACTTAGTGACATGTATAGACCAAGCAAGGACAAATGAACGCAAGCGAACGGTTGGGTCACCAAGAGCCTCCAAGAGCACGCAGTAATTCCGGTGTGAAGTAATCCCAGGGGAATATACAGGGGGGATATTTATTAATAAGACACGATATCAGGTCCATGAGATATCAAAAGTTCCGAACCATGAGTCGAAGCTACGCCATCAGAATATCGCTCTGACTAATCCACCGCCAATGGCAGCACCTGTAAGGGCGTATTAATTACATCCGACCTACATTTCTCTTTAATAAATTGCTTACCAGCACCAAACCCGACACCTCCTGCAGCTGAGTGGGCCATCTAGGTAAATATAACTGTATGAACTTACGCCCATAGTGATAAAGGTGAAAGAACATACCGTATTGCCATACTTGCCGAATTTATTCTTCTTTTCCGCCTGACCAGATGCTTCCTGCAGACCAACAGAGTTGACGCCTACACCCGCAGCGGGAGGCTTATCCATCCCATGCAAAGCGGCACCAAATGGCCTGTACGGTTTCTTCGCTGTCGTCGCAACTCCATCAACTTGTGCAGGGGCAGAAGCGTCTAATCTCTCGACATGATTAGACGGGAATAGAGCCTCCCGACCGCGTGCGCGACCGAGCCACCAATCTTGGTTCTTCTCTGAGACAACCTCGATGAGTTCGCCAGCAGAGAACGAGAGATCGTTTGGCTCCTGGTTGCAAAAGTAAACACTGCAAAGATATGAATGATAAGCAACTCACTGAACCGTCCTCGTTGTATGCCCAGGTCGCTTTCGCGAATCTAGGTTGCTGTGAGGGAGAGGATGAGATCACAGGCGCTTGAACAGGTGGAGGGGGGATCGCTCTAGGCATGACAGCTGGACTGACAACCCTGACGCTGGTTGTGACAACTGACTGACCGGCGCCGCCGGGTAGTCGTGATACAATTTCACGCATGGTGCTGGCGTCTTCGGTAGACATGTAGTTCTGAGACTCGAGGAAGGAGACATTGAGCTGCAATTGTGTCGCGACGTGGGCGAGGAGTACGGCGGACTGGGTATCATGTGGGACTGTCATTGTGGTTTGTTGAGAGAGATGAGAGTAATGATGACAGTTGGCTGTGCATGTGCACCGCGTTCAGTAAAAAGGATGCCGGCCTGCAATTCAAGAACAATTCAACTGTAGAGATGTCGAGATTTCAAGTCCAAGTGCTACGCGGAGCCCTCATGGACTATGGCCATCCTTTCAGATCACAGACAGTATACACTTGCACCCGGGTCAGTACGTACATAATAAGTATACTGTCGTCTTAGACATCGCCTACGATATTCAGTTCTCAGCAGCTTGAAGAAGAGGACCCATATCTCCTGATACCTCTCAAGGATATCTACACAGGCATTCTGGTGCCCAACACCTTTTTGGTTCTTTACCTCAATACAACTCACATGCATCAAATCAACACGATTCGGCTTCTGCCTACTCTCCTTCCTTTGCAGCATCATCCATGACTTCAAACCTGACTTGATTGCTCAATCCCGTTTCAACCTCGTTCACATTTACTTCAGCAGGCTATAATGCCAATTCTACTCGTCCTGGCTATCAGAACGCCTTCCCATCAGGGGTGAACGCGTTGGAGTAGGGGACCCCTAGGCAGAGGGTGAGAGCAGAGGGAGGTTTGACGGTGTTTGGGCCGGGTTTAGCCGAGGCAGAGTTGTCAGAGTCTTCGGAAGCAGTAGCAAGGCAAGTTCAGCACGAGAGTCAGTCGATAGCCAGAGTAGAGGAGTAGGCCACTCCAGCGTCAAGCGCTCCAGGTACACAATCAACCTACTGCGACTTCCACCACCCCTTCAGGTCACGGGTTTCCTATGCAGTTTTCTTACACCTATCAACCACCTAATATTCGCCAATCCGTGGTCGAGTCGCAGATCTTAGACAGTATCGGTCGCTCAAAACGCCATAGAGAGGATGACGACGACGACGACGACCAACCTCGAACTATGATACCCAAACTACAGGAGTTTCCAGAGCTCGCGAACAAACTGAAACCGTGCGCTCTCCATTTAACTCCACCACATCCATACTAACAAATCACACAGATCAGGTGCGTGTGCTCGGTGCAAAAGCTTGAAGGTAAGGTATCTTTTTGCTCTATTTCAAATATCAAGACACCTCCACCACGCTAGGTCCGGTGTGAATTCAGGGGCGATAACGATACCTGCAAACGGTGCACGGGTGCCGCTCAAGAATGTGTCATTCCTGGGCGCAAACCACGTCGGACCCTACCGTACGTGCTCATTTGGTCTCCAGATTTGTGCAAATTAAGAAGTCAGCATTAGCGAACGAGAACACCTTTTGAATCAGATTCGTGAACAAGCTGCTCAAATTCAGGAGCTTATGGCGCAAACAGGTGTTATGCAAGGCGGTGGAGCATCCCAGCAACCCTGGTCACAGTCAGCCTATCCCATTCCAAGTTTTGGAATGAATCTTGGAGTTAGTGGTCTTCTATGGTAGATCTGTGAAGTGTTGACGATTCTTTGGTTCTGGATGAGTAGTCGGGTATGCCCAGCGCACATCAAGGATTATTTCCCAACTGGGTGCCATCCACCCCACCTACCGCTTCCGATGTCTTTCCCTCCACTCAGCTTACTCCCTCGATCACCATCCCAGACTTAACTGGGCTCATCACCCGATGCAGCCAAGACCCTCTCTCTGGCGGCACGTACGGAAATATTTACAAATGTATATATCATGGACCAGGTAGTGATGTAGAGGTTCGTGCGGATGTTACAGTTCTTCCACGTTTACGTTTACTGACGTATCACTTACTCGCAGGTCGCCGTCAAAGCAATTCGACCGCAATTCTTCACTGCTGAGGTAATTTTCTGTGGCATGGAACAGACAGTTTTGATCAGTCTTCTTAGGTATTTCGGAGAGAGCTCGGGATTTGGAAGAGGTTGCGACATCGTAATATTTTGAAGTTCATGGGTACTACTTCGGACTTTGGCCCTTCTGTGGCTCTGGTTGCTCCGTGGATAGTCAACGGCACTCTAACGTCGTTCCTCGATGAGAAAAACGAAATTCTCACGCTGCGTGATCGTCTTCTTCTGGTGAGACCTTTAAGGACTTTCTTGGTTTGCGCGTTCGAGCTCATCATTTTGTACCCAAGCTCTGCGACGTTGCCGCTGGCCTCAACTATCGTGAGTAAATGCAGGGACCCGCATGGCAAGAATTAATATATCGGACACTCAGTTCATACATTTAGCCTTACTATAGACGGACATACACATTCCAATCCAGTCGTCCACGGAGACCTCACTGGTGTAAGGCCCCCCCATCTCTTCTAATTCTTCATGCTAACGATCGACTGCAAGACCAATGTCCTCATCGGTAGCGATGGCACTGCATATCTTGCAGACTTTGGCCTTTCGGGAACCTTGACCAAATTGCCCGGGATGACGTACCTCGCGAAGATGAGCTGTCGTCCAGGAGCAGTGAGGTGGACAGCTCCTGAACTTTTTTCTGAGGAAGAATCAGACTCTGCGATCACCACTCAGAGTGATATTTACTCCTTTGGTGGGATTATACTTCAAGTAAGTCGTTCCCTCTTGCTAATGCAGTTTATTAACTGGTCTTGCAGGTCCTGACGGGAAAAGTGCCCTGGCCCCACTTGAACCGTGAAGCTGCAATCTTGAGGAAGGTAATCATTGAGGGGGAAATACATCCTCGTCCAGACGACGATCGTGTTACCGACCAGCAATGGAATTTCATGACCCGTTGCTGGTCTCAGACACCCACCAATCGACCCCCCGCCGAAGAAGCACTTCAATTTGTTGATTGCGAACTGAGCTTGCTGTGGTTGAGTGATGATGGTCTAGTTGCAGATACCCCTTCGTACAACGACCATCCGTCTTCATCCTCCCCCTACTTCAGTTGTTTTTCTTCACCCTCTTTTGGAATCAGCAAGGATCATGGTTGATCCTTTGTGGCAGGATACCTTGGTCCCTGGTACGCATGACGCTGATGCCGCTATAAAAGTTCGTTTTGCTGACGCTCTCACCACAGGTTTCCAGTGGATCGGTCAAATGCAGTTATACGCCCAAGATTACCAGATGTACGAGCCACAGCACTTGGGTTCGATGTCATGAGTTTTGCCTTCGCAGGCACCCGTTATACCGTATCAGCGCTATGTTGCTGTACTAGTACTGTTCTTTGTTTTTGCGCTTTGCCCGTGTATTATGCTGTTGACCTTGTGCAGCACGAGGTGCGGGAACTAAATGGGATGAATATTCGTTCTTGTTTCATGTACTAGGATCATGGTGCGAAATCAAGTAGAAAAGAAGCGCTCGATTGAATCCGAGTAGATTTTGAGTTGTGGATCTGCAAACTGCGCGGGCGCGGAATGTTTAAGACGCATATAGTACGCATACTTATGGACTGCAATTGCAATAAGGAGTGTATGTTGCACGTGACTCATTTCTTTCTTGAATTGCCTACTGACCGATTCCTCCTTTCCGCGTTCTCGTTTATCCTAGTCCAGGCTTCTTTGAATCTTGCGAACATATCTGAGCCAGAAAAAGGCTTTCTGAACTGCTTTCCATGTCAAATATCTCACAAATTCAACCCACAGTTCCTCCTCCTGTTCAAACAGCGTCATCTGAACCGGGGGAGAAGGATGCTGACGTGCGTTCATCTTTACTTGTGTCTTATTTCTCTAATTATTGATCATTTAGTTCATTGTGCTTCGACAACTGAATAAGCGAGCCCGTGTTCGCCTTTCAAAAGAACCCATAAACCTTTCACCCATCCCAGGCAGGGCCTCCTTATTCGCGGTTGCCAACTCTCGAGGATGGTTTGCAGCAGTCGCCCGGGATTCTGATTCCGGAACCAGTATGTATAGATTTCATACGCTCTGTAGATAGTTCTGAGTTGCGTCCTTGTAGCCCTCGTGCTGTCGCCACTCAGCGACCTTCGCTCTGCATTTACCACTGCTAGCGATACAGATGACCAAACGTATCAGCCTCAAAGGAAGGTTTATTTGGGTGCCGCCACTCCAAATATTATTGTATTTGCATGCAATGACTCCAGACTGGTTGTTGGATTTGCTGAGGGATCGATCATGGCTTACGCCACAGAACACCTATTCTCCCCTGGAGACACTTCCGTCACTCCCATTTACTCACTTCCTCCTGTGTCTTCATCTTCCATTGTTTCAATATCTCCAAATACAGGAGACCTTACCGAGCTTGTGGCTATCTTACGGGATTCCCAAGGTGGCTCAAATGCATTGGCAGTAGAGCTTCTCGACCTCCAGAAGCTTGTATCTGTAGGGGGTTGGGTAGCAGGTAGCTCACCCAATACTATTCCCGCATCAAGTGCGTATCTTCTTGTGATGTCATGATGATATTTTGACTGTTGCACAGTATCCTGGTCCCCCAAGGGCAAGCAACTTGCGCTGGGTATGAGAAGCGGTTCTATCGTCACATACGCCCCTACCTCTACCTCCGCTCCCAAGTCGAGCATTCCAACCCCACCATCAGCTTCTAATGCCTCCGTCATATCAACGACTTGGCTGTCCGCTTCGTCTTTCCACGCGATCTACGCGCAGCTGCCTCTTAACCCAGATGTCGAACAAACACACTTTCATGTCTCCCTTGACGCCAAATCCAATTCCGCACAAGACCTGAAATTCTCCTCTCCGTATTTCCCTTCGCCCGGGCTGCGTCCACCTGGTGCGTTCATTGTGTGTTTGCGTGGGTGGGATCCCGCGAAGATACTGTTGTTTGTGGGAGATAGTACTTCATCAGATATTGGGGCGCTTGGATGTGTAGGAGAGAACTGGTCGAATCTGTCACTTGAGGAAACGTCGACGCCCAGCCTCCCACTAGACAAGGACATGAACGACACTGTCCTCATTGGCCTAGAGCTTGATTTAACTAGCACCGAGCCGTTCCACCATACGAGCGCGTCCGGGGAGGGTGTCCAGTTGCCACCTTCACCTGTCATGTACGCATATGTATCGGATGGGACAATAGCAGGTTGGCATGTCCTCAACATCAAGGGAACACCTTACCCAGGCATGGTAACTCAGTCGTCGGGAACGACGATGAAGTGCTCCGACACTCTCAGCCGTTCCAACCGCAATCATGCGGGAGCCGTCGAACGACATGCATGCGTCTCCTATCGAACCCACTCCTCCATCCACGTCCGCACCTGCCAGCACGTCACCTTTCGGCCAGACAGCCCCTGATTTTGGTCAGGCGTCCGCGTTCGGGAAGCAGCCTTCGTTTGGACAGACATCTTTCGGTCAATCTCCCTTCGGCCAGATATCAACAACCAATGCATTTGGCCAGCGGACTACATCTGCGTTTGGACAAACGTCGCCAACGTCAGTATTTGCTCAGCCATCTTTCGGCCAACCGTCATTTGGCCAGTCATCATTCGGACAAGCTGCACCTGCGTTTGGATCTGCCGCTCCATCAACTTCACCGTTTGGCCAAGCTGCGAAGTCTGCTTTCGATACCACACCTAAATCAGGAGGGTTTGGGGCATTTAGTAATGTTGGGCCCTCAAAATTTGGACAAACAGAGTTTGGGTTTGGAGGAGCACAAACTACTGCGCCTCCGCAGAGTGCACCAGCACCGACTCCTGCAGAAGATAGCATGGCAGATGACACACCCGCCTTTGCTGGGATGCTCTCGCTCGGTGGTGGTGACCCTGCACCTCAGAGTGCTGATTCAAGGCCCTCTATATTCGGGAGCGCCGCAATGACTCAAACCTCTCCTGCAAGTGATTCGTCTGGAGGTGGACTCATCAAGCCTGGAACTGGCTTTGGAGCTTTTGGAAACAACGCGGGTCAGCAAAAGAGCCCATTCGGTGGATTTGGTGGCACATCGACTACATCAGCATTTGGAGGTGCGTCCCCAGCAACCTCATCGGCGTTTGGAAGTGCGGCCCCCGCAACCACTGCAGCATTTGGATCTACTTCTGGATTCGGCAATAACGGATTTGAAGCTACATCTAACTCTAGCTTTGGGAAGACTGGTTTTGGACAGTCTGGGTTCGGACAATCTAGCTTTGGAACGCCAGCTTTTGGCAAAGCGAGCTTTGGAGCAGCTGCCACTGCTGCACCCACAACAGCGCCTGCTTCCGGAGGCTTTGCCGCGTTTGCAGCAGATGCCCCAAGTGCATTCGGAGCTGCTGCTTCCAATGCAGGTGCTCAGAAGTCGGTATGGGCCAGTACACCAACCAATGCCACAAAACCCGATGCACCAAAACCTACCCTCACAATCAACACACCACGCGAAGTTTCTGTACCACGCGACGAAAGTCTATCTCCTTCCCCTGTCACACAGAGGGGTGAAGAAGCTGAGTCTGGATTCAAGAGCTCAGCGCCAGCTCCAACGACGGGCGCCTTCAGCGCTTTGAAGTCATCTTCATCCGCTTTCTCGTTGAAACCCTCCTCTGGATTCGGATTGGGAGAGCCAGTGAAAGATTCTCCGTTTTTCAAGCCGCCAGCGCAGCCACACGTCTCTGCATTTACTCTTGCAACGACTACGCCGTCGACACCGCTCAAGCCTACCACTGGGGCTCCTGCTTTCGGTCAGTCGTCGATGCCTGGCGCTATAACGAAGGGCCCCTTCGGGACTACCACCCCCGGTTCTCCAGCAGCTACCAGCACACATGCATTCGGTACAACATCCATGCCAGGAGGAGCGTTCAAGAGCCCATCTAGCCCACCCAAGTCAGTCTTCGCGGCACCTTCAACGGGTGGTTTCAGTGCTTTTGCATCAGATACAGGTGGAGGTTTCAGCGCGTTTTCGGGTGCACCAAAGTCGTTTGGCGAGCTGTTGAAGAGCACTAGTGACGATGCGAAGGAACCTGCGAAGGAACCTACGAAGACGGAATCTGTCAAGGTGTTCAACGCTGAGCCTGAGACGCCTGCCAAAGAGGTTACAAGTGTCAAGGCAGAGGAACCGCCTACGCCTACTACGCCCGTTGCAAAGGCGGGGACTGTAAAGGAAGAGGCGACTCCAACGAGAGCAACCACTCCGCCAACGCCCGCGGTCCAGGAGAAAGCGCAGGAGGCGAAAGGCAAGGGGACTTTGCCTCACGAACCTTCTTTGGAGTCCATCTCTTCTTCGACGGCGTCATCCTTCGTCGATATTTCTGCTGAAGATGCAGCTGAGGGTGCTGAGGATTCGACTGTTGAAGATTCGGATGAGGATGGAGAGCTTGAGGACGACACCGAGTCGTTTATTTCTGATGATGAATCGGAGGAGTCTGAGTTGCCGGATGAGCAGGACGAGCGGGAAGAGGAAGAGCTGGAAGAACGAGAGAAAGAACTGGAGAAGGAGCTGGAGAAAGAGTTGGAGAAAGAGTTAGAGCAAGAGCAAGAAGAGCAGGAGGAAGAGCCAGAAGAGCAGACTCAAGAGGGGAAGGCTGAGCCGACAACGGTTCCTCCTTCCATCCCATCATCTGCTGCCAGGTCTCGATCAACCACTCCAAAAGGGGATTTACCGACCATCACATTGTCAAGGTCGCCTTCCCCTCCGCCTCAAAGAATTTCTCCAGTTAGGGAGCACAGCACTACACCACCCTGGATCACCCATACCTGAGTCTCAACATGCTACATCTCCCGTGGCTTCGCCTCTTCCAAAGCCTCCCGCCTCCTCCCCATTCTCTATGACTCCCAGGACGGGTACCCGACCGGTCAAAAGCTCACCTCTTGCGAGTGCCCCCCTCACCGGAGATACGGAAGCTCCCACTTTTCTACCCCAAGTGTCAAAATCAGTGCCTCCAGCTATGGTGCCGCATCCTGCCTCACCGAGACCGCAATTCGGCGCATGGGTACCACCCATGAAGCAGGAGGTGGAGTCTGATTCGTCTTCTCGGCCTGGAATGCCTCCGGGTCTTTTTGGCAAGAGCGCGAGTGCACCAGAAATTACGACGTTGCCTATGCCGCCAGCGTTTACACTACCTCCAAAGCCGATCTTCGGTGCTCTGCCGCCTGCACCGATCTTCTGCGCTCTGCCGCCTGCACCGTCTAGCATCTTCGGTGCTTTACCACCTGTACCGTCTAGCATTTTCGGTGCTCCAGCTCCAACTCGGACTCCAACGCCGCCAGTCTTTACGCCCCCTCCTGCGGGCCTCTTTGGTTTTACGAAGCCGAGCGAGAGTCCCAGTGCGACTCCGGCGTCTCCCAGCACCTTCGGCATGCCAGTCAAAACTCCGGAAGCGTCTCCTGCTCTTACTCCTCCACCTTCTAGCGTTTTCGGTGGCTTCAAGCCACCTGGTGCTGTACCCGCTACTCCCATGTCTCTGTCTCCAGGCCCGTTGCTACCTGCAGTTCCCCCTCCTTCCATATCCCCACCAACTCCGCCTATCGAGCAAGGGATGCAGTCAGAGTGCTCGTTTATGGTCTCACGTCTAACTTGGGAACTCGACAATGTAAGTTCGCGATACGAAAATTGGAACTGAAGGCTTAACCTGTGGTCAGTTAAAAACCATGGCCGCGCGTGCAACGCAGCAGGCCGCGGAACTCAAGTCAAAGAAAGCACCAGGACAATCACACGTGAAAGCAGACCTTAGAGATGCAACAAAATGGGCGCCCGGCGACATCCAGGAGTATGGTCGTGTAATGACTGGAGTCCAGAGCGACATCACAGAAATAAAGGAGCAACGGAAGCTTCTTAAACAGTCACTGAAGGAGCTTGAGAGCTGTATGTTAAAAGGTTGGTTGTTCATGCTGAGATTACGAACACCAGAGTCTGATTCGTGGGATATAGCCGGAACGAGAAAGGAGGAGATTATTCGATTTAGCCGAGCGCAGACGGACAGTGAATTTGCGAAGATGCTCAAGATCAGAACGCTTGGACCAGAATATCTGGAGACTCAGTCGCAACTGCGGAGGGATATACGGGTACAGTTCTCTCTCGGTGATTGACTGGACAATATACTGATTTCGTGGACAGGCAATGAGAGACCGTGTGCAAAAGCTCGAGGACCACCTGCAATCCTCTAAGAAGAGGATCGCTGAGTTAAAGCAAGGCAAACCCAGTCTAAAGTTCGTTGTCCATTTTTGCGCACCCGCCGACGTCTCATACCTTGCTTACAGGGCACCATCTTTGGACACCGTGAACCGTACCTTCCGCAACATTGACATCAAAATCACGCAACAAAGCGGGGATGTCGCCAAGCTCCAGCAGCGAATGAATAAGCTGGACTTGTCCTCTGACGTCCTTAGTTCACGAGACAAACGACTCTCAGAATCAGGCGCTAAGAAACCATCGAGCATGATTCCCCATGTAGCAGTTACCACGGCTGCTGCATTGAATGCGGAACGCTCTGCGCAGAAGTTGAAACGGGCTCTGCTGGCGGCGAGGAAAGAACCCTTGCTTAACAACAAAACAGTCTCCAATCCTACGCCTACATCATTCCTAACGCCAAGCAGGGCAGGAGTTACACGAGCGCCTGAGACATCTACTCCTGCTGGGCTTATTTCACTTCCTACGGGCGCCTTGCCTGCGTTCAAAACGCCTACGTTCACGCCCGGGTGGTCGCCAGAAACGTCCATCAGTTACGATGATTCTGCGTCATACACAGCGTCCTCTTCGCGTCGCACACACCGAACACCAAGACATGGATCTTCAGCTAAATCGGCGACCATGCTGAAGTTGGAGAGTCTCGAGGCTTCTCCAACGCCCGCACCAAAGGCACCCGCTGCCGCATTTGACTGGGGACCGTTGCCGACTGCCACACCAAAAACAACACTGCCTGCTGATGTTCGGGGTTTCGGTTTCAGGTCGTAAAATCAAGACTGATATGGTTTGATGATCGAATAGTTATGTACTGGGTGTCTCGATTATGTGTTTGATCCTTGATGAAATAGATACTTTTGCTCATGCCGTTTGTTTTAAATATCAACGTTCAGAACTGGTAGCCGATCATCGTTCCCCTTCCCCTTCGCTTTCGACATCCTCGCCAGCGCCGTTGACGTCATTCTTGTCTGGATGGTATGGATCATCGATGATCGACTCCAGATGCTCGAGAGCCGCCTGCGTGAAGTGTCTAGTACGGTGCATAACGACTGTTGTTGACGAAATCACTGCGCACCCGGCCAACCTCACTGAGTTCCTCGCCCTCTTCGCCCGTAAATGTCTCGAAGGCACTTTCATCAACAAACGTTTCTTCCAAGTCATCGTCATCTGACATATTTGGATCTGGGTGGAGAGAGGCGCAGACAGACATTGCCTCAAATATCGACTCCACTGATCGGATGACTACTGTCAGCTTGTGTGGTGTGTTTTGACCTTAGATCACTTACGAGAAGCAGGGTTGGATGGGATAATGCTCAACTCTCGCATGTTGGCGGCATCATCATTTTCAGGTGACTCAGCTGCTGCGAGTTCTCCGACGAGCTCGTCTAGCTGACAATATATTGACGGTCCAGATTCTGGACGCGCAATGGCGTGCAAGGTGATGGCAGGGTATGGGACCTGAAATCCAACCCCGGTGGAAGACATGAAGACAAGGGCACTGCGAGGGGCAAAACGTCAGATCGGTGAGATAACTGGCGATTCACCGATCTAAATACCTCTCGATCACGAACAATGTTCCATTCGCGCAATCTTGTTCGGTGAATGTATGGAGGGGGGGATCAAGCGTAACGCGTACGTTATCCTCTTTGTGGCGCAGAACAGGAGGGATGTCATTGAACGATGCAGGAGTCGATCCCACTATATTTCTGTGCTCCTCAACAGAGACATATTGTGGAACGGATGAGATCAACGCCGTGGAGACCATCGTATGTAGTAAATTCGATTTCACTTTGATGGAAATGCTTGTAAGTAAATGAAATCGGAGATTGCCGCTTATAAGCCCACAAGTCTGTATGCGTTGTGGGTTGAAGAGAAAGGACAACATCACAACTAGTAAGTAGTAGATTAGTACCAGTGTCGGTCTGACGGGGAATCCTGTCATCGTGCACCAAAAATATATAAGCACTGTACATGTTATAGTATTATATAGATAGTATAGCAAATGATTCACCGGCACTATCGTGTATGCAATAGTAAATCACATCATTCGCTCAATTACAGCAAGCTCAGCTGGCTGACAACAAATTGAAGTGCTTCTTTGGCAGAAGGCCGATCGTTGGGTGTCCTCGACCAACAAGAGACCATAAAATTCCAGTGCTGGTCACTGATACGTTCGTCGTCTGGACGAGGATGTATTGTACCCTCATACACTCTAACCGCGATTGTGCCCTCCTTAGTCAAGTGACGCCAAGGCACGTTTCCCGTCAAAACCTGCAGGTTCATTGGGTTAGAAAGCTGCATTAGTAAGAAGACACGACTTACTTGAAGCATGATGCTACCAAGGGAGTAAATGTCACTCTGAGTGGTGACTGCAGAGGCTGATTCATCCTCAGAAAGAAGTTCAGGAGCTGTCCACCTCACTGCTCCTGGACAATGGCTCATCTTCGCGAGGTACGTCATGCCGGTCGACGCATGCAAAGTTCCGGAAAGGCCAAAATCCGCAAGATATGCTTTTTTATCGCCACTGATGAGGACATTGTTCTTGCAGTTGATCATTAGTATGAGGGATGGAACAAATGAGGAATCTTACACCAGTGAGGTCCCCGTGGACAACTGGATTCAAGGTTGTGTGTCCGTCTTCAGTGAAGCTGAACGTATGAACTAGAGGTAATCATATATATATATTTCTATGCACATGCGCGCCTTCACTCACGGTAGTTAAGGCCGGCGGCAGTGTCACGGAGCTTGAACACGAAACAGTGAGCTCGAAGGCGCAAATAGGGAACGCACTTAAAGTGCTCACCAGAAACAGACGTTCAAGCAGTGTAAGGGTCTCGTTGTTGTGGTTAAGAAACGATGTCAGAGTGCCGTTGACTATCCACGGAGCAACCAATGCCGCAGACGGACCAAAGTCCGAAGTAGTACCCATTAACTTCAAGATATTACAATGTCGTAACCTTTTCCAAATCCCAAGCTCTCTCTGAAGAGCCTAAAAAAAGCTGACTCAGATCTCACCGTTCCATGCCATAGAACATTACCTTGGCACTGAAGAATTGTGACCGAATTGCTTTGACGGCAACCTGCGAGTGAGTTACACGTCATTAAACGTGGAAGAACTGTAACATCCACACGAACCTCTACATCGCCGTCTGGTCCGTGGTATATACAATTGTAAATATTTCCGTATGCCCCGCCGGAAACGGGGTCTTTGTTGCATCGGGTAATGAGCCCAGTTAAATCTGGAATGAGAATTTTGGGGCGGATTTTTGACAGAGCAACGGAAGGTGTGAGAGACTGGTTGGTTTGACGGGGCGTAAGCTGAGCGGAGGGAGGGATATTGGGAGCGGTAATCGAGGACGGTCGATGACCAGTAAGTCCATCACCCATTTGTTGCGATGCGACGGCGGTAGTGATCATCGGATGCCTTTGTTCGAAGACCTTGATAGACTTTCGTAGTTGTATAGACATGTTCTTTAGAGTGTGAAGACCGATTATGAACCGGGGTGACCCCCTTGAACAACGCTCCCATTGACGTTCCACCATCAACACCTAGAAAGACGACATGCTCAACGCGACAAAATTTAGACACGTAGAGGGAGCTTACAATTGCAACGAGCTCGCGAATTACATCGTCCGATTTCAAAGTAATCCAGTACAATGGCAGTTTCTCATCAAGACGCCGGGTTATCTTGTGAACCTGCTGTAGCAGTTCGTCATATTCCATTTGCTGGTCATCTGCCACCACTTGCTGCTGCAGTTCGACTAGTCCTGCACCGAATTAGAATATGCGGCGATGATGTGAACAGGACGAACCATATGATGAGAAAACTTGTTTCATTTTCTGAATCGCGACCCTTGCTTGTGAGAATTGCTCCTCAGTCGGTGGAAGGATGGGACCTGACTGGATGACGGGCTTCATCTTAGCCTATCTGTGGGGGTCGCATCCCGTCGGGCATCATGGATGCCTGTGCCTGCGGTGCGGGAGCTATGCTGGGACCAGCCGTCGGCACTTGGTTTGGGAAGGCTCCTTGAGGTGTGCTAGGCATTCCCGACTGCTCATCCGAGACCCAAGGAGTAATTTGCGGTACCGCCGTCGAAGGACCGCTACCTCCGGGGTTCATTCCATTTGGAGCAGGACTGGTTGACGGCTGGGGTTGCTGGAATGCTCCGGCGCCTTGTATAACACCTAGTTGACCAGCAGTGGCTATTGTATTACTAGAATCCGTGTAAATCGGAAGCTTCAACGAAGGGCCAACATGACTCACATATCCACTAGATTTCTCCCAGGCACGCCATTGGTATTTGAAGTCACTCGCTCTATGGTCTGTCTAACTTTAGCGAGGTGAGCCTTGTGGCCGGACAGTTCGGTGCGCATCTTGTTCAATTGCTTGGAACATTCTTCATCTGGGCAGCCTCCCGTTTCCGCGAGTATAGTTTCAATACCTTGGTCAATGCCATTTATCGCAGATTTCAACTTCTGCTTATTCCGCATCAGTTCTGCGAGGGTAAGGTTCCCAAGTATGATGTATGGAGCGCCTATCTGAAGTCGACGATGTTGCGCTGCTGGACGGGGGGGACCGTGAAGGTGCGGTGCATTAACATCGGTCGTCCTTGAAGAAGAAAAGGTGTCCGGAGGTGTCGCCTGACTAGAGCTCGATTGCACATCCATCTCAAGCTGCGAAGGCAGTTTAATCTGAGACAGGTGCTCGTTTACCGATTGGAAGCGCAATACATAAGGGCAGCTGGCAGATACAGGATTACATAAGGAAAAATGAAGCTGTGCCACTGAGGCCGTCTTTGGGTGTTACCGTGACGGGGACTAAAACGAAGTGTTGAGATGTCGGGTGAGGAAATCTGAAAATGTCCCGCTGAATATGATCTGACCTTGCAGTAGCACAAACACCTCTTCGAATATCGTCGAAAGAGAACCTGTACACAGTCTGTCTTTGCAAAGGCATCGAGTGCGAGAGCGAGAGATGGCTTGACAGTCTTGACTTAGGAGACCTGGAGCTCAGAGGTTGGTCTAGTTTCCCTTGGCAACCTTCAAGGGGAGAATACCAGTTTTTGGAGTTTCACTCCCGCTAATAACCGTGACAACTTACGGGCCAACGTATTGAAGTATTCGGATCCTGAGAAGGGGAATAAATAGTTTTCGGGGGAACCCAGGCCAAGGCTGCAACGTCTGGACTGAAAGCTGCCATCAGAGAACCAGTGAGCCGCAGATATAGTCTTATAAGACCCTTATAACAATATATGACTATGTAAAAGTACCGGAATCAGCATAATCGCCAGCAAGAACTCACTGGCCCACTGATGGCAGCGTGCACGTCCGCGAGAGGATGCAAGCTTGGGTTGGGCTGCCCCGATCTCATGCACCACTTCATAACGCATGAAGCATCCAGGCTCGAGAGCATCAAAGGGCGGAGATGAAGCTTGAATCAATGACGGTACAGGTGGACCGGAGACGGGCTCAGACACCAGGGGCTCTCCCCCCGCAGGACAGCAAGGCCAACCTCGACAGGCAGCAGATGGATGGGATCTAAGGACTGCTATACCGTGAACATGCGTGCCTACACTATGCGAACCAGGACTCCAGCCACTGCACCAGGACCTCCGGCACTACCACCGAAGACCTCCCCAAAGGTCAGGACAGACATTAAGTGTTGCCATGTACGTTTGTTGATCCAAGACCAGTCATCGCTTCGCCTCATCTCTAGATCACCACTTTCAATACAATACCCCAACAATACCCCTCTTCCTGGGTGTCCGTGTTCAACGTCCAACTTGGTATCAATCCCGAGCTCAACACACAATCCGCGCAAGTGATCCAGGACCCAGGCGGCGCAGCGATCCAGGGATTCTTTCAAACGTGTTCAGGTTTTATCTTGCAAGGGATTGGTGAGTTCGTGGTCAGCGTTACTGGTGTGGCTGGGGAGGTGTGTTTCGGAACCTATTTTCTTTCATTCTAATCTCCATTCTTGGACCGGGCTAAAAACCGATCTCGGACTATAGTCTGGTCCATCATTCAAACGGAAAACGGCAAGAGGCCACATGAATACAACAGAAACAGGAAGACAGGGGCAGGCTACAATGGGGCTCACGATATCACACAGCCCACGAGCACTCGAGTACAACCGTGCATGAGGTAACTCCTCGCACAGGATCTTGATACCATCGCCCCCTCGTCCACCACTACAATGATGGTTTCTCAGCGACTGTCACCCTTATCGATTCGGGATGAGAGATCCTCAGTTGAGCTTGTTCGCTACAGGCAAAATGGATTGTGAATGTATGATATGTGCATACCATCCTCATTCTAATTAGTTCTAATACACACATCATCTTGTGCGTCGGTGGAAAGTCAGACGACACATCATAAACTATACAAAGCTCAGTGCCAGCTCCGAGTGGCGAAGAGACTCATGTCATCGAACGAAACGGTATGTATTGAGTGATCGTGGGCCACAGAAGGAGTGTATCAGTGCATTTGATTCATCCACTGGCAGCCTGTGGTGAGTGGTCAGCGAAATGAACTCTAGTACATCAGCACGACGCGTACCAGGGACCAAAGGATCCTCCCGCAAAGAATTGATTCCAGATGGCCCCGCAATCGAAACTGCGGCGTGCTCTTGCGGCGGGGCTCCCAGAAAGTGTTCCGTTCGGGCGTGTGGGTATGAAAGAGAAGAGGAACTGGTGCGGGAAGATCGTGGAGACCGATGATCGTCGAACGTAAAAGTATCTGTGACTAAACCACCCTTCGACCGCAGCTCGTGACCAAGAAATTGAAGTGCTGCTTTGGCAGGAGGTCGATCAATGGGTATGATAGACCAGCAACGGGTCATAAAATTCCAGTGCTGGTCGGTGATACAACTGTCATTTGGACGAGGATGTATTTCCCCCTCAAATATCACTTTACGCAAGATTGCGGCTTCACGGGTCAAGTGAGGCCAAGGCACATTCCCCGTCAAAACCTGCAGGACGAGTTAGCAAGCTGCATTAGCAAGACGGAATGGCAACTGACTTGGAGCATGATGTTACCAAACGAGTAAATGTCACTTTGAGTGGTGACTGCACAGGATTCCTCTCCAGTAAGAAGTTCAGGAGCTGCCCATCTCATTGCTCCTGGATGACAACTCATCTTCGCGAGGTATGTCATGCCGGTCGACTGTTTTAAAGTTCCCGAAAGGCCAAAATCTGCAAGATATGCCTTTCTATCTCTATCGATCAGGACATTGGTCTTGCAGTTGATCATTAGTATATGAGGGATGCAAGAAATACGAGATCTCTTACACCAGTGAGGTCTCCGTGGACGACGGGGTTCAAGTCCGTACGTCCCCCTTCAGCCAAGCTAAACGTATGAACTGGAATAGACAATTATTCATTTTCCTATGTAATGCGGGTGTTCACCCACGGTAGTTGAGGCCGGCGGCGATGTCATGGAGCTTGTCCACGAAACGATCAGCTCGAGTCTGCGCAAATGAGAAAGTTCTCACCAGACGCAGACGATCGATCAGCGCGAGGGTTTTGTTGTTCTGCTTGAGAAATGACGTCAGAGTACCATTGGCTATCCACGGAGCAACCAAAGCCACAGAGGGGCCAAAGTCCGAAGTAGTGCCCATGAACTTCAAAATACTATAATGTCGCAACCTCTTCCAAATCCCAAGCTCTCTCCGAAAAACCTAAGAATTTTTAACGAGATCGGTGCGCACCCTACTATAGGACATACCTCATCACTGATAAATTGTGGTCGAATTGCTTTGACGGCAACCTGCGAGTGAGTGAAACGTCAGTAGACATGGAAGAACTGTTACATCAACACGAACATCTACATCGCCGTCTGGTCCATGGTATATGCATTTGTAAATGTTTCCGTATGTGCCGCCGGAGACGGGGTCTTGGCTGCAGCGAGTAATGAGCCCAGTTAAATCTGGGATGCGGATTGGGGGGATAGGCTGAGTGGGGGGAGCAATATTGGGAACGGTGAATGAGAAGGATTGATGCGGGAGATCACCAGTAATTCCACCGCCCATTTGTTGCGATGCGATGGTGGCTTCCATCATCTGGTACCTTTGTTCGAAATCCTGGGTAGCCTTTTGTAGTTGGCTAAGCATGCCCTGTAGAATAGAAAACCCAATTATGACCTGGGATGACCCCGTTGAACAACTAGCCCTTTGATGTGCCACAGTTAACACCTGGAAAGAAAACATACTTAACACGATAAAATGCACACAAACACGAACGTTACTCGCGATTGCAACAAGCCTGCGGATCATATCGTCCGATCTCAAAAGAATCCAATACACTGGTAGCTTGGCATCAAGGTCCTGAGCCATATTGTGAACAAGATCCAGTAGCTGGTCGTACTCCATTCTCTGCTTGTCTGACAATACGATCGGTTGCATTGCCGTGAGTCCTGCTTAGAAGATAGGGATGTGCGGCGAGAATATTATATCAACGGGATAACCCACTTGATGAGAAAACTTGTTTCATATTCTGGACCGTGTCCACAGCATGTGAGAGCGTCTGAGGTGGCAGTAGAATGGATCCTGACTTCATGATGGATATCATCTCCGTGACATGCGGGGGTTGCGTGCTGTTCGGTATCATGGGTGGCTGTGGTGTGGGAACCATACTGGAACCAGTGGCTGGCCAGTTAACTCGAGTATTCGTTGCAAAATTTAGACTAGGACCATTTGAAGCTGACTGCGGCCAGGGTTGCTGGAATGCTCCGCCGTCCTGCGCAACACCTGGTTGGCCAGCAGCAGTGGTTGTATCACTAAAATGCTTGTAAATATGAAGCGTCAAGGATACACCAACATAAACTCACAGATGCGCTAGTGCTCCATTGGTGTTCAAGGACAGAATAGCCTGGTTCAATCTAAAGAAGAGAGTCTTGCGACCGTGTAGCTCCAAATGCATCTTTTCCAACTCTACTGCCGATGCGTGGTCTGGGAAGCCTCGTGTGTACGTGAGCATGGTTCGGATACTGTGCTCCATGTTATTTATGACAGATTGCAAATGCTCCCTCCTCTGGATCAGTGCTGGTAGAGTAGGCATCATCTGGACGGATGGTTCCATCCCAGGTACTGTGTGTGGATGTCGACAATATTGCGCCGCACGACAGGGACAACTGTGACAATGTCGTGCGTCAAGGGGTTGTACTGGGAGAAGAAACTCTGTCTGGAGGGTTGAAGCCTAGCTGCAGCCTGGTTGCGTGTCCACCTCCTGCTGCATGCTTTTTATCGACCGGAAGCGCGGTGCATGTGACCCTGAGCCCCCGAGGTTCGCGGCTGGCCATTCGGCATAAGGAGGAACCTGTGCTAAGGGGATCAATAAGTTAGCAATGCAGCAGTTATGCCGTGGGACAAAGCTTTGCGGTGCTGCAGAACGAAGCGCTGAAACCCTTCATTATCGTCCCTGGCGTCAATATTTAACACTCCCATGCGTTCTGGCGCGCCATAATATTAGTATGGCGAGAAGTTAAAACACACGCGTTCTGCAGGAAAAACAATACGCATGCAATGACCCACCTCAACCGCTAGTCTCCCTTAGCCAGACCAATCGAAGGAAGACAATCATTCCTTCTACTCAACTGCCACGATACAGAACCAAGACGCAGCGAGGCGGGAATCCTCTCAAATGTGTTCAGTTTCGCCTTGTGAGAGATTGATGAGTTTGTTATCGATGCTACCAGTGGGCTGAGGTGTGTTCCATTTTCTCTGATTTTACCTACCCATTCTTGAACCGAACTAAAAATAAATTATGGACATGGTCTGGTCCATCTAAATTAAAGAGAAAGAGGGAAGAACGAGGCAGACAACGAAGGGGCTATGATATAATTGAACAGAAAAAAGAAGTCAGCGCCACCGTCGACGGTGGTGATATATTCTGCACTGGCAGAAGGTGATAAGGGTGAAGTGAAGGAGGTTAAGTACTGATTATCGATCGTGGCCATAGCAGGAGAAAGAACTAGAAGAGGGATGGAAGGAGACGTGCTTCTTTAGGGTCACCGTCTCGCTTGGGCTAGGTGAACCAGTTCAGAGGAAGAAAGCCAAGCTAGTCGAAGGCAAAGTCAACTGATGACTATAGGCGGAAGAAGTACCAGGATCGAGTCTGATGGTGGTGAGTCTTGCATCCGACCTCTCGTGCCAATTTTACCCAACGCGCACCACAACTTCAATACACCCAGTCACCAATATTTGCTGATACGCATCTACAGAATCAACACCTAGTGTAACCGCCCGCTCCCCATCTGACGCAATAATCATTCGCGCCTTTTGGTTTCATAGTGACGGTTGAAATGTTTGAGGTCGAAGATGAAGGTGACTCTGATTTGAAGGAGGAAAGGACGAACAATAATTCTGATACTACATACAGCTAGATCTGATATGAAAAACGACTGAGTCTTATGCAAAATGTTCGGGATTCACTGTTACTTTGAGGGAAGGCATAAGGGCGATGTATTCCGCTCGCTGCACATCTGTTGTCATACTCCCCTTCTCCTTCTAGCAGGTTCTAAGGGAAACATCACCTGTGTTAATTCGGGTGCGTTTCTGTTTGTCGAATGTCACTGTTTCGCGGAAACGGACTACAGGTCGTCGCAGGATGTGCCGGACACTCCGTGCTCCTTCGTGAAGGGGAAACTGCTATCGGAGTTGTGTCTGCGTATCGCACGCGATGACGATTCGACCAGACCCATGCGTACATCTTGATATTACTTTGGCACGGTCCCCAAGTTGCGGCACACCACCAGTAAGCATCCGGGCCGGCTGGCAGGACAGATTTGGGAGGCACGCACGCAAACGACGCGTAAAGAACGCCACCCAATTGAACATAGAAACTCACTCCACCAAATCTCAGATTACCTTTGACTAGTGATCAACCCTGAGTCTGACAATGACCTACCTTCTATCCCTCATGTAGTAAGCCGGTAAAATTCCGATAGTGCGCAATATTTAATTGGATGCTCAGCTCAAATTCGAGCAACAACAAACACACGAGCTCGAGTATTCACTCAGAAGTGTGCCTTTTGCGTAGTTCTTTGTGTGTTGCACGAATGTTGCACGAAGATATTATATCTGACCGAGGCGAGTGCGATGTCCGTGTCGTTCCGTGAGCATCAGTTACATGATGAATGGTCCGAATACCATAATTCCTCTCTAACGCTCACATTGCGGAGGAGAATGCGACGCATTAACCTACCAAAACTGCCACGATCCAGGACGCAGACGCAGCGAGCAGGAGTGCACGACCGGTATGATTAGGGGACCTCAGCGCTCAAGGCGCCCATCAACAGATCAGGCTACATGTAAGTAAGTAATACATATCATTACACATTTGTCCTGTGGCCGCTACGGTGACGGGCATATAAAATAATAAATTATATCAGACTCAATCGTACCTAGCGAGCTCGCTTTCAACAAATTGAAGGGCTTCCCGGGCAGAAGGCCGGTCGGTGGGTGTCTTACACCAGCAACGGGTCATAAAATCCCATTGCTCGTCGGTGACACGATCTGGACGAGGATGTGTTTGCCCCTCAAAAATCAATTTACCCATGATTGCAGCTTCACAGTTCAAGTGGGGCCAAGGGACGTTTCCAGTCAGGACCTACAGGACAAGTTAGTAGGCTGCATTAGCAAGAGGGAATAACTTACTTGGAGCGTGATGCTACCGAAGGAGTAAATATCGCTCTGAGTGGTGATTGCAGTGCCTGATTCTTCCAGGGAAAGAAGTTCAGGAGCTGCCCATCTTAGTGCTCCTGGATGACGACTCATTTTCATCAGGTACGTCATGCCGGGCAATTTGGTTAAAGTTCCCGAAAGGCCAAAATCAGCAAGATATGCAGTTCGATCGCTACCGATCAGGACATTGTTCTGGAAGTCGATCATTAGTATCAGGGATTGGATTAAATGAGGATCCTTACACCAGTGAGATCTCCGTGGACAACTGGATTGGAGTATGTATATCCGTCTACAGTGAAACTAAACGTATGAACTGAGGGAGTCATTAACTCTCGCTATGTGGATGCCGGTATTCACTCACGATAGTCGAGGCCAGCGGCTACGCCATGGAGCTTGGGTACAGAACGATGAGCTTAACGGCGCAAACCGAGAAAAGCCCTTGAAGTTCTCACCAGAAGCAGACGATCACGCAGTGTGAGCGTCTTGTTGTCGTTGAGGAACGACGTCAGAGTGTCATTGACTATCCACGGAGCAACCAAAGCCACAGAGGGGCCGAACTCCCCAGTAGTACCCATGAACTTCAAGATATTAGAGTGTTGCAACCTCTTCCAAATCCCGAGTTCTCTCCGTAATACGAATACCACCATCTCAGTATTGAAAATTTGCGGTCGCATTGCTTTGACGGCGACCTGCAGGTAAGTGATACGTCAGTACACGTGGGGGAACTGTAACATGCACACAAACCTGTATGTCGCCGTCCGGCCCGTGGTACATACATTTGTAAATATTTCCGTATGTACCGCCAGAAACGGGATCTTGGTCGCATCGGGTGATGAGCCCAGTCAAGTCTGGGATGATAATTGGAGGGATATGTTGAGTAGAGGGAATGTCATTGGGAGCGGTAGGTGGGGGGGATTGTCTATTTATGACAGGTCCAGCAAGTCCACCTCCCATTTGTTGCGGTGCAACGGCGGCTTCCATCGTCTGATGCCTAAAACGTTCGATAGCACTTCGTAGTAAGCTATGCATGCTCTTTAGAGCGGAGGGATCAATTATGACCAGGTTCGACCTTGTCGAATAACTGGCCCTTTGATGTGCCACCAACGAGACCTGGAAAGAAGACAAGCTTAACACGACAAAATGCACGCACGCATAAAGGACACTCACGATTGCGACAAGATTGCGGATCATATTATCCGATCTCAAAACAATCCAGTACATTGGTAGCTTGACATCAAGGTCCTCGGTCATCTTGTGAAGCTGCTCCAGTAGCTTGTCGTACTCCATTCGCTCGTCGGCTGACAATGCGTGGGGTGGCATCGTCGGCGGTTCTGCGCAAAGGATAAGAATCTGCGGCGACAATATATGACGGGATGACCTACTTGCTGAGTAAATTCGTTTCAGATTCTGGATCAGGTCTACTGCGTGTGCGAGCTGCTCCTCAGTTGGCGGTAGAGTGGGTCCTGACTGGATGGTGGGCTTCTTGGGCATACCCAGTCGCTCATCCGGGACCACAGGATCTGCGCTTCGCCGACCTGCCGTCGAATGAGCGTCGACTCCTGGATTCGTCCCAATACTTGTAGTGGATCGGGCTGACTGCGGCTCAAGTTGCTGGGGTGGTCTAAGTCCATTCTGGGGCAAACGTTCCCTCCCAGGTATCACATATGGACGATGACGATGTTGCGCTGCCAGACGGGGAGAACGATGCAATGCACCAGCATTGGTCATAGTGGAAGGGCGAGATGTGGCCAGAGGCATAGCCTGATTACCGTTGAATGCGCGCTATGAGGTGCTAGGGAAGTCGTTGCCTGAGACTGGTTCTGATATTATCGACTCGAGCTGGAAAATTATCGGAACTGCGGGCAGCTGGGGACAAAATGGTAAAGGAGACTGAGCGCCGCAGTGTATGTTATATACATTCCCGATCTAAAAATCCGAGGCGACATGAGGACAACATGAGATCAAGCAGTACAGCACAGCCACCTTTGAGAAGTAACACTGGTCGAACTTTCCAGAGACATTTTGGTTCAAAATATCGGAGTACTAGTGTCGCCTCGACGTACTTCGAAGCATGATCAAGGTCACAGAAACACTTTCTAAAAGTTTCTAAACCGCAGACCGGAGATGTTGTGAGCTGGCGGGTAAACCTAGGTACAACACAGTCGCGGAGTTTAAAATATTTACATGTTTGAACGCGATGTGAATCTTGGGGTCTACCCAAGCCTACTCCCCTATCAGATATTATTCTAGAACTGAATTTTTTTGACGGCGGCACGACTTTAGAACCATTCACTACAGCATGACTTGGCAAGTTGTTGGACCGTTTTTATTCCACTCCGGAACCTAACCGTCATGATCATATCTCCGCAGTGCCCACATCCTCTGTATCACTCTTCCCTCCTGCACAGTCCTGCACTCATAACATACGCCCTCGTCGACACCTCCGCTCTTAATTCACCATCGTTCCTTACGTACGTACTGCCTCACACTGCCGCTGATCTGCCGCTGCCAGTGATCCTGCAGACCACCTGCACGTACAACTGTACGCGAGATCCACTGGACATGTCACACGGCGCATGTTTGTCCATGACGACTCGAGCCCATGCGCACATTTCTATACTACCTTGGCACAGTTCCCAATTTACCGAAATCATCTTCCTTACCCCTGAACTCACCACCAAACTTATGGCAAACCAGTATTCGACTGGCAGGACAGATCTGGGAAGCACGCGACTACCGGCGAGTAGTTAACCCGCAGGATGCACGGAAACGGTGCACATTCGATCGTCCCAGCCATCTCTTACACTCTAAACCACGGGAATGAACCTGTCGAATGTTTGGTCGATAAGGTTACTCTGTCCAAGGAGCTGGCGAGGGCGAGTCTGACTTACATTTGTAACGTAGTCAGCGAATTAAAATCATCCACCGTCCATCCTGTTGGATGTTCAACATCGACCTCGTATTCCTTTTTCTTGATCGCCATCACGGACTCTATAGCGTAGCTTATAATTTAGTTGTATCGCATTGTTTGTACCTCAGCAGTTCTTTCACCAACACTGAGGTACAGTTCACGTTCATTCTGCACGCCGTCTCTCACTTACATTGTTTCGTCTCTAGACCTGTCTCTTAGGTACTATTAATGTCATAGCAGTTCTTTCACCAATGCTGAGACCTGTCTCTTAGTTTCTACTTTCTACAGGTTATGAGCCCTGGCTCAAGCTGAGCCAGAAACCAAAACTTCGAACAGAAATCACTCAGTTAGTGCCCGCCGCTCACTTATCTCATTTCCCTCCACGACGGCATCGTCATGGGGAAACATGATCACATCCCCGAGCTGCTTGGAACGGAGAATTATACTGGTTGGGCTACCAAGATGCAGTACGCTCTTGCATGCGAAGACTACTGGTGCCACATCAACACGAAATCCAAACCAGGGGATCTCCTTGGTCTTCCCTCATACATACCTTTACCAGTTGATAAAGCTAAACCCACGGACACTGAAACAGCGCTGATGCGTGAATGGTTGCTCAAAGACATGAAGGCCAAGGAACTCATTACTCGATGACTGAGCTCGTCCGTCACATCACTCATTCCTCGTTCTCACACCATCTCCGCATGTAAAGCTTGGCAGGTCCTACAAGATCATTTCAACTGGACCGACATGAGCGCACAGTATCTTCTAAGACAGCAGGTACAAGCGTTGCGCATGAAGGACTCCGCTGACGCCACCAATTATGTCACGCAACATGCGGTTTTCCGCGAGCGCTTAATGGATGCTGGTGCACCTTGGGGTGAAACTGACGCCATTTACCATATGTTAATGGGGCTCCCTCAAACCCCAATCTGGCAGCAGTTCAAATCTCTTCTCGAACAGCGTATGCATGACGAGTCGACGACCGCCACGTCAGCATCTGTACCTACTTTTACCTTCGAGAGTTGCGTGTCTCACGTCACATCTGAGGCTGCACGCCATGTCGTGACCCAGCATGCGCATTCCTCGCATCCAGGTTCAGAGTATGCCAATGCCGCCACCACTCCCAACGCAAGTGGCACCAATCCCATCACCGGTCTGCGCATGCACAAGCACAACCCCCAAGGGGTGTTCTGCACCACGCCTGGCTGCAGCAAGGGCGATCATGACCATGCTCACTGCTATGGAAAGGGTGGTGGAATGGAAGGTCAGGCTCCTTGGATGCAGAATAAGAAGAAGGACAAGGAGTCCGCAGTTGCTGCAGCTGCTACCACAGCACCCGTTCCAGCTCCTCCTCCTGCTCTTACTCCTACACTTCCTATCGCAGCGGCTGTCACTGGACTCAGCAGTCTTATGGACGACATGTCTTTTGCATCAATTACAGAGCTCCCAGACAATGTATCTTGCACCGTCGACCTCCCGTTCTCCACCATTTTGGACTCTGGCACTACCATTACCCTAGTCAAAGACAAGCATTTTTTTCACACTTATTCTGATGCAGACCCCATTCCAGTGCGCACCGCTAATCACGGTATCTTGCAAACCACCGGCCGCGGCTCCTGCGTTGCATGGCTCACCATCGGAGGGAAACGACTTCGTATACGGTTATCCAACTGCCTTCATGCACCGGGTGCCTTACTCAATCTTCTATCTGCCAGTTGCATGAACGCGAAGGGGTGGGATGTCAACTTCAGATCCAACATGACCTGCGAACTCACCTACAAAGGCACTCTCCTTGGTGCTATACCAGCCACCGGGAAACTATATGCTGCAGACATGGAGTTCATTCCGGCCTCCGTGCCATCAACTGCATCATCACCTCACCCTGAAATGTCAGCGTTCGCTCACGTTCCTCTCTCATTGGACCTTTGGCATGCTTGAATCGGACATATCGGAAAGGAGGTGGTATTACGACTCGGTCGCGTTGCCAAGGGCGTTACCATCAATTCTACCGCACCTCTCTCTCACTGTGAATCATGCATCATGGCCAAGCACACTCATCAACCCTTTCATCCATCTGAGACTGAACGCACGTCCGGTTTCCTTGATCTAATTCACTCCGACCTCTGCGGTCCCATTCCCACACTCACTCCTCACAACAAGCGCTACTTCATCGTCTTTCTTGACGACCACACACACGCGCTTGATCTCCAACTCCTTGCCTCAAAAGATCAGTCTCTAGACACCTGGCGCGCACTGCGCGCCCGCTGGGAAAACCTGTCCAGGCGGAGTGTAAAGATTTTTCGTTCTGATAATGGCGGGGAATTTATCAATGACGCCTTTACGGCAGATCTTGAGCAAACAGGTGTCCAGCGTCAACGCTCTGCTCCCCAAGCTCATCAGCAGAATGGGAAAGCAGAGAGGGTGATGCGTACAATTGAAGGTCGTATGTATGCATTGCTGGACTTTGCCCATTTGCCAGGCTCTTTGTGGGGTGAGGCGGCTCTCACCGCATGCTATCTGTTTAATCGGATGGAATCATGTGCACTACCTGCGGGGAAAACTCCATATGAGATGCTGCACGGCACTCAACCAAATCTGGGCCACCTACGCATTTTTGGTGCTCGTTGTTTCGCGCGCATCCCGACAGAGCTACAGCGAAAACTTGGACCTCGCTCTCGCAAAGCCATCTTCATGGGATACCCCCCAGGTGTCAAAGCCTGGAGATGTTGCGACATCGTCACTGGCGCTTTCTTCAACTCATGCGATGTCATCTTTGATGAAGGATTGTCCAACTGCCCCTTCCCTGACAGCAACAATGAGGACGACGATGCTGTACTCCCACCGGCACCTCCTCCTACCATCATCATCCCGCCTCCACCTCCTCACGCTGATATTATTCGTCATTCAGGTCGCATCCCAATCTCAACTGAGAAGGGCCAACTCTTTAAGGGTCGCATTGCTGCCGACAAAGCGCGTCTCGCTCGCCAACGCGAGGTTTGCATCACATGTCTCACGGGCATTCCGCCACCTTCCTCGGATGCTCTTGTACCTGTTGCACCAATCGTCGATGCTCCCGCTCACATGCCTGACCGCCCACCTCCCGCAGTTGTCAACCCTGATGCAATCAACCCTGATGATGACGAAATTGGTTTCCCCGAGGTCATGGCTAACCTCATTGTTGTGGAAATGGCTTGTCTGTCCGTCCGCAGTGACACACGCCGAAACCCTCTGTCCCCTGGTTACGATCTCAAGGTCCCCCCTGCAACTTATGACGAAGCACTCCGTCGTCCAGATCACGACCATTGGTTAGCCGCGATGCATAAAGAGATGAACCTGATGTCAGAAATGAAGGTATATGAACTCGTACCACTGCCTGACGACCGTCGCGCCATCGGGTGCCGCTGGGTACTAAAATTCAAGGAGGATCTCAAGGGCGGTCCTGTATTCAAGGCGAGACTGGTAGCGCAGGGCTTTTCCCAGATTCCAGGCATTGACTTCAGACGCACCTTTGCCCCAGTGGCCAAATCCACCTCTATCCGCGTTCTTTCCACTTATGCTGCAGCCAACGATTGGGAACTCGATTGCTTTGATGCGAAACGTGCCTTCTTGTGGGGCAAACTCCAAGAAGACGTCTACATGTGTCAACCCCCTGGCTTCGAGCGCGCTGGTCCCGATGGTCTCCGCCTAGTCGCCCATCTCCTTTCCTCTCTCTATGGTCTCAAACAGGCTGCTTATGACTGGTATGAACTCCTCTGCGAAGTCCTCTCTTGTCTCGGGTTCTTACGCTGCGATGCTGACTATGCCGTTTTCATCTTTGACCATGTCAATGGCGAGGGGGTGAGAATAATCTGCATCATCGCATGGCACATCGACGACGGACTCGTGGGATCGAACAATCGCACTTTCCTTGACCGAACAAAGGCGCAAATCGCTGAACATTTTGGTATCACTGACCTTGGACCTGTCATGAAATATCTCGGCATTCAATTCATCCGCGATCGCCAGACTCGTGAACTATGGATGCATCAGGAGGACTACATCGGTTATCTGCTGGCGGAGCACAGCATGTCAGATTGCAACCCAGTAGCACTGCCCATGGACCCCACCTTTCCGTTTGGCCATCCAACTGACATTTTCCCTCATGTTAACGACCATCAGACCGAATATCGCAAACTCGTCGGTGAACTCCTTTACCTTGCCATGTACACTCGCCCCGATATCACGCTTACTGTCATGCGACTGGCACAGTACAACGTCTCCGCCGAACCTAAACACTATGCAGCCGCCAAACACATTCTTCGTTATCTCGCCGGTACAAGAACTCTTCGCGCACATTACGGGGGTGTAGGAATCAACCCAAGTCTGCACGGGTTCTCTGACTCTGACTGGGCCTTGTGCCCTGAGGATCACATATCAATTTTGGGATACTGTAGAGATACGACACTAGGTTCATCACGGGTCACAGACCTCGACGAATCGAACCTATTTGGTGTGACTGTCACACCAATTTTTTGGGGACCGAAGCTAATTTGTGACATATGGTAAAAACATACAGAAAAACATACAGAAAACATATAAAAACAACAATGCTGAGCTAGATTCTACCTGTTGTTTCTCAGCTTTACAATAATATATGAATCAGACAAGAAGCCAAGGTGCAGCAATCACAATTTGCGAAGCTATTTTTTGTGTGGTCACAGGTCACAGGGTCATTCGAAGCTGTGACACCAAGTGTGACTGTGTCACGTGCTGCACGTGACGAAGCTAGTGTCGTATCTCTACAGTATGTCTGGTTTTTCAACGGTGGCCCCGTCTCGCACTCCACAAAGAAGCAAACCACTCAGGCTCTCTCATCCACTGAAGCAGAATATATGGCACTCACCTCGGCCATTCAAGATGGCCTCTGGCTCCAGTCCTTCTTTGGGTGCCTCAGCATCCCTCTACCCCTGCCGTTGCAACTATTTGCAGACAATGCTGGCACCATCACTCTATCGAAGGAGGCTGCAAATCACGTTCAAACAAAACACATCGATCTCCGTTACCACTTCATCCGTCATCATATCGAAGATAAAACATTCTTGCCCATCTGGTTGTCGACTCATAAAAATACTGCCTACATATTCACCAAACTCTTACCCCGTCCCGCATTCATTCATCATCGTTCTGGTCTCGCGCTCGTGTCTCATTGAGGCAAATGTTCTGTTTTGTCTCTCGTTTTCGTTGTCTCGTTGAGGGGGTGTGTTGGATGTTCAACATCGACCTCATATTCCTTTTTCTTGATCGCCATCACGGACTCTATAGCGTAGCTTATAATTTAGTTGTATCACATTGTTTGTACCTCAGCAGTTCTTTCACCAATGCTGAGGTACAGTTCACGTTCATTCTGCACGCCGTCTCTCACTTACATTGTTTCGTTTCTAGACCTGTCTCTTAGGTACTATTAATGTCATAGCAGTTCTTTCACCAACGCTGAGACCTGTCTCTTAGTTTCTACTTTCTACACATCCAGCCTCAAGGAATATTGATGCTCTGCGAGCACCGTCTGTGGTTGTTATGGGAACGTAGCATCATTGCGGTCCATGACGGATTGCCGGCATAAGATCGTAGAAGAGATGTTCATGCCAACCTTCGAAAAGATGACTCTTTTTGGGGAACTGCACTCGTGACTCAATAATACATGTGCAAAAATTAATGGAATGGTGACAATCGAGTCCCGCGGAATCCATCTGCGTCGATTGCGTGAAGATGATCTGAATTAATTTTCGATGCACACAATTGATTCCCCGTCTCAGTGTCAATATGCGACACCCTTGCCGTGCGTTCTAGCGTGCCACAAAATTCTAGTATTGAAGTGCGAACCTCACAGCTCAGAGGTCAAAGCTCACACATGGTGCAGAAGAAACAATAAGAGGCAATGAATGACCTATCAAAACCGTCATGATTACCCCAAAATGCAGTGAGCAGGTACCGTTGTTAGAGGACCCCTCTGAACCGTTGGAGGTGATTTAATACTTTCAGTCTAATTGGGAGCTCTGGGCGCCATTCTGCACCAACGGATGCACGATACATGAAATGCAGTATTGATGTGTCCTTTGACCATTACGGTACTGGGTACGTACATGAACTAATGAATTACAGCACTGGCTCAATCGTATCGAGTGCGCTTTCGAAGAATTCAAGTGCTTCCTTAGCAGAAGGCCGATCAACAGGTGTCTTTGACCAGCAACGGGTCATAAAATTCCAGTACCCATCGGTGACACAAGCGTCATCTGGACGAGGTTGTATTTCCCCTGCGGTCACTTTTGAGCAGATTACGAAATCATTTCTCAAGTGACGCCAAGGGATGACTCCCGTCAGAACCTGCACGAAGTATGTGGTAAGCTGCATTAGCAAAAGGAACAAGGAAACGACTTACTTGAAGTATGACGCTACCAAAGGAATACATATCGCTCTGAGGGTGATGGCAGAGGCTGATTCTTCTTTGGAAAGAAGTTCAGGAGCTGTCCACCTCAATGCTCCTGGACGACAGCTCATCTTCACGAGGTAAGTCATCCCGGGCAATTTGGTTAAAGTTCCTGAAAGACCAAAGTCTGTGAGATATGCAGTTCGATCGCTACCGATCAGGACATTGTTCTGGAAGTCGATCCTTAGGATGAGGGATTGGAACAAATGAGGGACCTTACACCAGTGAGGTCTCCGTGGACGACTGGATTAGAGTACGTGTGTCCGTCTACAGTGAAGCTAAACGTATGAACTGAGGGAGTGTGGTTAATTCTTGCTATGTGCATTGTGGATTCCAATATTCACTCACGATAGTTGAGGCCAGCGGCTACGCCACGGAGCTTGGGTACGGTACGATGAGCTCGACGGCGCAAACCGGGGAACGAACTTGAAGTTCTCACCAGAAGCAGACGATCAAGCAGCGTGAGGGTTCCGTTGTACTTGTTGAGGAACGATGTCAAAGTGTCGTTGACTATCCACGGAGCAACCAGAGCCACGGAGGAGCCGAAGCCTCTAGTAGTACCCATTAACTTCAAGATATTAGAGTGTTGCAACCTCTTCCAAATCCCGAGCTCTTTCCGTAATACGAATACCACCACCTCGGTACTGATCATTTGCGGTCGCATTGCTTTGATGGCGACCTGCAGGTGAGATACGTCAGTACACGTGGGGGAAATGTAACATCCACGCGAACCTGTATGTCGCCGTCTGGCCCGTGGTACATACATTTGTAAATATTTCCGTATGTACCGCCAGAAACGGGATCTTGGTGGCATCGGGTGATGAGCCCAGTCAAGTCTGGGATGAGAATTGGAGGGATAGGCCGAGTGGAGGGGATGACATCGGGAGCGGTAGGTGGGGGGGATTGTCTATTTATGATAAGTCCTGCAAGTCCACTATCCGCTTGTTGCGGTGCGGCGGCGGCTTCCATCGTCTGATGCCTAAAACGTTTGATAGCACTTTGTAGTAAGCTATGCATGCTCTTTAGACCGGAGGGATCAATTATGACTTGGTTCGATCTTGTCGAATAACTAGCCCTTTGATGTGCCACCAACGAGACCTGGAAAGAAGACAAGCTTAACCTGACAAAATGTACGCACGCATTGAAAGGCACTTACGATTGCGACTAGGTTGCGGATCATATTATCCGATCTCAAAACAATCCAGTACATTGGTAGTTTGACATCGGGGTCCTGAGTTACCTCGTGAAGCTGTTGCAGCAGCCGACTGTACTCCGTTCGCTGGCCGTCTGACAATTCATGCAGTTGCATCGTCGGCAGTTCTGCACAGCAGATAAGAATCTGCTGCAAGCGTGTATGAACGAGACAACCTACTTGCTGAGTAAACTTGTTTCAGATACATGATCCCAACCTTTGCATGAGCGAGCTGCTGCGGCTCAGTTGGCTGCAGAATGACTCCCGAGTGGATGGCGGGTTTAGTCCCAGCCATCTGCAGGGGTTCTATTCTGTTCGGTGTCATGAATGGCGGTCCCTGTGATGCGGGAGTCAGGACGAGACCAGCAGTTGGCACCCAGTTGGGGAAGGCTCCTTGAGGTGCGCTGAGCATACCCAGCTGCCCATGCGAGGCTACAGGATTGGCGCTTGGCCGATCTACAGTCGAAGGAGCGCTAGCACCATGGTTCGTTCCAAAAATTGGGGTGGGGTATGCTGGTTGTTGCAAGAGTTGCTGGGACGCTCCAGCACCCTGCGTAACACCTGCTGGACCAGCAGCAGAGGTCATTCTATGGCTAGAATGCGTGTAAATAGGAAGCTTGCAAGACACGTCAACATAGCTCACAGATGCTCTTGGTTTCCTCCAAGTATATGAAAGGGTTGCTCCCTCCTCTGCATCAGTTCTGGAGGGGTAAGCTCATTCTGGGTGAAATGATATGGATGGTGACGACGTTGCAGACGGGGAGAACTATGATGATGCCGTGTACCAACAGTCGTAGTGGAAGAATAAAGCGTGACTGGACGCATATGACCAGAGGCTTAGTCGCACATCCAGATTTTTAAAAGGATGATGCGAACATTTAACAGTTGGGTCTGGTATTGTCCTGCGCAATTTATATCACGGTACTACTACGAAATCATTACGTGACAGTACGGAACAGCACTAGTATACGTGAGAGGCAGTGTGGCTGCAGTGATTTTTTTCTGGAAATTCTATGTAGAAATTATGTACATATTGATATCGATATGGAGGACATAAAGGAATTAAAATTAGGTACCGATCGGATACCACTCGTTCGGACAGTACGAACGAGCGAAGGAGGAGTTGCTCGGATAGTCACAAAATGTCACACTCTGGGTAGCTTGCTCGCATTTCACTGTCCGCTCGTCACGCGTCACGAGCCTTGCTTCTACCACCTCCCGCACTGGCATTGGCACACGCCCTCATGACACCTCCGCTCGTGATTCTCTACGTCTTCCCTACATCGCGATGTGCAACTTTCACTCTTGACCATTTTTCTCCCTATTCGCATGTTTTCGGCTTCATCGACTCCTCTTACGTATAACTGTTTCTCACTGCACGCACCGTGACACTTGCACTGCCACCACGGTTTATGAGATCCCGACCACTGAACACCGCTACATACTACATGTCTGCTTCTCCCTTCACCTCACCTTTGTGCCAATTTGGGCACGCTTCTACATCAAGCGGAAATGACCAGCGAAAACTTATCGGTCCTCGGAGTTGTGTCGACATATCGCACGTGTAACATACCGCCAGTATTCTTGCGGGTAGGGCAGATCTGGGAGGCATTCCGGCGAGCGGTCAACGTTCGGCCTGCAGGATGTACGGAAACAGCGCGTATTCGACCCTCCCGACCATCACCATCACCACGGGAATGATCCGATTCCAGGTGCATGTTAATATGGTTGCGCTGTTTAAGGAGCTGACAAGGTTCTCCCTACATTTGTAATTATCAGCCAAACATCACCATCCATAGTTCATCTAGCCTCAGGCCAGGAATATCGATTTGCGCCGGTATCATTGCAGTGCAGGATGAAGCGTTGAATTATTGAATCTGGTCGACCGTAAAGGTTGGCATGGACACCTCTTTGACGATCGTCGAAACGGGAAACTGTGTAGATCCTGTCTTTGGAACCCATCAATACTAGTTCAAGAGGAGAGATAACATAAGAATCGAAGGTAATCTCATCAGAGGGAGAGCTTTCTGAATACAGCACCTTTCTATTTGCGATTTCACATAGAATGATCCTCTCAAATGCGTTCAGTTTTGTCTCACCAGAGATTGCCGAGGTCGCGATCAATGCTTCCGGTGGTGCTGAGGTGTATTTTGTTTTCGCTCTGCCTAATTCTTGGACCGGACTGAAAATCAATCACTGGACATAGTCTGTGGGTCCGGGGTAAACAATACAAAGAACTAGACATCCTTCCGCTTATTCGCTAAGGTGAGTCACGGGTCGGAATCCTGCAGGGACTGGGGCTTATTGCATCATAACGGAATTATGCCCACCGGAAGAGAACAGAAGAGGAACCAGTATCGCTATCATATATGATAGCCATACAAAAAAAACACGAGAACGAAAGCGTCAGCTAGCTAGGGGAACATCATGATGATGAAAATAACAAGAAAAAATACTCGCTAGCCCCTCCGCCGGGGTATCCTCCTGCACTGGCTCATTCCATCGTCCTCGGCGCCCCGCACATATCCTACGCCCATAAACTTAGCTGGAATTCTCGGCGTGCACTCCCAGTGCCCGTCCTGACCAACTCCTCGCTCTCTAGTCCCAGCTCTACAAGCCGATCAGATGACTGACCGCGCAAGCTCTTCATCCAACACCAGTCGTTGTTTGCCCTTGCCGTTCGCTGCGTGTTCGAGATTGGGATCACATGCGACTGAATTGTCTATGACCCTATGCTGAGCCTCGCACGTCCACTTTAACTTCGGAGGTAACGCCAGCTCGTCTTCTTCCTCTTCCACATCGTCATCATCCTTGTCGATGTTGGCGTCCACCATCAGCGCTACCAAGTTGAGGATCAGGTTGGCGCTTTTTTGGAGGATCGTAAGGGCGGTAAAACGGAAGTTTTAAATCGCATAGTGCCTGGATTGAGCGCTGCCCATACCATCGTTTCTTTACAGACTTTGATGGGAGGAGGAAACGGCTTGGGATCACGACCAAGGATGTACCCAATATCGACTAATCAAAATGTCAGGAGCATGAAACGTACAGGTAGATGACACTGACCATGGAAAAAGTGACCTGCGGAGCCAATGTTAGAAGTTGAATCCTGCTGGTCATATTTACTTACCACCCGGTGCCAGTAAAAGGTTGTCCAAATGCCGGTCGCCTACACCTAGCAGGTACGTCACGACGAAGTGTCCAACTACCAACGAAGGTTTAGCGCACATCACCGCCAGGACCGCAGAACGACCCACCACAACTGCGCACGTTCCAACGCCACCCTCATCCGGATTATTCGCTCTCAAATAATTCAAGAGCATCCCATTCTCACTGATAATCGCCGCGATAGTCTTAGTCTTGCTGGGTATCAACTGCACCATAACCTGCAACGGCCCAGTCGCCAGCACGTCATGTGAAATGAGTTTCAGGTCTAGATCCCCCTTCCTAAGTAACTGATCCATGAGCGTGGACAACTAGAGGACTAGCTGGACCTTGCGCATGTCATCCCCATCTTCAGGATACTCTGAGCCAACACTGGCAATACAACAAGAAGAGATAGAGATTTGACTTGAAGACGGACAACTTCTCAGCGTTGATGTCCGTGATCTCCATGCATGCATCGAGTGGCAGAGGTAGGGGAGAAATGGCGACGAGCCCGTTCTTGGAGTCGATGAAGGAGTGGAGTTTTTTTTTTTCTTCGGTCGTGGGTCTTTAGATGTGCGTAGCTCCTCGGCTCGTTTGGTGAGGGTTTCGACGAGGACGCCTTGCTGTCGCATGAGCTCGCAGCGTTCACTGCCATTTTTTAACTGAGGAACTGGGTTCGTCAGCGAGGGTAATACAAGTGGAAGTCTGGTTACCTCTAGAATCTTGTTCAGAAACTTGAATACCACCCGCCCGTACATTTTCGCTACAACCTTGTCTTCCAATTCTACTTCTACTATCGTTGGTTACCCAGCATATGGTTTTTGCACTTCAGCAATCAGGAAGTCCGTCAGCCCGCTGTCGTCGTAAGATAACGCGGTTGTAGTCGATCGACTTGAGCGCTGCTCACTAGAGGCACTTTCGAGTTTCAAGAGATACAACAGAAGCTCCTGCAAATAATGTCAGTGCCGCTATCACGTAGGGAAATGAAATGCTTGAACTTCATTATATGCGCGGGTAAGCTGCCGTACTGCAACGCTCTCACTCTCGAGTCCACGGTTCGCGGTTCGAGAAACTCCAAAGCGTCATCCGTGTCGGCCTCTGTCCACATCGGTAGCAGCTCCTCAACTGCCTGCTTGACTTCCGAAGGATCTCGCCAAGTGACATACTTGAGGGACTTGGTGAGCCCACGCGTGTCCAGTGCAAGGGAGAAGCGAAACTTCCGGATGAGGTCTTTCTCCTCGGAGTTGAGATATTGAGAGGGTGCATAGTTAAGTATTTCCTATGAATGACGTGTGAAGAAGGGCATCAATGCATAACGGTACGAGCCTTGCGCACCCAAAGTTCATCCCTAATCTTGGCATTAGGTTTGAGCTCCCTGTCATATGGACTACTTCGGTGACTCAGCACGAGCCGGCGATGCTTGTCCTCCAGAAGGATGGCCCACAGATGTGGATCTGTAGCAAAATAACTGGGGAGTACAGGTACGACAGGTGTCTGGGCTGCTAGTAGATGTGCAAATGGAATTGTCGCCTAATTTCGAGCCTCCAAAAAGCATTGAACGTCAAGCGAGCTACACTCGGGAACGCGGCACTTACGGGCTCGCTGAATATCACGGGAAAGCCGGAACATGGAGGTTCGGTATAGAGATGCATGCTCTTTGACTTTTCTGTCTCTGCCTTCGGTACTCTTTAAGCGATTGCATTCAGAATCAGAAGACTTACAGCATGTATCTCCTCCATCTTTCTGAAGGCCATATTGTCTAACCAATCTGACTTTGATAGGTCGCTTCGCTCGTATTTCTTGACGAGCTGTAGAGACGATGACCGATAAGCGACAGTACCCGAGAGCTGTGGCGTTACCTACCTTCTCTAAACAATCTATTTCATCCCTATTGACAAATTACTAGGAGTCTTGGTCCGCATGGAACCATCTGCTTCTTGACCTGACCAGAGCAGCCAGCGGTGTTTTCCTCGGCGCAATGTCCTGATGTAGTGACCCTTACAATGCATTGCAAATATACCTAACAGACTATTTCCTTCCAACATCCTGAACGTTGAGCTACCAACAGGCACCGCTGTGCGTGGTCCTCCGATATCACATACGGTAAATGTAATTTGTGAGTTCAATGTGAGGTTATAATACCGAATAGGTGACCTTATCCATTCGTTCCACCTGTGTAGGTAGTCAGCTCAGGTAAGATAACGGTGATGCAAGGCGCACGTATAGTTATTCTTGAAAGCTGTGAAAGACGGTTCTAATAGTGTCTAAGCTCAAGCTGGATTTACAGGGCCCGCTCGACCGACAACCATCAACAACGAAGAATCTCTGTCTTCCCCTCCACCTGCGGTGAACCGTCTAGCTACGCCACGGACGGAGGCGATGGGGCGGGTGCGCCAGGGGCAAGGACTGATTTCATCTGCGGGGGTCGTGGACTGAGAATTAGAGTCCACTGTTCGAGTCGTTCGTGGGCATGGGTATTTTCAGAGGCAGACAGAAATCGTCTCCGAATCTCCATTTCTTCCTCATCAAGTTCGGGAAACAGTGAATGTAACCGGGGAGAAAGTGAGCCAGGCATTGGGATGGAGGGCTTTCCAGAGAGAGGAGTATGCTGCTTCTGATATGGTTAGGTGGGACGAGGGGGGAGGAGGGGAGGTCAGGAAGGTCGAAGTGTATTCAAGGAAGGGGGAGGATTGCCTTAAGACGAAGATGTCCTATCACAGCCTTCTGCCTCGTTCTTCCTTGTCCATGTTCCAACCTGCCATTGATTCCTTTGGATGGATCAGACTATCAATTTTCATTCAGTCAAAGAATCGGTGACTAAAATCAGCGAAAGCCTACACCACTGATAGCCTTCATCACGAACTTGCCAATCTGATGGCAGTGATTGTCTCTCGCAAAACAAAACTGAACACACTGGCAGTTTGCTGCGTCTTGGATCATGGCGGTCGAGATGGTATCCTGTGTATCATGTCTCCTGCGGAACGTGTGTTGTAGCCTCTCGCATCACTGGAATTATGGCGCGCTAGAACGGATGGCAAGTGTTGAATACTGACGCCAGGAACGAGATCGCGGGAGGTTGCATTGAAATATATGGATAAGAATGTTTAAATAAATAAATTGTATACGACACTGAAGCATCTTGGTAGACTGGAGAACAACCCGAGGCTCTATGAGGCAGGGCATCGCCAATAGATCCACTGTACATGGAATATTATAGCGCGTTTGTCCTGCAAGTATGTGTAAACAAGCGTATGACATAGTTTTCCCTCAATGGTACTTACAAAGCGAGTTTGCTATCAACAAATTGAAGTACTTCCGTGGCAGAAGGCCGATCGGTGGGTGTCATAGACCAGCAACGGGTCATAAAATTCCAGTGACGGTCAGTGACACAACCGGGACGAGGATAAATTTCCCCTACGGTCACTTTCGACCAGATTGCGAAATCGATTTTCAAGTGATGCCAGGGAACATCTCCAGTCAAGACCTGCAGGACGAATTAGTAACCTGCATTAGCAAAAGCAGAAAATGTACTTGAAGCATGATGCAACCAAAGGAGTAGATATCGCTTCGAGTGGTGGGTGCAGAGGCGGCTGATTCATCTACTGAAAGAAGCTCAGGAGCTGCCCATCTCAACGCTCCTGGACGACAGCTCATCTTCGCGAGGTACGTCATGCCGGGCGATTTTGTTAGAGTTCCCGAAAGGCCAAAGTCTGCAAGGTATGCAGTGTTATTACTACCGACGAGGACATTATTCTGGCAATCGATTATTAGTATGCAGGATTGGAATAAATGAGGGACCTTACACCACTGAGGTCTCCATGTACAACAGTATGAAAGTGTCTGTCCGTCTACAGTGAAGCGAAATGTATGAACTGAGGCAGAAAGTTATTTATGCCTGTGATGTGGATGTTTGCGTACACTCACGATAGTCGAGGCCAGCGGCTGCACCATGTAGCTTGGCCAAGAAATGGTGAGCTCGATGTCACAAAGCGGGAAAGTCCTTGAAGTTCTCACCAGAAGCAGACGATCATGTAGCGTGAGGATCCCGTTGTTCCTCTTGAGGAACGACGTCAGAGTGCCATTGTCTATCCACGGAGCAACCAGCGCTACAGAGGAGCCAAAGCCTCTAGTAATACCCATGAACTTCAAGATATTCGAATGTTGCAACCTCTTCCAAATCCCGAGCTCTCGCCGAAATACCTAAGAGGGGTGAGTCAAATGTCTTTCCATGCCACAGAACATTACCTCAGGACTGAAGGGTTGCGATCGAATTACTTTGACGGCAACCTGCGGGTGAATGATATGTCAGTAAACGTGGAAGAACTGTGACATCTGCACGAACCATTATATAACCATAGTATAGACATTGGTAAATATTTCCGTATGCACCGCCGTCAACGGGGTCTTGGCTGCATCGGGTGATGTGTCTAGTTAAGTCTGGGATAGGGATTTGGGGGATTGACTGAGTGAAGGGAATGTCACTGGGAGCGGTAGATGAGGGAGATGGTTGATTTAGGAGAAGCTCAGCAAATCCATCATCCGTTTGTTGGGGTACGACAACAGTTTCGAGCATCTGATGCCTTTGTTCGAATTGCGAAATTACCTGTTGTAGTAAGCCATACATGCTCTGTAGAGCGGAGGGATCGATTATGACCCAGCATGACTCTGTCGGATAGCTAGCCCTTTGATGCACCACTAATGATACCTAGAAAGAAACACTTAACGCGACAGAACGCACGCACGCAAGGAGGGCACTTACGATGGCGACGAGGTTGCAAATCATAATATCCGAATGCAACACAATCAAGTACATTGGTAGCTTGGCATCAAGGTCCCGAGTCATCTCGTGAAGCTGCTGTAGTAGCCGGTAGTACTCCATGCGCTGGTCATCTGATAATGGATGCAGTTGCATCGTCGGCAGTTCTGCTCAGAAGATAAGAATCTGTAGCGAGCATATATGAAGGGACGACCCACTTGCTGAGAAAACTCGTTTCATATTCTGGATCACGCTCACTGCGTGTGAGAGCTGCTCCTGAGTTGGCAGTAGCTTGGGTCGTGACTGGATGGCGGTGTTCGTCCCAGCCATCTCCACGCCGTTCGAGAAGGCTCCTTGAGGCGTGCCGGGTATACTCGGCTGCTCATCCGGGGACACAGGATGAGCATTTTGCCGATCTGCGGTCGAAGGAGCGCTAACTCCAGGATTCGTTCTAGGGAAAGGAGTGGAATAGGCTGACTGCGGCCAGGGTTGCTGGGATACTCCGCCATGATGCAGAGCTCGACCAGTAGCAACGGTCATTCTGTGATTAGAACGCATGTAAATACTAGGACACGCTGCAAAGTTGGCCGTAGTGGAAGAATACCTCGAGCTCCCAGGTATCGGGTTAAAATTTTGATGAAGTTGCGTGGCTGGACGGGGAGAACTACTATGAGGATGCGATGAAGGAAGGTAGGTAGTAGTGGAAGAAGCTCTATCCGTAGGAATAGTCAGTTGCGCCTCCATTTCCCGAAGAGTGCGTACTACTACGACAATAGGTTGTACACACCTCGCTTCACCCTGGTTGTACGTATATACTGTATCAGCCAATTAAAATCGTTCCGTTATTCGCTTTATCGCAATTATTTGAATCTTACTTGTTGAGAGGTGATCCGTCAGAGCACTGAGCCGGTTCCAGATAAATATATCTAACTGTTCCAGTTCTATGTACCTTAGCTGCCAGTGTCACTGGACGTCATCCACCCTAGTTACTGACCATTTTCTCTTTTCTATTTAAGGATGGCTAGACGCTATACTCGCACCTCAGTCTTTCTACCATTGACTGAGGTGCGCATACCATTCATATTATACTATACATGATACTTACTAGCGGTCCTACAGACTCACGCTACCTTAGGTTAGTTTACACGAATAGAGTCTTTCTACCATTGACTGAGACTCACGCTACCTTAGTTCTCGCTCTTTAACAGGTTATGAGCCCTGACTAAAGGGTAGCGACATCTTCTCCTCGAAATCTCTCATTCTCTCGCCGATAACCACTTGGCTCTGACACTACCATGTCGTCTCCTGACTCCCTTCCCAAAACTGAACGATATCCGCATGAGAAGCTCACCCTCGACGGATCCAACTACTCTCAATGGGTCACTGGCTTTAAGATGTGGTCCGGCGGCATTGGACTATGGCCATATATCAACGGCGACGAGACGGAACCATCACCTCCAGCCACACTCACGGACGTGGATCAAAACATTATTTGCGCAGAGAAACACGACGAGCGAGTACGAGTCTACAAGCAATGCCGACTCCTCGCTCTCAGCGCTCTGTCCACGGCAATTGATGCGCAGGACTTCGTCCACCTCCGCGATATAGATGATCTGCACGTGGCGTGGATTGCTCTAGAGAAGAAGTACCTTCCCCAAAAAGCTATTCGATTCAATCAATACCTGGACCGCCTGTTCACCATTCCCAAGGCGCATGACAGTGCCTCCATCGCCCAAACCATGCAAACCCTTACCGTGCTGAAATCAGACCTTGCAGCTCTCTCTGTCACCACAGTCGCACCCTCCACCACCAGTGTCGTTACAACTGCAGCAAAGGACGAGTACAAGATCCCGGACGCAATCTTCGTGCATGTTCTATTGCGCACCCTACCTGACTATTACGACCCCCTTCGTCAAACCCTCGTCAACAGCGACACTTCGCTAGACTTCAGCGATGTTGTGAATCGCCTGAAGACTCAGGAATTGCACCGCGCTGGGACCAGTGGCAGTGACCACGTGGCCATGCTCTCTGGACACCGAGGAGGAAACTCCTCCAACCCCAAGACCAGTGATCGTGTCCCACCGAAAGGATTTGATGAGACGAAAGGGGATGGCTGGATAGTAGGATGGCGACCTAAATGCGGCCACTGTCAAAAGGCCGGTCATGTCTGGGTACAGTGCCGTGCACGGCTCTCCAAGGACGACAAGACTCCAAAGTCAGCACCTAGTCCTTCCTCCCCTGCCGCTACCACCGCTGACACGGTGTCCTCCCTGCCAGACCCAACTGACGAGTCTATCACACCACTTCCATTCGTCCTTACGCTAAAGGATCACTCAGCCAATATCTCATCAGCCCTTACTTTACCGGCTGGATCCTTCCATGTAGACTCTGCCTCAACGGCTCATATGGAGCCCGAAATATCACGCTTTTCTCACTATGTGAAACTGCGTGAACCTATCCGTGTGACGTTAGCTGATGAGCATGTGGTGTTAGCTCCAGGATGGGGTAAAGTGAAGCTTGTTCTCCGGTTTGGTGATTCATTGACGGAACACGAGCTCAAGTTCCTACATGTCCCTGATCTACATTGCACACTCATTTCGGTCTCCACCCTCGCCTCTGCTCGTATATCCTTCACGACAACCTCCAAAGGGGGAACACTGCGCTCTAACGATGGCAATGGGCTGTACATCGCCCATGTGCACCAGAAAGGCGGATTATATCTGCTAGATGCAACATACCACATGGCTTATTCCACCCCTGCACGCGCGATGCTCACAAAGGCTACGCCTCCATCTCTCAATACGTGGCATCGTCATCTTGGGCATGCTGGTTTTTCGACCATTATGAAGGCCATGGGACATGTCAGTGGAATGAACATCAACAAGACCACGCTGCATCATCACGTCGACGGCGCCGACACGATACACTGTGTGTCCTGTGTTATGGGAAAACATAAACGACTTCCCTTTCCTGCCGTTGCACGCCGCGCTAAAGCGACAGCCGACCTCATTCACTCCGACGTCTGGGGACCAGTCAACATCACTTCCTCTACCGGTGACCACTATTTTGTGGTATTCACTGATGACTACACGAGGTACTCAGTGGTCTATCTAACACATAATGCAGTAACATATACCCATCTCAGACAGGCAGCCGGGCGTGACAATGTACCAATAGAGACGGGCCACCCGGTGCCGGCCCATGGCAATAATTGTACCGTGTTAGACGAGTGGGCCGAGGGGGTGGAGTGTCCAAGGCAAACGGATGGGCCGGGTGTATATAGTATAGATGGTAGTATAGCAATGTACTATATAGGAAATCATGAATAGTAGTAGTGAATCCAGTGTGTGATAGATGAGTGGGCCGGAGGAATGGAGTGCAATATAGATGAGTGGGCCGGAGGAATGGAGTGCAATATAGACGAGTGGGCCGGGGAACTGGGGTGTGATGGAGACGAGTGGGCCGGTAAATGAGGTGCAATGGAGACGAGTGGGCCGGTACATAAGGTGCAATGAAGACGAGGGGGCCGGAGAATAGGGTGCAATTGAGACGAGTGGGCTGGTATAGCAGGTGCAATGGAGACGGGTGGGCCGGTATAGCAGGTGCAATGGAGATGGGTGGGCCGGTAAATATGGTGCAATTAAGACGAGTGGGCCGGTATAGCAGGTGCAATGGAGACGGGTGGGCCGGTATAGCAGGTGCAATGGAGACGGGTAGGCCGGTAAAGGAGGTGCAATGAGGACGAGTCGGCCGGTGTTATTGGGTGCAATGAAGACGAGTCGGCCGGTGATATGGGGTGCAATGAAGACGAGTGGGCCGGTGATATGGGGTGCAATGAAGATGGGTGGGCCGGCATTATAGGGCGCAATGGAGATGGGTGGGCCGGTGATATAGGGTGCAATGAAGACGAGTGGGCCGGTGATATGGGGTGCAATGAAGACGAGTGGGCCGGTGATATGGGGTGCAATGAAGACGGGTGGGCCGGCATGATAGGGTGCAATGGAGACGGGTGGGCCGGCATGATAGGGTGCAATGGAGACGGGTGGGCCGGTATTATGGGGTGCAACAACGACCGGTATTTATGTAACCGGTTGCTCGTGGTAACATAGCACTCAATCCGGCGATTCCACCGGTGGTCTGATCATGTAAAATGGTTAAGATTTGACAAAGTTATGAGCCCTACAAGGGAAAGCCATAAATTTAGAGGATATTATGATATATTGTATCTAGACCATTGCAACCGGTATTTTTTGACCGGTATTTACATGACCCGGTTGCTTGTGGTAACATATCACTCAATCCGGTGATTCCACCGGTGGTCTGACCATGT